CAGGCCTTTTAAAGAATTTCGTTCAAAATCATTGGCTGCTATTTTACTGTCTTCGTGGATGGTTTCAATTCTTCTTGCTATTATACCTATTCTACCTTTTACTGAGGACTATTTCGTGGAAAGTGTTTGGTAAGTTTAGTTTTTAACTCGGCGAACAATTCTGATCGTGCTAGGCAAGGGACACCACGCAAGAACAAAACTATCGATATTTCTATCCCGCACAATCTTTTTTTCTAATTTTCTTGTCACTTTCATATTCGAGTTGTTGCTAAGATGAACGCATTCAAAGTCGAGTCAAGATCTGGAATCTGCTCAAAACAAAAGCGCTTTTTTGTGGCGGAGTATTTTTGTGGCCAAATATTCGTTATCGTAATATAGTATCATAAGTTTCTACTGATATTCATTTCTCTTGAATTGCTTCGAAAAACAGCGGTTGGGGATCAATTATTTTAGTAAAAACGCATTTATGTACAAATTTTTTTTTTATATTTGGTGTAGTTTTATATAGTGTGAAACTTTTTTATAGTGTTTTGATTATCAGGGTAGGTCAGAATCCATTTTTTTTTTCAACAATTAACAACAATGAAGTAGAGGAATTAAATCGTTGGCTTTCTTTAACAACAGAGTCTCCTGATAATACCTGCGAATGAGTATAATTCCAACTGTGTTTCATTCTTTGTTAACTGTGCCAAGTACTGAATTTGTTTTCATAGATATGTTGGATCTTTAACGCCGTGGTCAACTTTGGAATTCTCTTTAAAAAAACTCAATTCGAATTATACTATTAGAAGAAAGTTTTGGATATGACTCTGCGCACACCGTTTGGTTATACCAACCTTATTTCCGAACCGCAATACAGATGTGGCATGGGCATACAGCCTTCTTTTCTTAATCGTGAATTTCTGTTCATTTTTTTTTTGTATTGAATTTTCTTTACTGTGCGCTAGGCCAGGGCTACTCAACTGGCGGACCGCGGTCCGAATCCGGACCTTTCGAGTATTGGATTTGGACCGCACCTAATTATTTATTTTGGATCATTAGCCCCACTTTTTCAATTCCCCATTATAAAATGACTTTCACAGTTTTGAATATATACGAAAAGAACTATAACACTATAATAAACAATTTTAATTTGCTACTAATCATTAGTCGGTCGAGAAAGTGCTTGTTTAAGGATGCCGGAATATCATTTCTGGAAAGACCGGACACAAATAATTTTGAAGTTTTGTTTGCGGACCTTCGATAAAAATAGTTGAGTAGCCCTGCGCTAGGCTATAAGACATGTAGGTATAAATAAATTGCTTACCTCTATTAAATTTTGTTGGTTGCTGTGATTTCTCGCTATGTTTCGTAATAACATACCAGGTTATAATAATAAAAGAGACGATTGTAGATAGAGTAAATAAAACTGAGCAAATGATTTATTTTCTTCTCGCTTTTTCATGTTCTGAATTTAAATTAATGTATTTTGTCATAATTTGGAAAGTTTTTCTATAACGAGATAATTTCTCAAAAATTTAAAATGCTACTTTGAAAACAAATTTGTACAAGTTTGTTCAAAGCAAAATCACAATTCACAAAACAGACATTTTAATACGGCCAGGCCAGTAGAAATGGTTTAAATAAAGAAAAATTGTTCCTTATAAAAATTGATAGTAACTGTCCGACTGAAAAATTACGTTTCAAATAGCTGTAGCTTAAAATAAACAAAATAAGAGGATTTTATGATTCTACAATTTCGCTTTGGAATTAATTCGATTTTGAATATTCAAAATTATTTATCATTCTGAAAAATCTAACAAAATAAATCGGAAAAAGTTTATAAATTTATGTAGCACATTTTTCTCATTTCCTTGAATTTTTCTGAACAAGAAAGATGAAAAAAAAATATATATGAGCAAATTATCGTCTCTCATCCTCACTCTAATTCTTCTGAGATACCCAACATGGAGTATCCATAGTGTATCCATTGCATTTTGTTATATTTTCATATTAAAATCCCTTGTTTAACTGCTTTTTCATTCTATTCCACACAGAACTGAACCTTACTTTCTCGTGCATCATTATATCTGGGCCTTTTAGAAATCCACTTTTTGGTATTTTGTTTATCTATATTCCAATATCTGACTTAGGGGAGGGTGGCCACGTTAGGACATAGGGCACAATGGAAAATAAGCGTCTGTGCAGGGCGACGCAAGCTATGAGGTGGAATTGGTTTTTGACGGTTGAAACTAAAATTTCGCCATCTCAGTCTTTTTTCTATTTTAGCCTTACCAAAAGGATAAACCACTATCTGGCATTTTTACTTTAAGTCCACTATGAAACATTTTACTTGTTAATATATATATAAATGTTGGTGTTGTGGTTATATTGAAACAAATCAGTGATTGAAAAAATTACACTTTCGTTTTTTTTAAGCACTCAAAACCTGTATTTGTGGTTTAGGGCTATTTTAATTGGGACTATTGTCGAGCATGGAAGTTTCAGAACTCATATTAAATTGATTGAAATTAGGTATAATCCAAAGGTAAAAATGTTTTTATTTAGATTTAATGATTGGAATATAAAATTCACGAGTACTTCAAGAGGGGCAGACTCTTCCGATAGGTATGTTGACAAAAAGGTTTTAGGTTGCCAGTAAAGATAAATTGTTTTAGAAATTATTTGGATAAAGATTAGAATCATTATAGTTGAACATTTATTTCAAATCTCCAAATTTGAAGTTCTTTTGATGCCGATGTTGATTCGTTACTATTTTTTATGGCATATGTCGTTGAATTTATTCGACGGCCGCATCGTGCACCAGGGTGTTTCCAAATGTTTCCCACCAGCGGGGTGCAGTGGGACAATAAACCAAGCATTTTTTATTGAATTTTGTGGTCAATCTGTATTTTTTTTCTTCTAGTCGCTGAATAAAAGCTACCATTTATTTCTCTCTGCATTAGCCCTGCAATGTCAAATGGATGTGCAGGTTGATGGGCTCAAACGATGCAAAAAAAAAACTGTCCCAACTTTCCTCACTTTCCCCTACACCGCACATGCTTTATTTTGCTCACATCATAGTCGGAGTTGAAAGCTTACGGTAAATAATCTCATCGCGATCTACAGAACTGTATGGTCTAAAAAAATAATAAACTTCTTTAGGGTGACTTCTAATACTGGTTGCTTTGTTCCTAATTCGATTTAAATCTTTAATTAACCAGCTGTCTTATCAATATCTACGGATAAAACACGTTTGCATCGCTGTGTAGGATAAATTTCATATTATATTGCATTCATTTCAAATTGAGCAGAACGGAACAAAGCAATTTCGTAATAGACTGAACTGGGGAATTTTAATTTTGATCGCATTGATTCTAAAATTTATTTCCACGAAATTTATTTTGCTCAGTAGAATTAGAAGTTCGTTTTATCACCATACTGAAAAACCACTTCGTACAAACAGAACATAAAACGATGTGGAAATGGCATTTCAAGGTAAATGGGGCGCAGTCAACCAATACTGATTTTCGAAATGAGACGGCAGTTTTATATTGAAATGATTTTGATTTTCATGGCAGTGATATCTGTGCTTTGAGTGGGCTAGATGAAGACCTCAAAAGCGTAAAAATATATTATTTAGTATTGTGATACTTCTACTATTGTGTCGGTTTTACATTTTATTGGCGACCTGTACTCGAACTCAAAGATAGATACATCCGTTGCGTGTTGTCCAAATGTATTTTATTACTTCTCTGCACATCATTTTCATATGAAAATGATTTGTATAAAGAAGGAATTGAATTTGTCTGGTGGTGAAATATTTACAACATCAAAATCACTTGTCAGAAGACGATATCAAGGCGTTTCTGAAATTATTTGGAGATAAATACCATTTGGACATAAACCATTAACATTGATCGGTAAATAAACGTTCAACGCCAAAGCAGCGAGCACAACAGATAGTTCGGCAAACCCGAATTATCGATGGCCCAGGCCATTGAAATCTATCAACGAAGGCAAAACTTTCCCAAACGTTCCCCAATATGGGTAGAGCAAATGCATTAGGAGTACTATAGTTCAACGTTACGTGTAACAGTCCACGATACGGACAAGTGTCGACATCCTTACGCGTGGAATACGTGTTGCGAATGATAATAACATAGATAATAATAATAATAATAATAATAATTGGGTGTAATGCAGTGCACAGCGGCGAAAAATATGGCGAGAAAATGTAAACACTGAAGAGTTCGACGTCCAAGCCAAAGACCTAGATTCACATTATATGAATCGTTTAATACGTAACTTTGGTACTGGTATAAGGTACGTGAAAAGATCAGAAGGACTAGCCTGGCGGAATGCTTCGCGGTGTCACAAATGCAAAAATAGCAACATTTGTGTGAAATATCGAGCACCACAGGACTCAAAAATATTGGGGAAAAAATTAACAGCCATAATTTCGTTACTGTTCTGCAATTTCAACTTAACGTAAACCGCCAATTCTTTTTATCGATAATACATATTACTCGCTTTTAGAAATTCTTTATTGACAAACTAATATTTTGTTTTCTAAAAACCATTAAACCTGCGTATTCTTTTAACCTGTGGTATACGGGTTGCTACGATAGCCAAAGTTGATACATCTTTTCACCATTAATTTTTCTTATGAATTTTATCACGTTTCGAATGTAGAATTAGATAGATCTCTCTGCACAGTCGCTGTTCGTTTGCGGGGTCGCCATCGTCGCCGCAAGACGGAGACAAACACCGAAAAGCATACCCGATTCAGAATATGGTATGAGTGTGAGAGCTTATTTTACATCGTTTATCTTATATATTGCAAAGCTTCCTCACAGAATGGCCAATAAATACAATTGACGCTTGACGAATTAAAAATGTGTTTTTCTGAAAAAATGAATCAGCGAAATTTTATATCAAAACGAAGATGCATCCAATTTTTAATCAATCAAGCAATCTTTCACTAAAGAAAATTCAAAGCAATTGGTCCATTAGTTAATATGAAAAGCGATTTTTCACAACAACGAGAATGAGGAGATAATGACCATCAATGACGATCCATAGGTCCATTGTGAAATAATGGACCTAAGTGAAATAACGTGCAAACTTTAAGTAAGTCACTAGTCGTAAATCAACATATTTTCTTATTCATCATTATTGGACACGTAGTGGACCTATCGATCGTTTTGTTATTATGTTGTTGCTCATGTTATATTTATATTGCTAAAAATATCATATGTTTAAATAAATTTTCTATCATTGAAAACTATTGTCTTTTTAAAATCTCTATGTTTTGGGATTGCATCGGTAATGTTGCTATTTCCAGGCCTGTGTTGTCAGAGTCAGGCATTTGAAATTTTCAAACTTTCCAAAGTCAGAATCACAGACTTGCAGATGATCTGGAGATGGGAGGTTAAAAGAAAGGCCAATGCTCTAATTATTCGAAATTTAAAAATTATGGCATTGAAACTGTGTTTATTGAATAAGTTTTACATATTTGAAATTAGTTTGAACATGTGAGCAAGTAGGTCAATGCAAGAAATATAAATGAAAATAGCTCAAATAGATATTTATGTGTAATATTCATGAATCCAATATTTATAAAAGGTATTTCTGTGAGGCCTATTAAAAAGTTTTTTGCGGCAAATTTACTACAAATATTCACTTCAGTATTTCTGACATAATACGCCGTGCTCTTTCGATTCAGGGTGATAATTATACATTGCTTGGTGTTGATGTGAAGATTGTTTGTAAACTTGCAGCTGTAGCGTAGTAGATGAACTGCCAGAGTCTGGATAACCAGAAAGCCATCGTACGAATGGAGCAATTGATCCGTCTGCAAGCGTCACTGTTCTTGTCTAAAATTAAATGAAACAATTCAATTAATTATCAATCAAAACAAACGAATCGTTTTCATTATACATACGGTACAATGAAATGTATCCATGCCGTTGCCCAGATTGAACAAAGTAACCGTGAAATTCAGTCTACTTGTCACCGGCTATTTTGTAATGGCTGTATGAATAAAACTTATGAGTGCAAATTACCAACAGCATAGCCTCAATTTAAAAATAGGGAATTCCCATCCTTGTTATTTTGATTTAATGGTATTCTGGAAGTTTTTAAAAAAAAGAATTCAGGGTAAAAGTTGATCATTACACGAAAAGTTGAGACTGTACGTAGCCTACTTATTGAAGATTGAACTGTAGATTAATAGAGAAGTACTGCTAGCTTAAGGAGAAAATATTATCAATAAACAAAACAAAAAATAGGATCCACAATCATTTTCATGAGATACTGAAATGACGAAAGCATGAAATAGGGAAAGATCGTAATATTTATTTAGAATATAATTAAGAGTATAACTGATTGCATGACAGTGTTTAAAAATTTGAGTATGTAAAGTCTTTAATGATAGGAGGTAAATCATTTCAAATTTCCCGCTATTATGGCATTGTACAAAATACTGTGAAATAATTATCAAATGCTTATATGGTAATAATCTCGAAGAGTATTGGTGCATTACTTTTGTAACTTCATAAAAACATAAGTTGCAGCCACTTTGTTCATTAGAACCCTTAAAATAACTAACCCAATGCTTGTGAAAACAAACTAATTAATCATGGATTTGCAATTACGAAATACAAAGTCTTTGAACTTGAGTTTTTTATTGCAAATAGAGGGATACGAGAAATACGAGGTGTAGTATTGAATATTAGTAGTAGTTTGACAATTTTGAGGTAACTTGGTGCCCCCATGCAACCAAACGCTACTGGGTGCTCCCGAAGTATGCGAACCAAGATGGCGAACATCGGAATGTAACATGGGTAACAGGTTAGGGTTAGGCGATAATTTTTTTCCAATTTTCCTTATTTTAGTCCTATTATTAGTTTGAAGACTAGCCAAGAGCCTCCCGTAGTATTTATACCTAAAATTATGGCCTAACCCTAACCTAGTACACATATTACGTTCCTATGTCCGCCATCTTGGTTTGCATACTTCGGGAGCCCCCGCTACTGAATATGAGACTGAAGGAGAGCAAAGTATTTCATATGCAGAACTCGAGTGGGGACTCTGGGGAGGAGTTTACAACCTTTATTCAAATTACAACAACCGGTGATAAATTTTCTAACAATCTGTCACACGTTTATTCCAGTTCAGGTTTTTCTCAATATTTATGCTTGGGTGTTTATAAAAAATTACCATTTAAGAGTAGAAGAAGCCTTTAAGAAGTTCGGGAAAAACTTTTACATTCGAATATTTATTGACATTTATACGAGTTGATTAAGTCGACACGGTTAAGAACAGCACAATTTCCTTCTACCTGTTTAGACAAGATACTTACTGAAGGGTTTATGGTCATTCCAAGCCAGACGTGTACCCAACTATGAGACGAAGGAATCAACGGTCGAACGTACGTCTTAATTTGTTCGAAATGTTGTGAGTCCTGAATGAATGCAAGCTTTCCTTGCCTTTGTGCGCATATTGCAGATGCTTCGTTTAAGTTAACATTTGCAGAAGAACGTAAAACAGTCCAATAGCAAGTTTTCTTGTAAACAATACCATTGCAAATTGGTTCCACGTCATCACACCCGGAATCTGCAAATATGAAGAGCAAAAACTTTTTAAAAAACATTAGGGAAGAATTTTGATTTTTCCATTCATAAGTGAAGAAAACGTTTGATAAAGCCTGAGCGTTCAAAACGAGTATTGATTATTTGATGAAGTCGTTGTGATTTATAAAGAATGTTAGGACCTACCTTTTGAAGCATTTTTCTTCAGTTCAAGAACTAATTCTTCTAACTTTTCTACTCGTATGGTTAAATTTCCATTAGCTGTTTACAAAAAAGTTTCAAATCATTGTAATGAATCAACTAGTTCTAGTTTTATACAGAAATATCAATGTATTTGTCCAGTTGATGAATAGAATAGGCCTTGTATGAGTGGCTCTTGCATATATATTGCTTTCCTGAGCATTCATTTTCTTATTTACTTGCTGAAGCTAATACATTTTGCAAGCGTCGTCCCGTTTTTGTAGTTTTGGTTTCATTGTGCTCGTAAGTTCGGGTCAAGTCTGCTCTGATTTCGTATTTGTGAAACTCCTATTTTATCTACAGTAATCGGTAATCATTCCAAAAAAATCTTACGAATAAATTTTTCTTCTTTGAAACCTGCTTGATTTTTTGAAAATAAAATAGTAATTTTAAACTCAGGAAGTCACACCAACCAACACAAAATGCAATTGTGATTTATTGCAAAGAAATTCATATTGAACGAATATATATGCATAAAATTGGTAGTTTTTTTATGAAAATATTTTCATGATTTGTTTAAATTTCTGAGATACAAGTTCAAATAATTACAGAGTTTTTCAATATATATATATATTAAAAGTTTTAAGTTTTGATTTCAAACATAAAAAACAATGTTTAGCGGTTTTGCAGAGTATCGATCAGATCAAGTATATATTTATAGTGCGCATAATGTCACAATTACGCTAATTCTATATTTAAATAATATTTTCAGGTTGAATACGGATTTCAGATATATGGCATCATTTACAAATAGCCTGGACACTAAAAAGCAATCTCGGCCATTGATTTAAATAAATAAACCCAAACATACCTTGTTCGATTGTTTCCTCAATTTTTTCATTTATCCTGTTGTAGTTGACAACACCTGAACCACCTTTTTCACCCTTACTACCAGATATTCCGCGTTCCCCTTTAAAACCTTGTGGTCCCCGTTTTCCAGGCATCCTATGGTCTCGCTGTGAAGTTGTTGGTATAGCGTGACCCCCTTCTCCTGCAAAAACGTCTTCGACTGTTTTACAAATCATATGCTTCGAGTTTCCTTGCACAATGTTTGTCATATAACACATGGACATGATACAAATATGTAGGTTCTGCATTGTTTTTGGCCTAGATTTCAACATTATTCACATCGTTATTCACATTGTACCCTGCAACTATGTTTTGGAAGTCAGATATACGTATGCAATATTAAATATAGGACACATTTGATCGATCTGCAAAAAGTACAAGTTTCAATGTTATCAGGACATTTCATTATTACGTGCTAACATCAGTTAAAATACATGATAATAACTGAATTTCGCAATATAAAGTCTAAATTAATATGGATTTCATACTCCACAATAAAGGAGAAAACGCTTTTTACAACATTATATGGCAAAAATTAAAGTTTTCATTTTTTAATTAATCTTCAGTTTATTAGAATAAAATCTAGAGGTGAAAGTGATTTTGAACTAGTTTTTCTTCATTCATTCATGCCGAAGAAGAAGAATGCTGTTCTTCTGATGATCTTTACCTGTACATAATTCGAGAATCAACTTACTCATAGGTGGAAAAACCTATGTAATAGTATATTTGTAGATGAAATGTCATATGCAAGAAGCTCAAAGAAACTCAAAGAAGTATTTGTTGAAATTTCTTTAAGTACCCTTTTGCTTGAAGCTGATTTATAGAAAGTTAGCTATGGCCCATAAAGCAAACGTGTGTGTAAACGCTTCCCAAAGTAGTACATCCGATAAAATGTCATTTCATATTTGAAATTAAGCAGTATTTTACCCTATGCTATTTTTGTGAAGTTTATGAAGTATCTTGATCAAACCCAGATTCGGAATTTGTTCTCTTATCTTATATGGTCCTCTCAGAATTCAGAAGCTTATTTGATGTCGCTATCATTTTGGCGTGTGGAATGCTGGTATGTGTTCATTGACGATGAGCTTTACAGACATGCGTTTATTAAACTATGACATAAACAGCAAATGAGCTGATTTTTGTAAAAGCAATTGTGTGTGCGAATATAAGACTGATGGGTTCTTGCATCATCGGTACCTTCCCGCAAATGTATAGTGCAGTGCGAAAATTGGATGGAATAATTATTTAAAACTTTAATTAACTTTGTAGTGAATTCTATATATTGCTCAAACGTAGTTGGTCTGAAGCCCAACCAACAAATTTTGATATGTAATTTAAACGCAGTTTCCGGTGTTTCACAATTATATTATGGACGACTAGTGTGTAAAACGCGATACTAAAACTAAAAAATACGCTGCGGCCGAACCAGATATAGGCGCCTTTCCAAATGAAAAACATGACCGAATGGAGATCTAGATTTTTTTGTTCTCTGCTATACACGTGCGCATTCAAATCTCATTGTCAGAATTCCAATTCTTTCCGTGAAAAATCTTGCAATAGCTGTGCAACTGTTTTTTATATATTGAACAGAACTGTGCTCAAATCGCAAATTTTCTGAACAACTGAACAATGCCATTTCTTTATTCATCCACCAATTGCCGCTGCCAATTTTCTAACATAACTTTGGTTTGATTATAAATTTAATATTATACAAATTTCGAAACGATAGCATCAAAACAATATATACTAAATAAGTTGTAGGAGTTTTAATTAACTAGAACGCGTGTGCAGAATAATCCAAGAAGTATAAACACAAAAGATAATTTTTTAGAATATACTTGGTGGATCTATGAAAAATAGTTTGTCAATCGAGTCGTCAACGTATACACTGTACAATACAGTCTACAATCTACATGTTACGAGAAACAGTCACTTTATTATTTTTGACACAGAACACCGCTCACTTCCGATGTAGGGGTGCGATTGAACATTGCTTCGTGTACATGGGAAGATTGTTTGTAAAATTGGAGCTGAATTTTAGTATATGTACTAATCTGCGATGGATAACCAGAAAGCCATTGTATGAACGGAGCAACAGATCCGTCTGCAAGCGTCACCGTTTGAGTCTGAAGCAAAAGAATAACAATATAATTTATTAATAATTCGGATTTCAATAAATATAGATGCAAGATCGGATTTTAAAACTAGCCACCAACGTCTCTAAAGCTGATTCTCTGAATTCATCATGATTTCCAGACAATATTCCTAAGGAAAATAATTATGTAATACATTTGAAATCAAACGTGATGTGACATGGATTTGCAGTTTATTGGCAGAATGCTATACTTTTATATATATTTAAATGAATTTTGAACTTATATTGATTTTGAAGTATTTCATGATTTGTCAATTTGGTCGAAAAACTTATCCGAAGTGTCGTGTTGTTGCCATAAACAGATAACAAAATCAAGTTAAACGACAAGTACTTGTTTAAATGTACCAAGCTTGAAGATTTAATTTATTACAAGGCTTATTGAACAGCCGTCTGCTTTATCATTGAAATGATTTATTTTTTTCGAGTCGCTTGGTTCTATATTTGAAATCGACACACACTTTAAATTAGATTGATACAAAATACATTAGAATCAGTATTACTATTGAGAATGTCCCCATTTTTCTAAAAATATCAGAACTCTCTAACAAGTGTCTTAAATATGAAATAAAATACCAGGGACTTGTGCCGATAGGATAATAACATGTTGAACGACCTCTAGTCAAATATTCGTCGAGACTTTTCGGTCTAAACAATCATGAAATGCACATACTTCGTCCGCCTGATGAGATAAGAAACTTACTGTGGGGTTTATGGTCATTCCAAGCCAGACGTGTACCCAGCTTTCCGAAGAAGGAATCAGTGATCGAATGTATTTCTTGATTTGTTCGAAATGTTGGAAGTCCTGGATGAACGCCAGCTTTCCTTGCCTTTGTGCGCATATTGCAGATGCTCCGTCCCAGTTTACATTTCTAGAAGAACGTAATACAGTCCAATAGCAAGTTTTCCTGTAAGCAATACCATTACAAATTGGTTCCACGTCACCGCGCTTGGAATCTACAGAATGAAAAGTGCAAAAAACTCTTTGGAAATTATTTTGGAAGCATTTTGATTTATTCAATTATACGTAAAGAAAAAGTTTAATAAAACCTTAGCGTTCAAAAAAATTATTGATTAATTAAAGCAGCCATTATGATTTATAAAGAATATTATGACCTACCTTTCAAATAATTCTTATTTAGTTCAAGAACTAATTCTTCTAGCTGTTCTACTCGTCTGGTTAAATTTCCATTAGCTGTTTACAAAACAAGTATCAAATCATTATTAATATAAATCAACTGGTTCTAGTTTTATACAACGGTATCAATGTATTTGACCAGTTAATGAATGGAATAGGCCTTGTATGTGTGGCTCTTGCAAAGGGCACATTACTTGAAATATATAGTGCCTTCCTAAGCATTCATTTTCTTATTTACTTACTGATGCTCAGACATTCTGTAAGCGTCGACCAGTATTTATAATTTTAGTTTCATTGTACTTATAACATCGGGATACGTTTCTGCGATTACGTTTTTGTGAGGTTTGTGTTTTTCTACAGTGATGGAAAATCATTCCCAAAAAATCTTACAAATAATTATTTCTGTAACCGGCTTCATTATTGAAGAACATCATGGTAATTTGGAAACGATAAAGTTACACCGACAGACACAATATGCCTTTTCAATACATTGCAGCAGAATCTATATCAAACGAACATGTATAAAATTGGATGTTTTATGAGGAAATCATTTTTATGATTTGTCTAAACTTCTGATGTACGAGTTTAAAAAATTACATTATGATTCAATACACATTATAATTTTAAGTTTTGTTCTCAATCCTAAAAAAACAATGTTTCGCAAATTCACACATTATTGATCAGTTCAATCATATATTTATATTATTTACAATGTCACAATTACGTTAATTTTATAATTAAATAATATTTCAAGGTTTAATTCAGATATCTAGTATCATTTACAAATAGCCTGGACACTAAAAAGCAATCTCGGCCATTGAGTTAAATAAATAAACCCAAACATACCTTGTTCGATTGTTTCCTCAATTTTTTCATTTACCCTGTTGTAGTTGAAAACCCCTGGATCACCTTTTTCACCCTTACTACCAGATATTCCGCGTTCCCCTTTAAAACCTTGTGGTCCCCGTTTACCGGGCAGTCCATGGTGTCGCTGTGAGGTTGTTGGTATGTCATGATCTGCTTTTCCTGTAAAAACGTCTTTGACTGTTTTACAAATCATATGCTTCGAGTTTCCGTGCACAATGTTTGTCATATAACACATGAGCATGATAAAAATATGTAGGTTCTGCATTGTTTTAAGCCTAGATTTCAACAAACAAACAAAAGTGGTATCTTTCTGAATGCAAGTAACTCTTTTCTTCTTTGTGCGTTGGGGGCGGGAAAAATAAGAGTTAATATTCCCATTGTACACAGAAGTACGAATTTTTCAATGTTATCAAGACATTTGTTCATAGTATTACGTGCTTACAACAGTTGAATTACATATTAAAGGCTGAATTTCGATGAATAATGTCTTAGCTAATATGGGTTTTATGTTTCACAATAAGGAAGAAAACGCTTGTTATAGCATTATATGGCAAAAGTTTTTATATTTCTAATTAATCTTCAATTTATTAAAATAGAAACTAGGAGTAAAATTGATTTTAAACTAGTATTTTTTTATTTATTTAAGCTGGAGAAGAACGATGCTGTTCTTCTGATGATCTTTTCCTGTACATAATTCAATAGTCAACTTACTCATAGGTGGAAAAACCTATGAAATAGTATATTTGCAAGTAAACAGTCACGTGCAAGAAACAGAAAGAAACTTATAAAATATATATTTGTCAAAGCGTCCTTAAGTACCCTTTTGCCTAAAGCTAGTTTAAAGAGAGTTACCTATGCCCCATATAGTGAACGCGTCTGAAGCACTTCCCAGTGGTAAATCTGATAAAATAGCATTTTGGATTTGACATAAAAAAATACTTGATCAAATTACCTCTATGCTGTTTTTGTGAAGTTTCGTGAATATCTTGATGAAACCCATATTCGGAATTTGTTCTGTTATCTTATGGTCTTCCCAGAACTTAGTCGAGTATTTTAATTCGCTATCATTTTTGTATGTGGAATGCTGGTATATGTCTTCATTGACGTCAAGCAAGCTTTGCAGATCATCGGTTGTTGAGAGAAGATCATGATGTATCGCCGCCGTTGTAATTTAAGAATACAGAGTTAGCACAGCTGTGGCAGTTTCTTTGAAGGCTGCCGCGATAAAATAATAATAATTCAAAACCTGATTAATATCATCTTCTGAATATGATTTTGTTTGCCAGGGCTTGGAATTTTCGGAATGTTAAACATTAATGTTTAGAAATCGAACTTAAGGAATAATTATTGTGTAAAGATTTTATATATTATTTATCGAATGGCAAACCAAGCCCGATGAAGTTTTGAAATTCTAATTTTTGCACACGATGCTCACTCCCCTCTTTCGAGTCGCACAAGCGCTGACCTATATCCTGCGGTCTAGGTCCGACATTGTATTACGGATGAAAATATGGATACATGTTTAAGAGTATTTTCTCTGTTTGACGCTTGATTTAGGAGTTTATAATCAATATTTTATTCTAAAATATTTAACCAACTGTCATTTAGTAATATCGATGGATAATATTTTGACCCAGACTATTGCATTTATTTGGGACTAAATTTTAAAAACTGCAACTAAACTAAATTTTGTAGGAGAACTGGTATTAGGAGTTATAAATAGAAATAGCTATAAAAGTTGGATACGAGCAATCCAGTTTTCTAAAAATTACGTAAAAAATTCATTAAAAAGTTGTATTGCGATCACAGCGTCATATTAATAGCCAACCTTCAATTCATTATGTCTGACATAATACACCTTGCTTTTTCGATTCAGGTGAATATTTATACGTTGCTTGGTATTCACGAAAAGATCACATCCATTTAATGAACGATGTTCATCAGATAAGACACGGACATAATAAAAATACGTAGGTACATGTTCGAACATATGCACCTGTATTTCAATAACTAAATTAGGAAATATTTTTTCAGTTAGATAGTTTACATTATAATGCACATTGTGCCTTGAATATACATTTTTAAATAATCTTCGGCATAGTCAATACGATTTAGATGTAAAATCGCATTGAACCTATTTTCCTTATTTATCTATGATTCAGTTTAAATTAGGTTGCGCGACTTTTTACTCCCATTTATCTTTACCGGTACATTAATTATTAATAGACTTGGAACTTAAAAAATCGGCGCTCCGGGAGTACCAAAAAATCATGTGCAGTGGTTTCACGCTCGAAATTTTGTATTTTTCGAAGCGTCTTTAAAAACCTATTTGCCAAAAGCTGATTTATGGAAAGTTAGCTATGGCCCATAAGAGGAATGTGTCTGTAAATGCTTCCTACGGCAGTACATCTGATAAAATGTCAGTTCACATTTGACATTAAGAAGTACTTCATCAAATTACCTCTATGCTATTTTGGGAAGTTTCGAGAGCATCTTGATCAAAACCAGATTCGGAATTTGTTCGTTATCTTATTGTCTTCACAGAACTCAAAGCAGTATTTGAAGACGCTGTCATTTTGGCACGTGGAATGCTGGTATATGTGTTCATTGACGATAAGCTTTATAGGCAGGCTATCTATCGGTCGTTTGGAGTAGACCAGTGTTTCCCAACCTTTTTTGATCGCGGACTATTTTCTCACTGGCGAAAACCTTTGCGGACTCAACATGAGTTTATGGCAACCGTACTCTGTGTGAAGAAGTAATAAAAACAAACACAACAGAATTTTACCGAATTTCAAAATCGGAAATGCTACGCAATTACGCCTTTGTTAAAAGGACCAACTTCTCTAGTGCATAAATGGCCTTTTCTGTTGCACAATATTCAATCCTTGACAACGACAAGAATTTGAAATGTGTTCTTATTTTAATTTAATTGTGTTCATGATCACTCGCGGTTGCGTTGACTTATGACAAGATGAAAGCATTACTTCTTTTAAATGTCACGGCAATCTGCGAACATAATATTGTGAGAATATATTGCCGGTTATATTTAGTTTTGATATTAATTATTTGCGAATTTGTTATCGCCGTTGTACAACTTGATTTAGTAGACTACTTACTAAAAATATAATTAGTACATTAGTAAATAAAAATAAAAAATATTCATCATCTTGCTTTAATTATAATTTAATTGTGATCATTTTAATCTGCGGTTGTGTTGACGATCCGATCCGTGGACACAAAAATTCGTAGTAAAGTGTCCGATTATATTTTGTTCGATTCGTATTTTTGTGAATGCGACAAATATGAGCTGTTCGTACAACAGTAAAGCCAGAAGTCGGCAACATTTTGTCGCTCGCAGGCCAAAATAAAGGTTGCAAGTCATTGGTTGGCCGCGCATATTTTTAGAAAGGTAAAAGCCGGACGTATGGCCAATGAATCACATTTTTTCACACAAGTTAAATTTTAAGCAGCGCCCGAAGACTGACCATTTGAATATTGAATCAATTGCACTTAGCGTTCGACTTTTCTGCGTTTTGTTGCCATGGAATGCCTAATTATAATTAATTTCTAGGCTCATTCAACGAGTAATTGTGAATTATATACTTGTTCGGTTATGATTTAATTTAGTCTAAACGTGCCGCAAAATAAATTCTGTCACGTAAAGAGTATAATCGAAAAAACAGCTGTTTTGTTACTATAAGTCAGAGAAGCGTCGCGGGCCTGATTATATTGCTCCGCGGGTCGTGGGTTGCGCACCCTGCAGTAAAGCAAAGAATTCTGAGGGAAATGCCCTGATACGAATACTACGGTAGCACCCGAAATTTTGCATTTGCAACATGTCTAAAAAAACGTTTTTTAAAAACTTGTTTTATTTTCAGTATTTTGTATTGCCGCTTTTCAATTTAGAAAATTTAGGTTGCCACCAGAAAAATTATTCCTCGAACAACAACGCCTCCGGACTCATTTGAGACCGCGGACTCGGGTTGGGAAATACTGGAGTAGACCATGAAATAAACAGCAACGAAACTGATCTTCCGAAAAACATTGAGTAAAGCAATTGTTTACGATATTATAAGACTGATGGTATTTGCATTATCAGTACCTGAATCTAACGCAAATATGTAGTGCAGAACGAAAATTGATGTGATGATTACCACCTAAAACTCTTTTCTTTAGCTCTTTTGTAAGCAGAAGCTTAAAGTTTTCTGTTGTGTTGAAGATTCGGAAAATGACGATGATTATTTGGTGAATCACTTTACACTTGCAAAATGTCATATATTCGTTCTATCCCACATGGAACGTTCTATCCCAGGCTCTCTCGCTTCGAGGGGTCTTTTCAAGAAGTTAAAAACCGATGTCATTAACACGAATGACAAGGTAGCGACAAAAACAAACGCCTATGCAAAATTTCCCATAATCGTTTCGGTGTTTATGAACTATAAATTAATTCTTATAATGAGTTTTAGCATGAATGTTTATTAATTTTGCTATTTTCATTACTTATATCCATAATTGCTCTGTTCTGCACGTGGTTTTTCACGCATACCTTAAGGCTTTGCTTTATACAAACGCTATTAAAAAAAATTGAGTTTGAAAATTTTCTGAATGAATAAATTTCTATACTTGAAAAAATTAAAAAAAAAAAAAATGTGGCTTATAATTTCAATTTATCGCAGTCGATACGCGGGCCTCAGCAATTAACCTTAAATAAGTGGTAAATCTTACATATATATAGCTCAAACGTAGTTAGGCTGAAGTCAAACCGATGAATTTTGATAAGTAATTATAACATGTCTCCTGATATCCGTTGAGAATTATTTTATGAACGACATCTGGACAAGTTAAGTAAAACCAGATACTAAAACTAAAAACTACGCAGCGACCAAACCAGGTATTGGTGCCTTTCCTAATGTTAAACCTGACCGAGAAGAGAATGGAGATCTAGATCTTTGTTGTTATCTGCTTCACACGTGTGCATTCAAATCCCGTTGCCAGAATTTTTTAAATTCCTTCCTTTAGAAATCTTGCCATAATTGTTCAATAGTCTTGTCCATCAACTGTCGCTGTCGCCCCTTTTTTTTAACATAACTTTCATTTGATTAGCAATTTAATATCATACAAATTTTGAAACATTAGCATCAGAACGATTTATATTAAATAAGTTGTGAGCGTTTCAATAGACTTAATCGCGTATGTAGGATACTTCAAAAAGTATAAATGCAAAAGATGTATACGTGTCCGTTTCCTATAATGTACTTGGTAGATCTATCAAAAATAGGCGAACCATATTATATTAAAAAAAAAAAGCGGGAAAGTGCAGATTTAGCAAGCCAACTGTAATTCGATTCCGAGTCTAATATAAGTAATATTTTAACATTATCATTGTGGGTAGATTACGAGCATGAAAATTAGCTGTATATCCTATAAAATATCCTCTATTGGCCTTTGCTTCAAATAATGAAAATCCGACTTCAATTTTTCTATCTATACTATTGAAATGAGTTAGAATCAAAGATAAATTGGCTGCATTCGTTAAAAAAATATATTAACATCAAACAAAACAAAAAAAAATTATGGCTGTGATCTGCCTAACCGGGACATATATTGGCCGGGACAACTTGATAAAATAGGTACTGTCCCGGCTGAAACGGGGCGTATGGTGAGTCTAATCAAAAATTAGTTGGCCTATCAGGTGGTGAAAGTATGCACCCGACATTTTACAACAAGCAGTCACCTAATTATTTTTGACACAGAACACCGTGCTCTTTCGATTCCGGAGAAAGATTGTACATTCCTTGGGGTTCTTTAGAAGATTCGTTGTAAACTTGGAGCTGGATATTAGATAATGTACTGCTCGGATTTGGATACCCAGAAATCCATTGTGTGAATGGAGCAACAGATCCGTCTGCAAGCCTCACCGTTAGAAACTGAAACAGAAGAATTCCAATATAATAAATTAATATTTAGTATTAATATTTATTCTCTATATATATATATGCAAGATTGGATTTCAAAAATAAATAGCCTATAAATCCAAAAAAAAAGTTTTTTTTTGACTGCTTTCTGATTTTGCTTTACTAATTATTATATGTTATTACTAAAAAAATATGTAATACATTTTGAAATGAACGTAATGTCACATGAATTTTAAGTTTATTGGCAGGATGCTATACTTTCATATATATTTATATAAATTATTTTCGAACTGATGTTGATTTTGAAGTTTAGCATGTTTTGTTTATTTGATCGATTATGGGGCTCTAACTGTCAGGTGTCCAACTATTTTTCAAATATACTTGTAAAAAACCTTCTCTTTGTTGTCGAAGCAGTATACAAAAGTAAGTTAAACGGTACGTTCTTCTTTAGATGTACTGAGCCTGAAACTTAATTACTAAACTGGTTTATTTACTGTGGATTCACTCAGAAACATGAGCAATTTTCGGACCTTACTTATTTATATCTCAAAAGCTCAGCTGGCACAGCCGACTAAACAGCCGTCTGTTTTATCATCATCGAATGAGTGATTTATTTTTTCAAGTCGCTTGGCTTAATATTTGAAATCTGCACTCGCATTAAATTAGTGTGGATTCGAAATTCAGTTATTTAAAACAGATTGATACAAATTAGATTAGAATCAGTATTACTACTAAATATTTTTCTAAAAATATCGAAACTCTCTAACAAGTGCCTTAAACTCAAAATAAAATACCTGAAATTTATGCCGTTAGGATACTGGCAGCTGAAGCGATCTTTTCAAATATTTATCAAGAATTTTAATTCAAAACGGTTATGAACTGGACATATTTCGTCCCCCTGATAAAACAAGAGAGCTACGCCCAAATATATGGACACGTCTGTTCGCAGTACAGTACGGTTTACCGTACCGTCAGATCACAGTTTAAAAATATATTCACACCAAGCGGAGCAGTACAGTAGGATAAAAAATGGCGTCAGATGTCCGCAGAACGTTCGGAGACGTCATAGCAAACAAAAATAAATCTTACAGAGCTAACAGAAACATTTGAAATAAATAAAAGTAATGTCCTTCTGGAGAAAAAATCACATCTTTAACCACTATAAATTTCAAAGCAATTGGTCCAGTGATCAAAGAGAAAAGCGGTTTTTTAACATTTCCACTAGGTGTACAAAAAGTGTCAAAGAACAACAAGAACAAGAACAACATAAAAACAAAACGATCGTTATGTCCACTAAACGTGTCCAATAAGAAACTTACCTTGGGGCTTATGGTCATTCCAAGCCAGACGTGTACCCAGCTTTGCGAAGGAGGAATCAATGCTCGAATGTACTTCATAATTTGTTTAAAATGTTGTGAATCCTGGAAGAACGCTATCTTCCCTTCTTTCCGTGTGCATATTACAGATGCTTCGTCGAAGTTTACATTTCTAGAAGAATGTAAAACAGTCCAATAGCAAGTTTTCCCGTATGTAACACCAACGCAAATCGATTCTTGGGCATCAGTCTCGAGACCTTTAAAAATAAATGTGAACTTGTTTCAAAAAATATAACTTGTAAATAATTTAATTAGGCATGACTGTTATGTAAATATAAATTCATTACGTGTAGAACTGTATTGTGTATCAAATGTGTGTTTGATGTGAGAAACTATTGTTATTTAGGAAAGAGAATTTGACTTACATTTCGAAGCATTTCTTTGTAATTTGAGAACTTGCTCTTCCAGCTTTTCTACTCGTCTGGTTAATGAACCAGTAGCTGTTTATAAAACACATTGTAACTAATTTTGATCAATGGATTCGTTGTTATCGAGCTCTAATTTTATCATCGCATCCAACCGACCTCTTTCCAGATAATATATATATATTATGAATCGAATAGAACTCGCAAATCTATCGTTCCAGCAAAAGATATCTTATTTGAAATATAGGATGCTTTCTAGACAATTCCTTTTGTTTACTGAACACTGCGATTGGACATCTATATAAATGCAAGACAAATACCTTGACTGTAATTTTATTCTCTTGAAAAATTTATTTTATCAATTATAGTCGGGAATTATAAAATCCTGCAACGGCTTAGCTGAATATTACCATTCAGTATTTCTATGGAAGCTGCAAAAATATTTTGAAATTAAAAAATGTAATTTTAAATTAGTAAAAATATCATAAGCCAAGAAAAAAAACTTGAAAACAATTGCAATGATTAAGTAGTGGTAGAATAATATACAAAACTCTTCACAAATTCCGTTAAAATAGTAATTTATCATTGGGTCAAATAAACACAAACTTACTTTGTTCAATGATTTCTTCAATTTTCTCATCCACCATGTTGTAGTTGACAACACCTGGCTCACCTTTTTCACCCGATAGCCCGCGTTCTCCTTTAAATCCTTGTGGCCCTCGTTGTAAAGTTGTTGGTATGTCATTAACTTCGATTGTTTTGCAGATCATATGCTTGGTGTTTCCGTAAACAATGTTTATCAGATAACACATGAACATAATAAAAACACGTAGGTTCTGCATTGTATTAGGCCTAGATTTCACTAAAAAAGGTTATGGATTATTTTCTCGGTTGGAAGATAACATTGTGAAATTACATTTTTCAAATTCAGCTAATTATGCAATAGCAATACTAAAAACTACAAACATTTTTAATTTATTCTTCAACCTAGTAAATGTATTTGTATACAAATAGATTTAAAATCGATTTTGAACCATTTTCAATTATGTTATTAAGTTATGCTTCAGTATTGTAAGAGGTACGTTACTTTACTATCAGGGTTTACCGGTAAATATATATATAACATGAAAATATGATGTACAGTGGCATGAAGAGCCCAAATAATTTCTGTTATAAATTCCAAATATCATGCTATTAGTATAAAAACATTTATTAAAAGAATTACTCGAAAATAAAAAAATGACTTTGAAGCATCCCGGGGCAAAAAAACTCTCCTATTTCATTTTAAGCTAATTTAAAATGTGGGAAGTTTTTTGGGTTCACGCTGTAAAATAAGTAAATAGTTAATGTGCCCAAAGCTAAGTATTTTTTCTTTGTCTCTTTTGTAAACTAATTATGGAATGTCTGCTCACGTTTGTTATTTGCATTCAGTCTGATTTGGGAGAATATTGAAAAAAAAAATTAGAAACATATACAAAGCCAAATAACGTTCAATGTTGTTTTGAAGTGGAAGTCGTTGTCTCGTCTGAAGATGATTAGATATTCCAATAGATAAACGTGCCTGTAAACGCTTCCCTTGCTCGTACATCAGATAAATTGTCATTTTTAATTTGATATTAAAAGTATTCTTGAGGGTGGAGTGGGAGGGGGGCACCCTGTACATGCCAAGATTCTGGAAATTGCGCTTTCTTTTGCTATTGTTTTCGTCTTCCTCAAATCAGAATTAGGTGTATATGGTATTTTTGGCACATATATAATTATGGTATTTCTGGAATTTTTGGTACGTGAGCTGCTTGTATAGAATGTCTTCATTGACTTCATTGTCTTTGTGGATGAAAGCTCATGAGAATAAACCGTGGGTGCATCAATCAACGTCTTTCCAAATAAAATTTGAGTTTTAAGGATTCGCAGTATTTTTGCAAATTTGTCCTAAATAAATACAATTTTCCATGGAAAATGACCCATAAATGACTGGTATTTTTGGAATTTTGAAATGATGTGTGTTTAAGAACAAATTTCTATTTTTTATTCACAAATTGTTTTGTAAAATTTTATATATATACCACTTATTCAAAAAAGAAGCCCGATTTTCACTCCCGAAAATACGTCATCTATTTCTGCATTGGGAATTATCAGACCGATAGTTTTTGCATTAATCGATACATACTTTTTGGCGAATGTACTGCGTGGAATTTGAACGGAATTACTTAGAATTTTCTCAAACTTCGCCTTACCTTCCAATATATATAAATAGCAATTCGATGACGGGTATTTTCAATTCTGGCAAAAAAAGCAGTTTTAAAACACATTGCGCATTAACAGTTTAAGATGCCTAATAAGTATACTTTGTTCTAGTTGTTTTGTTGCAATGACATGAAAATTGCATGAAGGAAAATCCTGTATTTTTACATTTCCCGCCACCGCTGATGCATTGATGTCATGAGGTTTGCAGGTTGAAATTTTTCTCCTAATGAAAAACGTGGTATCCCTTCATTATTCCCAATATATATAGTTTGCCGATTGTGGTTTATCGACATCGTTAACGTCGTTTATTACTTCCCGATTAATGCTTTTCGTTTTATAAAGTTAAAATAAAAATAAAATATATCGTGAATATTGTAGACTTTGTATGTCGTCTGTACGGCGTTGTTATTGTCCCTCATCGCGAAAAAAATGTGGACAAATAAGAGCAGATAAACTCATTAGCATACGTCGCAAAGCACCAGTTGATAAGGCAGTAAGCGATATTGCAGGTTGAATTGGAAATAAAAACAAGATTTTGTAAAACGAATACTCAAACTGTGCATGTAAAGTCTTTCCAGTAGAAGATGATAATTCTTAAGATATTTGTATTTGTTGTTGTTTTTTACTCTACCCACTCGAGGTTTAACAGGGACGTTCAGATCTCCTTCTTCTGATTGTACCCCAACATGAATTAGAAAAATAAATGTCTTTTCGTCTAGACCAGGGCTACTCAACTGGCGGACCTCGGTCCGAATCCGTGCCTTTCGAGTATTATATTTGGACCTCAGCTGCTTTGAACGCATCATTTAATTTTATTTTGTAATAACGATGTAATGCATTTTTCGCTAAACCACTATTTTGATACCAATATAAGGTTTTCAGAGCATCGACTCACCTGTTTACTCTCTTAGCATTTTCTAATCAGCAAGATGTCAACGGTGGCGTGACAACTGAAGTTTTAACGGCTGCTTGGATATCTTCCACAGATTTTTAGACATGGCGTATTGAAGAGTCTGTAACTCAATGTTTGCTTGCAACTATTAAATTTTTTTAAAACAAATTTCTGACAAATTCGAATGTTATGAGTACGATCATCAGATCGAGTTTATGATGCGATACGGGATCGTGGCAATGGGGAAGACGGTACAAGCTGTGTGCACTATACTTTCACCAAATGTAGATCAATTTATTAAAATTCATACAGGGATTAATAGGCCATATTCACTTCATTCAACCATGAAGCTGTAAGCATTAGGTGAAAACCCATGAAATTAATACAACCGTGATTGATAATGTCATTACATTAGAGTCATAAAAAATCGAAAGGTCGTGATTGGAAATACTTGTAATGTCGGTTGAATCAAGAAATTACATAAATATGAGAAGGAAAATGATCGTGTTTTTGCTCATCACCATCTACACATCAACAGCATACGGACGCTATTTTGGTCTATTCTGGTTGGTAACGTTATATGCAAATACAACCAAAAATATGCATACACAGCCAACATAAAAAACATAACATATATAGTCAATCCCATATGATATACAGCAATTCACGTTATACCTATACGCAGTCAATGTCACATGCATATTTCATGTACAACCAATTATATTTAATGTGCATTTGTCAAGGTCATGTACATACACAGCATACATACCTAACTCAGTATACATAAACAGCCATTTAAGTATCTAAATGGCATATTCAATAATTTTTTCGTATTTTCGAATCATTCATCATTACTGTTCATTTTTTTGTGTAGCTGACATTTGAATTTATGACACATTAGTTTGTTTATTTCTACGATTATAATGATTAAATTGTAATATTATTATTAATAATTTGCGATTGATTAACCGATAGGTGTTCATTTGACGTATGGAAGTTTCGAGGTTCATTTAGGACAGCAGAATGTACGTACTTTATTTAAACTTCAACCAAAAAGATTTGCGTCTCAGCCACGAGTCTTACAAACATATTTTGAAAATATATACATTTTGTTTTTCTATTGGTTGTTAACATTGCTTGCTCTATCCATAAGCTAGGCGACAGCGGCTCCCAACCTTTTTTTCAAGCCACTCAAATTTTTCTAAAAAATAACGTTTGTGAAAACTTTCAACATTTTTGTTAAAACAAGCAATCCAGGAGTAGCCTAATTTCTGGCGACCCAGTTTTGGGCAGGGATTGATAGGCTAGGAAACACTGAGCTAGGGGTTTGTAAGAGACTGAGAAATGCCTTCACTTCTGATTAGTTAGGTTAATTATGCCCCATCCAATAAATGGCGCAAAATAAGTGGATAAAAAGTTAAAAAAACGAGCTCATTGTATGGAAAACGTTCAAAACAGAAACTTGCCCTAAATCGAACCGATTTAAGTGAAGTATTGTTGCCAATGCGCGCTATACATCTCTGGCAGCAGCTCTGGGTCGCCTTGAGTCGGTATTGTCGCAATATATTTAAGCTTTTCAAATGAAATTATGTTTTTATTATTATTAAACTACTGTAAGAGAATATAAACATCATTTCATATGTTAAAAATATATGCTAAAACCTTCATGGATAATATAGATCTATTTGCTTCAAAAAGCGATGGAGGTGGTAACGTGACATACATATACTGCCACGAATATGCATATACCGCCAACATATATGCATATACAGCCAACCAAATTATATACTGCCGAGTCATGTGCATAATATAGCCAAGTCAATATACAAATACAGTCATTAAGGTAATGTGGGGGCAAGTTGGGAAGGTTGGGACAATTTTTTTGCATATTTTGAAACGTTTATTGTGCATAATTATTTCACTCTGCGGGACTAGTGCTGAGAGGAATAAATTTAGTTTTCATCCAGCGACTACGAAATTACCTTGTGACTCACATCTTACCCCCAAAATGCTTTGAAAAACGTTTGTCAAGTGTCCCACTATACGTACTTCCCTTAGGGGCACATTCGGACTGACCCTGGGCAAAATGGGGCATTCTGTTAAAGTATTCCCTTAAAAATAAGCAAAGAATCAGCATCATCATCTAAAGAAAGGGGGGACTTGAAATTTAATATTTTTATAATCAGTGTTCAACCAAAATATTTCAGATATTCTTTCAAAAAAATATTCAAAGAAATTCCGGATACAGTATGAGTGTGAGAACTGATTTTCCACTGTCCCCCATGTAACACCGTGGCCCACTTTCCCCTACCAATACATAATACATCTCATAATACCGTACCAAGTTACATATATGAAAATATAGCCAACTCAATATACAAATACATTCATTTAAGGTGATGTACAAATACTGCCAGATCATTTCATAAGAAACCAATTTTTGTATATGCGGTTGCATCTATGAATTACATGCACATTGCGCGTCGTTCCTAAAATTAGCGCAACAAAAAGCGTAAAAAACTCCAAAGCTGTTAGTGATCGATACGGTATTATTATAGAGGGGGTAAAGCTATACATACATGTTGATTGCGCACAAAAAGACATGGAACTACCAGTATTCGTAGTTCATGATAACTGTACAATAGGTACTAACCTATAATATCATAATACTCCACAACAGCTGGTTTGTTGTTAACATGAAAAATGTGCTGGCTGAAAATCTCTTTTCAGATGACTATTCTTTGGCTACTAGAAATAAACTGTCCCAGACTAATCGAATTAACCCTAATCAGAAAATAAAAAAACATAAAACTACCGGGGCGCGTATATTCATTGATAAATGTCCAATAGGCGCCAATATACGATGTAATAATACCACAACAGCTGATCGTTGATAACACGAGAAATGTGCTGGCTGAAAATCTGTTTTTAAAGAACTATTATTTTAATTACACTAAACTAAATGATACTGATTAATTTTTTACATATACTTCATACTAAGTGTAAGAAACTTCCATCAATAGCCGTTTTGGAGTTTTTGAGAGTCATTTTTAACGCAGACATTATATTAATATGACTTCCAAGATACGTCTTGAAAATGCAACTGCATCGGTACATAATATACAGTAAGTGCAAGTATATGAAATAAATTGCCTATGATGTTGCATGACATCGCTTATTAAATACCTTCATATATACATGAGATTCACTATACATACATATGGCATTGGCCGATTGAGTACATTACTTGAGAGGTCGTATAAGTATATTGCATAGTCCATATACATTAGGGTTGCCATACCGTCCGGAAAATTCCGGACATGTCCGGAATTTAGGGTTAAATTTTACGTCCGGGAGGAATTTTAAAAAATGCTCAAATGTCCGGAATCCGGAATTTTACTGCATCTGCAATCGTACTGTGCACACTGCTAATACTATGAGGTTATGTGGAATTATGATGTAACAGAGCGTTTTCCTTATCAATGATGTTTACCACTTAGAACTTTCTGAATATTATTCGCTGACTGTTTTACCCGTTTAGCTGAGCAGCTGCAAGTGTATTTGATAGCAGTTAGTTCCATGTTAAGTTAGCAGAATACAAAAGTTTTATACCACGAAGCTTTACTTGTGGATTTTTTTATTTGAATGAAAAGCTAGTCAGAAATTCGGGATCGAAAGTGCTAGTCCCTGAAGCCATTTGGTTCAGTTAGTCTGGTGGTAAATTACTTTGTTTTTTAGAGTACTTCTGTTTTACTCAAAAAGATTTTTCCTGATTCTAATGAAACGAAGAAGTTTAGTAGTGGCCGCATAAAGACAGAAAAAGTTGTTACTAGCTTACTTGCGCAATATTCTATCGATGCTGTTCTGAAAAGTTTTGAAGAAAACGATATCGCACCGATTTTGGCGTTGCAATGAACTGAAATTATTTCCTACAATTATTCAATATTTTGACTGGATGAAAGGTGGTTTGCAATCAAAATTGATTGAGTTTACGAACAAGGCAAACGAGACTGCCGACACAATAGCCACTTATGTAATAGACACCTTAGAAGAAATGATGCTTTTGAAAAAATGTGTGGCATTTACAGGAGACAACTGTAAATGCCCCATTGAGGAGAATTAGATCTCCAGAAAAATATGCATGGTCAGAAGAGTAAATTTGTAGTGACTCGACTTACAAGCGTGCCTGTAATTTGTTTTAAGCATGTAATTGCTGTTCTTTCTTTTCGGCACAATCTAATTCTCATTATTATTTTCCACTCTGAAGTTGAGATTTATTTAGAGCTATATTTAGAGAATGCTTACCCGCCTGGTGTGAGATTCTGCTTGTGACTGAAGACAATACTTCTCATTTCGGTAGCGCATATATATGGTCTCCTGAAAATACGGAGCTCCTGAAGTATGTGCACTAAGATGGCGCACAACCTGAACATAGTATAGGTTGTGCGCCATCTTGGTGCACATACTTCGGTAGCGCCGAAAATATTCATGCACTGTCCGGAATTTTGCTTTGTCAAATATGGTAACCCTAATATACATGAGCATATTGCATTGATTGCGAATAAACACTACTCGATTGACCGTATAAGTATATTAATTTGACTACATATGCGTATGATATTGACTTTTGTATGTGCATTATTTCGACTTGCTGTTTTTATGTGACTATTGTCTGATCTAATTGGCTGTATATATATATATATGACATTGGATGTGTGAGTACATCACCAAAATGTCGATATTTGTATATTAATTGGCATGCATATGAAATTGGCTCTATATGCATATTTAGTTGGTGCTATTTGTATATTTTTGACTGTATATAACGTTACCAACCCCACTGATTGATTAAGACCTGATTAACTTTACAAATTCTAAGAATGGCAACGATATTTCAACGGAATGACGCAAATATATACCATTTCACAGCACGCAAGAACCAAGTAGGAGTTCAACTGGACGTATTGAGAAGAACGTACATAAGAGATAGAACGCCAGATACTATGAAGCAAACAGGAAACTGAATGATATATGAAAAATGGAAGTCAAATAAGGATGAAGACGGGTTTACCAGATCGTTTCTTTTTTTAACGATAATGCAATAATTTGTTTGAATTTGATATTTGAAAACTCACGATGTAACAAATCGAGTAAAATGCCTTGTAAATATGAGCAAAAATCCTACAATCGAATTAGCTTCAGAACAGTCACAGCTTGAAATTATTCAGCACAGCAAGTGCATTGTTTAGATCGGGATCATGTGAATCACATATGAAAGTAGTGCAACACGACTGGTGTATTATTTAGACCAGGCATTACATTATGTACTAATGGAACAAATGTGTCCTTGACGTAAGCGTGAGGGTCATATTAATTTCCGCATATGAACAATTCCCACATTACAATTCAAATAATGACGCAGTGGCAACTCATTTTCCATGTTAATTACAACAAACAATAGGCAGGCACGTTCGGCAAGTAAACGACAACCAACAGCCGTGTGCTTCCTCTTACGCTAATGAATACATAAACGCCGTACAACAATTTTTGTCTCGTGCATTGAAAGTGAGGTTCTACGGGGGCCACAAAACATTGTTTGCGAGCTGTATTCGGTCCACGGACCGAAGTTTGCTGACGACTGAAACAGATCATGAAGAACCGATCTCGACACCTTCATGGCGTATAAAAAAAGTGTGTTCCCATTTGTGTCTCATGTCCCATACATCAATTTGCACCACGCTTGCTCAAAAACTCGGCCCTCACTATATGCACGATGTGAATATATGAACATACATTTTCAGTGAAACAAATACGCAAATATATACACAAGAGCACATATTATCTATAAAGCTTGAACGAACAATAGAATCACGACCTGCTTCCAGTGAGGGTCTAATAAACAGAAAGTAGCATTCGCGAATGAAGTAGCCTAATTCTGCATCATACAAACACACAAATATTAAGTGTGATTATATGCCAAATATCTTCGAAGTCAAAATTTGTTATTTTAAAATGTAATATTAAATTAATTTAATTGAATTTGTTTGAATTTTTTGTCCAATTGTAATAGAAAGCATGAATATCCACTTTATAGTGTTAAAATTTTTAGTCAAATTTGACCAAAATGGTATGTAAATTGATGCAAATAGCCAGCTTCAATAATTTGGCATAGTATGGTAGTTTCAAACTGCTCGTAGTTTCTATCAATAGCGGCAAGTACTTTACCTTGTTTGTTTTACAAATTAGAATTTACAGCTGATCCATTTTTAATGTATCTTTACTAATAATAGCATGAATTAGCAAACAAACGTATTGTACACGGGGTGCCGTTTAACTAAATGTCCTTTCAAATAACTGGAGTTTGAATAATGTATTTCAAAAACTTTTCCAGAAAAATAGTATATATCGTACAATGAGTCGTCTAAACCGATTTTAAACATGCGGTTGGATGGCCCCTCCTTGTATATAGAATAAACCAGGAAATACTACGTCACACGGAAGCCCAATATATTAGTTCAAAATTAAGGAAACAGGCTTGAATATGATATAGGTGGCTTGATAGCAAGATATACTACTATATGTAGATAGCTCGAATAGATGAAAGGTGAAATATTTATGTATATTATAATGTAAAAGTGTATGAAGGTATAAAGTTATAGCACGTAATGGTCTTTCACATTTAGTAATGATGGTTTTCTGCCCCAATAATTTTTTTTATCAGGTATACACTGTTTTATTTTAACACAAAATAGTAGTTATAGTAAAGATAAGTAAAACTGATTTACACTTAAATCCGGGTATCCGATTTCGACGACTCATTTATTACCGAAGAAAATGATGAAGTTAATTCTATCAGCGATTCTCGTCCTCTATGCCGAGTTAGCCAGAGGTACGTAGCATTTTAAGTTGAAATAACTCAAATATGTACATATTTCGAACAACAGAACTGAGTTCTGTCAAAAAGAAAAAAAAGTCAATACATATGTATGAAAGTATTTGATTCTGAGAGCATACATAATTTATTCATACGAAAACGGTTACGCTATTTTTGGTGTATTATAGCAGTCAAATAATTCACGGTGCCTATATTTCCTTTTGTGTTCAACAATTATGCACCAAAAACAAGCACCCAATCTAAGCTTAGTTAATCTTATGTGTCAATTGATAAATATTTTGGAAGATAAATTTACCAGCTTTGCATTTAACAAAGTTATTGTTTTAGGTCTCGAAAAGTGCATGATTCCAGCTTTATGCAATAACAGGCAAATACCAGCTTGGATACCTTTTCAGGTACTTTTGGGTGCGTGTGACTCAGAGTAGGTTTACCCTATATCAAATCTAAACTACTGTTTTAAACACTGATATGAGCATAAAATGATGTGTTGTGAATTTTATGTACCGCTATATGAATTCACATTTGTATTACATACAATATCACATTTGTGTTACATACACGGTTTTGTCAACGTTGAGCTATTTTCAAAAAAAGTATATTTTAAAATAAAAACAGTAATTTCTTTGGCTCAATCAGCAGTATTTCTGATATTCGTTTCATGCAAATACAGTTTTCAGCTTACATAATGTATTTTGAAAACATCACGCAATTTGAACTAAACGCCCAATGCCCCACCATATATGATATAAAATAATCTGATTGCATTGAATATATGTGCAGAAATTCAATATAATTTGACAAATTTTTTTTCCAGCCGCAACAATTCAACGATGACTGTGATCGAAGACTAAAAGATTTGCAAGGTTGTCAAGGTTCCGGTTGTCTTGCCTCGTAGATTTATGTTTGACTGTTTATGATTACAGCTTATTCAAATCTCCGAAAAAATTAATGTATATATAATTGCAAGTGCGAGCCCCGTTTATCAGACAATAAATGAATCTACGTTATTCAGACTACAATCACTTGTATTGACGACGGAACAAATTGCGACTGATCGCCTTGGAGATGGTGAAGAATAGTGCGACAATCGCATTTTATTTGTAGTCAATGTTCAAAATATTATAACGCTTTTTGCAAAATGTTTTTATTTTATTTTATATAATTTGACTTTGATCCAGTGGTCCGTCAGTCGAATGTTACTGATTTTAAAAAACTGCTTCACCATATGATTATTTTACCTTCAAATATAATATTAATGAGTATTCTTTTCTTGTCTTATGCCAGACACCTTTAAATCAGAAAAAGAAAATAATTATCCGTGTGTTTAACCATTGAAAAAGGTAAAATATATACTCTATTTTGAAAACCATTTTTATTATGTAAATGCTTTCATTTTCTTAGACCGTCACGATTTATTGAAGAATCAACTCTCGATGTTCTCTAAACAGCCACATTTTTCTGAAAAAATTGCACTTACCGCAGCAAATGCACAACCAACAACTGATGTAATGAACACCATTCAGTCATTTGATGCAACAAAAAACAATTCACAGACTACATTAACAACTATTCAAACAGGACCTGATAAACAATTGACAACTGCCATGCAAACAACTGAGATGCAACGAACAGTAAAACCAGGTGCGTGCGCGTGCTTATAATTTGTTCGAAATATTGTTCAGCAAAATGGTATTTTCGCACAAAAATTGATTCTTTGATTCAGAATTTATAATAAAATAACTTGAGAGCAATGCTCAAATATATGAACACATAGGTTAAATGTCATTGAAAAAGTTTGTGCAATTTAACAACAATTTTTTTTTTTCACAAACTTATTTTGATAACACGATAGTTGGAGGGTCTCCCTAAAACCAGGCACTTGCGAATTCAGGCACTTTGATATATTTTATTTTTACCGTACGTCATTAGGGTTTCCAATTTACCTGACAAGATAATTAGACTTTAACATTGATTACAAAATATAGAAATCAGGCACTTGTGAATTTCAGGCTCTATTTTACAATGTATCTGATTACTCTAAAGCAGAAATTTAAATATATACACTTTGTATGGTTAAATTTACAACATTTTGGTAAAATACAATACCGGTTGTGACTGATGGAGACGTGTCATATTTCGCAAGTGCCTGATTTTTCATTTTTCTTGGTGACAGTTGCCATATTTTTTCGCAATTATTTTCTTAAATTATTTGCGTCAGAACTTACTATTCTTTGCTTTCTAACGCAAATTCATTGTTCCACAACAATTTGAGCGTTTTTATTAATGCAATGAGCAATACCATTTGACAACATATGGTCAACCATCGTACTTTCTGGATTTATTTGAAATTGAATATGAATGATAAAATCTGGCAACCTCAAGCACAAAATACTAAAATCAGGCAAAACCTTGGTCAGACGAAACGTTACAGAAATATATTTGTGTTAGTGTGCAGCAAGACTCTTAATAGTCTTAAATCACTTAGGATAGTTATCTTTACTCTTGCTACAGCATTCTCGCAATATATATGCATACGGATCCGCCGGCACAAAAGCATAGAAGAAGGATAAGTAGTTAGTCTCGCAGAAACCAAATCATTAACGACTAGTACTAGTTCATCTCGTAAAATAAAATCACAGTGTTTGACTAGTCTCAAATTGCTTTTAATATTTTGTCGTCTTTTTCAGCTTGTCCACGGTCTGTTTTCAACTTTACTAGTCCTTCCCAAAAAACTGATTATGTGAGAATCAAAGTGCCAGTACCGGAATTCACTGACATATCAATATGCTCATGGGTTGAAGTATCCAAAACTTCTTATGAACATATCCATACCTTGCTAAGTTATGCAACAATGAAATCTTCTAACACGATATTAATCGAGTTCATCAATACGGCTAAAATAAAAGTAACGGTTAACGGTATAAGATTGATGACCCACAACATTGATGTCAGCTTCAGAACCTTTTTATGCTTCATTGTGGCCACTGATACAAAGATCTTTGTGAATGGATCTTTGAAGGCGGAATCAGAGATACACAGTAAGCCAATTCCAGGAAACGGTTTGCTCGTCATTGGCCAGGATCAAGATAGCATTGGAGGAGGATTTAACGCTCACCAGTCATTTTTTGGAATAATTGAGAACATATTCATTTGGAATCGCGCACTTACTGACGAGGAAATGCATGAAATGCATGAGCATAAATGCAAGTGTCCTAATGATTACGTCATTTCCGCCAATCAAACTGTTTCCGTTACTAAAGGAAATGTGATAGCAACATATACGCAAGATTGTGTAGCTCCCTGATCACAAATTGTGAACATTTGCTTAATCTACATTTTCTTATCAGACCAATGCTTTCAATACCAGATTCTTCTTCTTCACCCATTTGGCAATAAACGAGGGAAAAGCTTCCACCTCCACGGCCATTGCAGCCCATCTTGAAAGTGATTAGTGTTTATCAGTCCTGGCTGACGAATATACTGAATGTGATTAATTTTTAAATCTTTTATGATTGCACACAATTTTACGACACAGAGTTTTGTACAGAGTTTTGTACTACAGTTTAAAGATATGGATTTTTAACCAACTTTATTTCTAATTCTAATATTTCTAATTTTAAAATTGCGTAAATTATATATTAAATATCAAGTAAGTGGATGGTATATTCAATTATTTTCGGATTTTAATTTAGTCAAATCATGCATTATTACTATTCATTTTCATGTGTAGCTGACATTTGATTATGCCACATTTGTTTTCTTCTTCGTATCATTATTATGATTAAATTGTATTATTATTTTGAATGATTTACACTATCAGTAGATGTTCAATGACGTATGGAAGTTCATTTATTTCGGTGGAATGTACATATTTTTTGTTAACTCCATACAAACGAGTCGGGTTTTAGATAAGTTAATTCTTACAAACATATTTTAAAATTGCGATGTATTATTAAATTTTGTGTCTCCAAGATTGTCAATATTAATTGCTCGCGTAAGCAAGGAGTTTGCAAGAAACTGAGAAAAGTCTCATTTTTTGAATAGTTAGGTTGAGTGTGCATCATACTTGAATGGCATTGATTGGTTCTGCAGTACTATTGAATTCAATATGAGCTGTAAATTTCCGGCAGCATTTGGATCGCCTTGAGTTGGTGTTGTCGCGATCTATTCACCTTATTTCAAAAGAAAACTATACTATAAACTACCACAAGACAATGTTTTATTTAATGTGTACGAACGACATCTATGCGCTTCATTCCCGATGTCGTCTTGAATAGTGAAGAATAAATAAGACTATAGGATTCTACAGGCAACTAAAATACGATGTCAATATTTCTAAGGCTCTCCAAGAATAGTAGTAAACCCTCTAAATTTCACAGAAGACATGAACCACACACCAGTCAATCAATTTGTATGTTTTTCCAAATTATACTAGCGTGTTACCAGTACAGGTCAGACATGTGAATGATAACCATGTGGAGATTAGATCAAGCTACGCTATTTTTCTACAGTGCGATTCATTTCTTTGCAACATTTTGGAGTGTAATGAACAAGTTTGTGGGTGATTTAATACAATGTTCAAAAGAAACGAATGAAAAGAGTTGCATGAAAGTTTTTAGATCATATTCAAAACTTACGGTCTAGTTTGACACTTCATCAATAGGTTATTTTATATCTTTAATTTTGAGATTAAAATTAGGAAAAAAATGTTAAAAAATTGGGAAATCTAAATGACAAGAACGACCTTTATTGAAATTGGATCTCGACTTCAGTTTGTATCTCCTAAAATACAATGAGGATTTCTTGAAACGAACAACCTAGTATATATTGTAGGCTACGTTATATCATAGGAAAATTATGAACTGAGAATTGAACTAAGAATTCTCCTTAGAGATGATGATGATAAATATTAATTATGTTTAAACAATATGCAATATTGCTTTGTAGAAAGATTCAAATATTTTGGCCATTCTTATATGTCGTCTCGAATATTAATTAATTGATGTTGGTAACTATGTAAAATGTTCCGAAATCAAATTTATTACTCAAAGTATAGGATAGGATAGAATTTACATATTCATCACGGGGAGAGGAAAGCCGGTAAGACGGCTTAATCATATCGCGAACCACGGCTACTCGTCCGGTTACCAGTCCCAGGTATGGTATGGGATTAGGTATTTGTTTTCGGAAGCATGGACTTGATTTAAATATGGCATAAAAAGTATACGACTTACTTACAATATTATATTATTTGTCACTCAATTACCTCTAATATGTTAGACTAGAGCATTAGTCCTCAATGTGCTCCATACGGAGGCCCAGGACTCCGTGAGAGAAACTTAGCGGCCTGTCCGCAAGCTATTCATTTACTTATAAAAATTCCGATTTGGTTAATTTTGTGACTGTCCAAAGAAGCAATAACGACATCAATTTAATTTGGCAATAGTAGTGTCGAAATGTGGCAAAGAAGCTGTAATTCAAATAGGACATTATCTGAGTTCCAACAGACGATTTCAATTACCGCCTTGTTGCCACATTTCGACACTACTATATTAAAATGATTGACATATGTATTTCTCAAATACAAAGCAGCAAATACATCCGAGTACTTAAATGAAGTAATTTCTATTTACTCAGAAACATTAATCGTGAGTAGCAATTTTTTTGTTTTTATAATTTCATTGTGTGGCTCTGTATATACCAGTCAACCTCTTCATGGGTTCTCTTCATAACCTCTTCATAACACAAAAAGGAACCTTTGTGTTGGAAGATGAATCAGTTGAAGTTGATTGCGCATATTACGGGAATTGATATACATGGCAAGGCTCAACTTCAGTAGCTAATTTCAATTATCATTTAATCTCATCATTCATACATTGTTTCGTAATTCCTGTGGTAGGTTATAATTTCATGGAATATGAAACTACCACCGAGTATCTTATACCGCGTTCACAGAGTGTTTCATTTCATATTTTACCTTCAACTGCCGAAATGTGAAACGAAAATCCAGTATCAAATTTCCTGTTTTAGTTGCAGGCTCGATTGTGAATAAACTGCTATTACTTTATATATATTAATAAAAAATTTTGAGCTCACATAGTTAGCAAATTGAACAAAGTGGAATGGAATTACTCAGAATGTTTCTCAAACCTAGCCATTCAAAATAGGTTATTTTTAATTCTGGCAAGAGAAGCAGTTTTTTATCTTCAATTGCTCACTTCGAAAAAGTAGATTAGTTTCAAGAAAGATTGTACAATAATAAAAGTTTACGATGCCTAATAAGATTTTTTATTCTTTTTTGTTTGACGCAATAACATGATCATTGCTTGAAAGACAATCATGTAAAGAGGTATTTCCCGCCATCGCCCACACATTATGTCATAAGGCTTGCGGGTTGAAATTTTTCTACTTAGTGCAAAACGTGATATCCCTTGAAGGATATCAATATAGGTCACCGATTGCGATTTACCGACGTCGACAACGTCGTTTAATCGAAAATATTACTTCCCGATTACTTGTTTTGTTTCTGAATCAAAATAAAATTCTACGATTTGGTATAAATCAAGCACATCGTGAATTTTGCAGACTTTTATATTTCGCCTACGGCGTTGGTAATTTTCCACACCTCGACAAAATTTATCCAAACAGGGCAAATAAATTATGAGAATACGATGTCAGTGAACCGGTTGACAAGGCAAGGCATGCAAGCAATATTGCAAGTTGAAACTTTTCAAAAAGAATAACCAATCTTTTTATTTAAAGTATTTCGTTGGCAGAAAGAAGATGATAATTCTTAAGATATTTATATTTGTCGTTGTTTTTATAAACAAGTGTTTTACTCTACCTGCACCAGGTTCAACAGGTACGTTCAGAAATCTGTCTACTACTAATCGTAATTTTAATATGAATTAGAAATCTAAATATCTTTTTCCATCATTGGCGTGGTCTCGGACAAATTATAAAAGTTTCTGTTATTCAATGTTCGCTTACAACTCTCCAATTTTTTTGAATACAATTTCAGACACATTCGAATGTTATGCTTACGGTAGTCAGATTGAATTATTTCATACCAGAGTTTGTGATGGGATACGGGATTGTGACATGGGAGAAGACGAAACAAACTGCCGCACTTCACCTTCGCCAAACGTAAGCCAACTTTTTTTAAATTAATACTGAAACTAATAAACCACAATTACTGCATTTAGCAAAGTAGCTTCAAGGATTGAGATAAAAACCCATGAAATTAGTACAAATGTGGTAGATAATGTCATTACATTAGTCCAAATAATAGAAATATCGCATTTTGAAATGATAGTTATGTCAATTGAATCCAGAAATTACGTAAATAAAGGAAGAAAAAATGTTTGTGTTTTTGCTTATCACCACAATTACATCTACAGCTTATGGGTAATATATAGATCTATTCGAAGTAAGTCTTGGCGGAATACATTTTTGAACTTGGTATTATTATTAATATCATTATTATTCATTGCCGCTTATAACTGGCGAACTTTTGTGCACCAAATCTATGATATTTCTCGTTAGATGTCCAAATGCTCCTTCCCATTATGAGGACTTAAAACTACCAACTGTGCTTTCCACGTAGCTTCAAATACGTGAATATTTTGTTAAAGCAAGTATGCTATGGGGTTAATCAGATTTCTGCAGATGTTAGCTAAGCTTGTTTGGACATGTATGTTTATAATTATAGGCGCTGCCGTAGTATGTGAATCAAGATGGCGGACACCGGAACGTAGTATGTGTACCAGGTTAGGGTCAGGACATAATTTTATTCCAATTTTCCTTATTTCAGTTCTACTAAGAGTTCGTGGACTGGCCGACTCCCGTAGTATTTGTACTAAAATTATGGCCTAACCCTAACCTGGTACACATACTACGTTCCTGTGCCCGCCATCTTGGTTCACATACTACATGAGTACTTGATTATATACTAAAAAACATTTATGCAATTCATGTGTATAAAAAGTTCAATCATGTGACAAAATTTCCGTCTATCCTTAAAAAGTTTAGGTGCTTATAACATTTCTCGGAAACTTCCATGAAGTTGTTCATATGTGATGTAAAAAACATTTTGAGTTTTACGGTATGCATTTATTTTTATCGCCTTGCCACCCACACCAAAACCTAAGACCTTCCCTTTAGACTTGTGAAATAGCGCAGTTTCAGTGTGAAAATAGACGATGTTTGCCAAAGACTTGGGTTTGTGATGGAACTGATGACTGCCGTGATGGAAGCGATGAAGCGAATTGTGAAGGAGTCAGTAATTTTTATATGCTTTCTGTTGTGAGCTATTCGATTAGTCTGCAGATTACTGTTTTTGTTCATCAGAGCAAAAATTGCCTTCTACGTTATCTGTGGAGACAACTGTTTTTCTTTATTGGTATTTTTCCTGTTTTTCTTTATTGAGAAATTATACCGCTTTACTTCGATGACCCGATTTGGTAAAAATTCACGTGCAAAGATCAACATTGACTTACAGCAGGTTTCAATAAATCACACATCCTGAAATAATGTCAACTGATTCCAGTGTGAATTGTGATGATAACATATCCGCATCACCTCAGTTTTGAAAATAGAGCTCGATATCATTAATTAACTAAGATGAAAATTTCATTGATTAAAGGTTACATGCACCAGTGACTACTTCAGTTGTGGAAATGGAATTTGCATGCCATCCACATGGCGATGCGACGGCCAGAACGATTGCCATAACGGTAATGACGAACTTGACTGTCCTGATGACAATGAAAAGGTAAGTTATGCATTCGTGTATTCAATTTCATATCAAGGTTTATGAAATGTTATTGTACCTAACTATCCTGAACTAACAGACAGATGAAGTTAGGGGTATGAATCGGCTTATAATTTTCAATATATCACATTCTTTGCAAGGTAGTGTGAATGAGTTGAGAACCAAACCGGTGTCTCCAAAATGTCGTGTCCCACTTGTCCCACATTATCATATTTTTCAATTTCTAATTTTGAATATAGCGCTCCAACACCGTTTTCGTAAATTTAGAATTGTCGAACCAGATAAGTACGACTAGTAAATTTTGTATTCTATGGGAATTTTCCAAGATATTGGGGACGGGGTGAAATATTATTTTGACCACGTAGAAATGCCATTATTGCCGATTTATTCAAGTATTTAGTATCAGTGTTTTATTCCAAAGCTGAGTTACGTGAATTCTCAACACTGAGTATTAGAGAGATTACTAATTTGCGAAATTTTTAATTATTATTTTTTAATACGAATGTAACACGGACACGCTAAAAAATTAAAAGCCTAAAAATGACAACTATCAGCTAATATTTACTGCGGCCTTGGATTATGACAAGTCCCACTTGGGAAGTCCCCATTAGGAAATAAAAATCGCTGTATTGTTGCGAAGTTTTCAGTCTTCAAGTAAATTTCGAAAAATAAAATTGTCACGGCGATCGTTTCGGCGGCCGACATCCCAAATACGGTTGTTTGAAATAACGATACTCATTATTCGGTGTTGTGTTCGTTGAAAATATTCGAATAATTCGACTAAACAAACTATTTGCCCACCACTAATCACGACGCATGTTAATTAGCATTGAATGGCGTTATAGTGAATAAGTAATAGTTTCACATTTAATGCAATTGATCGGCGCTACATGCGAGCGTGTTTTTGTACTTACTGTACTATAAACGATTTTGACGCTACTGACATCCGCAAGTTACACTTCTCTCAAAATTTATTCTCACGATTTCTAATGTTCTATTTTCAAATGCGGGTACTGCTGACTACGGATTCATGGTCGATATTTGAAATAGGACTTGCAAAATATTCCCCATAAACCGCCAGGCACATAAGAGGCGGGCTACACGTAACTGTGGAATTTCGCTGTGAACGACCCATTTTTTTCAGTTTATTGAACGCCTTACGTCGTCGTGAATTGCATTTGGCTGCGCCCATGTAGGTAACTATCCTATATCAACCCGGCTATATTCCGGCACTGATAAACCAAGTCATAATTTGTCACCCATGTCATCAATAACCAAAACTTTTGTGATTGCTATTACCAGAAAGCCTATGTTGAATGAAAGTGCGACCTGCGGTTTTACTCAGTTATCTTTATCTGGTCCTCCTGTATTAAATGTTGCACACCCTTGATTTTAACTACTTAAATTGCTTTGCAACCTAGTTCTTCGCTTGATAATTATCATGTTTTTTCGATTTTCGTCTGTAAATTTAGAGCAATAAGAGAATAATTCAAGTAGTCTGTAGACTAATATGATATCGTCAGGCTAATAACCGTCATTTTTTACGGTTTTGAGTTTTTTTCTAAAATGTAATAGGTAAGGTATTTATGTAATTCTGTGCTGCAATTGTTTCGTCAAAATGAAGTATCCTCGTTACCGCATGACTATTGTGACCACACAAAGGCAAAATAACCTCGGCGACCGATTTTCAAGTTTTTGCATCTCAGATTCTTGCTTAGCGCTTATAAATTTGAATATTTACTACAGTATAGGAAGGCGTGCACTTGTGATATTCACTGTCTGAGTCCAATTCACCTTATAGTTGGCTTTTATATAGGGGGACATTGCTGATTTATTCTTTATATTTATTTTTAGTCTTATTTCGGTGGGTGTGCAGAGCGTGTTATATTGATGAAACATATATTCTTAAACATAAAAAATAATGTATTTGAAACAGATTAGCTATTTTGGAGATTACACATCTTAGATACTGAGAAATACATTCGTTTTTGGATTGTTTGGTTTTCAGGACTGGTGCATATAGTCAAGTTGCAAAATTGCGTATGTCCCCAGTCATAGACACATTTCTGCCTAAGTCACAGTGCGCCATTATGACGTCACATAACTGCGTCATACAAATTAAGTTAAATCTGGCTACGATCAAAAAATTGAAGCATGGCAGACTTACAATGGCATAACAATATCATTAGGAAGTTTTTTACGTTTTTCTAAAAACTGCTAAAATTGACTTACGCAATTCGGTTATTAGCGTGAAGATATGTAAAAGTTAATAATGTCCCGAGCAGATGTTGACATTATCTATCGAACCAAGAAATTATTGCCCCAACTAACATGAATACTACCATATTATTTTATGATATTTTTATCATTCTATTGCATTTTTCTCTCTGATTTTATATGTAACTGCAATACCTTATATTTTTTCTGCCAAGATGTTTGTTACTTTAGTGCAAGAATCAATTGCTTTTACTATTTTATACCAATTTCTTTTTATTTCTATGTTAAGTTCCATTATTTTTTTCATCTTCGAGTCAATTCGTATTTAATGATACTAGCCCAATTGAAAAAATACTACAGTCACAATTTCTTAAATCACTGTAATCATATATTTTTGGTGCATTCACTACAAAGACATAAAGTCATGTTTTTGGTGAAATTAGTCTGCTTTACGAATGTGTCTTTCTAACAAAAATTAACGAATTGCTTCAATCGTTCATTAAAAAATTGAGCATATACTATATGTAAACATAGGCTTATTCGTCACGTATATTTTCTACAAATATCTCATTCTTCGAAGACACGTTTTCCAAACCGGGAAAAAATTCATCCCTGGCGAATAACTTTGTCGTTTTGGCGAGGAATCGGCTTTGTATTTGCTGTAGTATTACTGATTTTCCAAAGTTCGTTATGCTTATTATAATATAAACCACACATTCAATTAGAAAATACTGGAACTGTACAAAATCGGTTTTTCAACTAGCGCACAGACAAGTTTTTATGCATAGTGAGGGAAGAATATAAGGTTCAAAAATTTGAGAAGGGAGAAGTTTAACAAAAAGGTTGGGAATCACATGACTTGTACACCTACATCTTATTCATCAGATGTTTTGTCCACATGTATCCCATTTACCATACATACCATTTAACAAATGTTTTGTCTACCAACAGCTCATTCGCAAAGTGTTTTCTCTTCATACATGTTGTTCAGCAGATATTTTTACTACATACATCTCATTCACGTGATACATCTCCTATTTTGTCCACATACATCTCGTTTCCATAATGAATCAACAGCTCATTCGTGAAGTGTTTTCTCTTTATATATTTTGTGCAGAAGTTTTGTCTATGTATATCTCATTCGCCAGATAATTTGTCCACATGAATCCCATTTATCACACTTCTCATTCACTAGATATATTTTGTCCATATATGTCTCGTTTTACTCATGAAACAGTCGCGGTGATTATTCGCTTGTTAAAAAAAACGACTTTTTCAGCGAGATTTTTCTGTTGCGTAAAATATTCAACCCATGGCAATTAACTTAATTGTGTTTAATGTAACTCACGGTGGCTTCTATTCAATAAACAAATTGAATATGTGGACATAAACACATGAGATAAACTGCCTGGTTAGTTCTGGTATGTTTGCAATCTTGCTAATGCGTTATCGCCGTTAGGAATCCGTATTTTGCCATTTTGGAAATTATAAAATTTTGTACTCGTAACACCGAACCGCACTATCGCAATGCTGCCACTAAGATTATTTTTAAGATATAACCGTTATTTCTCACGAAGTAAAATATAATTTAGCACCATAAAACTTGATTGGATTAATTAATTTATCATCACAATCCGCGTCGCGTTTACAACTTTGTATATTGTTGGGACAAGTGGTACACGTGCTACACGTGGGACAAGTGGGAAAAGTGGTACAAGTGGGACAAGTGGGACACGACATTTTGGAGACACCAGAACCAAACAAATTTGAAGTCGGTGTTACCTACTTACAAAGTTCGCCATGGCGTGATATAACAACAAACTGAGAAAGACATAAAATAAATTAATGTGAACAATTTAAAATCGTATTTATTTTTATTTTGGAGTGCATCTCAAAAAACGAATTAATTCTATACTATAAGCATAAATCCACATATTCCCCACTGGTATTCAACATGAAATTTATTTCAGCTACGAGTATGTGAAGTAACGGAATTTCGTTGTGGAAGTGGAAGTTGTATTTCTAAACATTGGGTCTGCGATTTCCATAACGATTGCGGAGATAACTCTGACGAATACAATTGTACTTCATCACCTGTGAGTAATTGGTTACAATTTTTTTTTGGCTACTGACCGTCAAGGCCTCGAGTCTTCATAATACTAACCCTCGAGGTAGGTTTCGGCCAGGACTTGAATCAGTTTAAGTTAATTTGGTCAGAAGCACTCTATCGCCCATCTTACCGCAATGGCCTTTAGTAGCAAAAATAAAAGTTGGAATTGCCAACCTCCAGCTCTTTCAATTTCTAGTGTTTTTTTTTCGTTATCAGACTTCTACCTGTAGTTTTATAATTTATTCTCGTAACATTTATGCTGAATATTGTATAGAATCATAGATGGTTTGATAATCGAAAAAAACCTTATCTTCACTGATATCACTGAAAACTGATGCTTTTCTTTATTGAACGAGAATTCGGGGTTATCTTCACGTGTCCGACTTGTTCAAAATTCACTTGTAACACTTGACGTCGACTTTGCAGCATGTTTCAGTAAATTATCTTTTTTATAACATTATTAAAATTAATCGATTCCAATCTGAACTTTGATAATTTGTCATATTGCAACAAAATAAGCATATTGGGTATATCCGATTTCTATTCAATCGTTTCAATGTATCTTATAGTTATTACGAAAACATTGATGTTGGCTTTGAAAAATAGAGAGTTTATTAATAAGATGTGAATCTTATTGACTGTAGGTTACTTGCATCGGTAGCTACTTTAGTTGTGGAAATGGCAAGTGCGTACCACGCAAATGGCGATGCGACGGCGAGAACGATTGTCATGACGGTGAAGACGAAGTTGGCTGTCCTGATATCAATGACAAAGTGAGTTATACTATTTACCATGCGTTTTCAAACTCATATGAAGTGTTAGTATAGTTACAAACTCAAATCCATGTCCTTGGACACACGTAGTTGGGTTATTTAGAAGGTTTATAATAATCCAGCTTGTCCGATTTATTTCTCATTTATTATACTATTTGCGGGCTGCGGTATCGGAAATGCAAACTGACCAAGTTCAAACGTGAAGTCAAGAGCACCAACTTATAACGCGAGCCATGACACGGATGTTTATAGCAATGATGTATTCCCTTGTAAACTCTAAAACGTAAGATGTATTCTGAACGTCAATTCATTTTATACATTGTACTATAGATTTGCAATAAACATCAGTTCCAATGTGGAAATGAGGACTGTATTTCTAAGAATAGCACTTGTGATGGCAAGAAAGACTGCTCAGATGGCTCAGACGAAAGTAACTGTGAGGTAAGGATAAAATCAGCCATATCATTTGAACAAGACAGCAATGCTCATATCTAACCGCAGCAGTAATCTATGCTGGGGATGCAACGAAAACTACTCAGCGGCTTTTTCAAATGCTTCAAATCCTTATTACGAAGCAAGACCCATCACTGCGATAGCAATTTATTTCCGTACCCGTGAGGCAGAGGTAGGCAGAAGGTTTCCGTAGTGCGGTGTGCGAGATATTTTCAAAAATACAAAAGGAATTCATTTTCATTGAATTTTCCACATAGAGAAATGTATTAATGTGAATTTGATTATAGTTATTTGGTCATTTGTAACGCGCAAGATTTTTTACGATAAGTGTGGTCGGTTCTTCAGTTTTTCCATCAGTATAAATACGGTCGCTTGTGCCTCATAAATATTTAATCGGAGTTTGGTGAAATATTTTGTTTGTTTATGTACTTGTGAAAAATGATGTTTGCTTAAGTGTATTCACTCATTGGGAGTTCGTTCACCAGTGTTTTATTTGATATGTTCTTGTTAATCCTTTAGACCAGTTCTTTTCTGCCTATATGGACAAAATAATTGTCAAAGTTAATTCTTATTCAGCTACAGAAAACATTCATTTGTAGTACGCAAAAATAAAATATTGCAAACCCTTGACGCAGGGCCTTTTCTGGGCATTCGGTTTGTCAAAACGATCGGCGGACCAGTCCATATGGTAGCTTGATATACGCAAAACCAGGGAAATTTGGGATGGCATAGTGAGCCCTATGAGATCATGACTCCTTCCATGACTTATAGTTTTGCTTTTGAAATCGATTCGATCCATTCATATTACTCATTAATAATTTTCCACAACAACCAGAATCGCCCCAACAAAAACATACCAATTCAGAAAAACCCATGAGTTCAAGTAGAATGATACACATTATCTGCAGTAGGTTCAATTATGACTTGTTTCTCTAATTAAAAATAACACCTATTTTGAATTTAACTCTAGATTCGAAATAACTGCGCATTATATAATTTTGAACTACATTTTTGTGTTTCAAATCTATTGTTTTCAATTTTGCCTATTCTTGTAGTAAAATAACTATAATTTCATTCAGAAATGTAAATCAGGAGCATTCAAGTGTTGGGATGACAGTAACTGTATTTCTGATTTTTCGAAATGTGATGCAATCGAAGATTGTGATGATGGTTCAGATGAAATGTTCTGCCCGGAGGTAAATATATTTTTGAAACTAACTTGAAAAAGATTCCATTAAATTCCAAGCAACGTTTTCGTCACAATATCAAATGTTCAGCTCACTCCGGAACGAGCATTTAATAATGCCACAATTCGTTTTCATGCTCATTCATTTCGAAATAATGATTTCGTGTTTTACCAAACTGTGTAGAAACAAGAGAGCTGTGCTCAAATATATGGACACGTTAACTAGAGCGAAGCAGTATTTACCTTTGACGCCACCGGTAACCACAAAAAACTCCGAGTTCCGCGTAGAAATAATTTACAGAATCAAACCGGACAGCCAGTGTTCTCATGGATAAAATAATACAGCGAAATTTTAGACGAAATATCAGATTTCATGCGAAATTTAGAAATAAATAAAAGTAATAGCCTTCTGGCAAAAAAATCAATCTTCACTCACTGAAAATTTCAAAGCAATTGGTTTTTTTAAAATGATGGAGACAAATAATAATGAAAATAACAATAAAAATTTTGAAACGATCGTTATGTCCACTACGTGTCCAATAAAGAAAACTTCGTCATTATCTTTCTGCAGTGCGAAGAATTCCTTTGCAACACCAGAGAGTGTATTCCTAATGAACAAGCATGCGATGGTATTCAACAATGTTCAGATGGAACGGATGAAAAAGATTGTGAAGTTTGTAGATGATATTTAAATCTTACAGTATATATATATATGTGTGTGTGTGTATGGCTAATAACACCACGATCCTGTTTGACACTTTATTATTAAGTTATATTATACCTTTAATTTTAAGAAACAGCAAAACGTTAGGTATGCTGAGATCCTGAATGCCGCGAATGACGTCATTTGCAATGACATCCCGACTTCAGTATACTTCAGTATACATTAACGCAAAATTGTTACTATAACGTGTATTAAAAAACGTTATGGCATAGGCATGGTTTGAACTTTTGGAATTGGAATTCTACTCAGAGATGATGATAAATATTTATCGTGTTTAAATAATTTGTAATTTTCACTCAATTACCTCTATAGTATATTCGAGGATGTCCACCAAATCACTTTCAATGTGACAATGGACAATGCAGACCAAATAAATGGAAATGTGATGGAATTGATGACTGCGGGGATGAATCGGATGAAATCGATTGCACATATTACGGGAATTGATATATATATATATATATATATATAATCTATGAACTTGACTATGGGAGCTTATTCCGATTATCATTCATACATTTTTTTTTATGATTCTTATTGGAATAACCTAACTGATTTCTTGTAAGGTGATATCACCATCCTATAAACATCACATTCATCGAGTGTTTTGCGTCCATATTTTATCTTCGGTCGATGAAATACATAATGGAACGTACGTATAACATTTCTCATTTTATCAACAGACTAAGTTGAACTGGTTGACTAGCAAAAATTTATGTCTATATTAACATAGTTATGGACTAACCTGGTCAACAAGTTGAGCCGATTACGTCTGCGCTTTAAACAGTAATAAACTGAGTATATGTTCCAAATATATGATTTCATATATTGGGCACACTCAATGGCAATCGCATGGTTCTCAAACCTGAATGAATATGAGAAATAAATATTTACTGTTGAAAATTCTGCATTAAGAAGATAGCTACGATCTACTACTCTAGGTTGGAAATTTTTCTCCAAGAACATTGAGTTCTGTGAAATTCACTACCACCTTGTTGTTTTCCTGATCATATTGCCCCTGGCATTTTAGTAATCTTGTAGCAAAATATTGTCAGCCAACGAATATGCTTAAGAAATTAAGATTGAATATTAGCTACATCGTAGCAGTTCTTACAAGGCGACAAGTGTATCGGTCAAAATGAATAAATGTATATATATATATATTGGGTTTAATTGGACAGAATATTAAAGTGGATTGAATCTGATATTTACTATCAAGTATATACTTGAACTTGTAAATTCTTTAAATTTCTTTACGGCCGATATTGGGTACATCCAACTAAATAAGTGAGATAAATTCTGGGGCGGATTGTAAATACGTCAAAAATTGTGTATATTAAATGTAAATAATACATATTATATAAATATTCTTCGATTACGGATTATACACAACTTCAATTTTCGAAGAAAATAAATTTGGCCGTAGGCACTAGTCGTGGTATTATACAAAGTTGTGCTTTCTCAATTCTTAGTACATACATATTTACTTGGATTATCAAGCAACAAACGAACCTACAGTTTTTTAGTCAACATAAATTTTCAGTTTAGGGCAGTTTAATTTTGTTACAGTGTAACAAAACTGCCATGATAACTCTAAGAATAATCGTGTTCATCTCGGCCTTGATAGCCAAATGTTATGGAATTCCGAAGCCGGGTATGTTTCAAATATTCTTGGTATCTTGTTTCTTGATATCTTAGGTTGGCTTGTTTTATAAGTATTTTCTTGGAGAAATGAGTGGGGAAATCTCTGACTATGATATCTGTGATAAAGCAATATAAAAAGATGTGGCATTTATTAGCAAGATTCTGCATAGTCATGTACAACAAGAGAGCAATCTCAAATATATGGACCTAGCGAACAACAACAATCTTTGACCAAAACGATCGATGGGTTCACACTATCAGCTCAATCCACAAACATATAGACACCGAGTCCGTTACCGTTTAAAACGCATGTCACCTGAAAATGCGTTGGCAATATTTTGTAAAATCTTCAACCAGACAAGGTCCAGATTGAATTTGAAGATGATAGAAATAATAATGACTTATAAGACAATTCAATTTAACTATCAAAACCTGGAAACAATTAGTTCAGTGGATAAGATAAAAATTTTGTTACAACTACAATTGGAAAAAATGCAATAATTCTCTGTCTGAACAGTGCAAACGCGTGATACTTACTGCAAAATAAAAACGTGTTTATTACGTTTCCTATAGACGTTATTCGTTGCGTTTCTTTCGGAAGCCAAATTGCTATATCCGGTAGAAGAGTTTGTGATGGAATGCGCGATTGTGACGAAGGCGAAGACGAAGAAAATTGCGATCAATCACTCCATCCATACGTAAGTCTACAATAAAAATGAAATGAAATTTTGAATCAACTTGTTCTCTATTTGAAATGTTGCAAGGTTTGTCCCATATAAGTTTCTGAACAATTCGCAACTATGCGTCTCGGTACTATGTTTTGCAAGAACGGTATTTTTTGTTAGTTGGTCATACCCATTTTTGTCAGTACCTAACTCAATTAAGATGATGTTTGGTTATATCACCACATTTATGTCGTAGCGTTGAAATATTCGGACACAAAAGCGAATTTTTATCAGTCAGATAGTCTAAGTCACAAATTCGACTTTGCAAAATAGATGTTTCAGAATTTTTGGATTGGTTTTAATACTCAATGTGAAAATTGCGATGTCGATTTTATTTTTTGAAACCGATGTATATTAAAAACTTTTAGAAATTCAATTTAGAGGTAACGATAGTAGAAAATTATGGAACTAATGACATAGCTATTTGTGCTTTTCCGCCCCTCATCTTTTTGTTAGGATTGTGCAAAAAGAGAGTTTCAATGTTCAAACGGCATATGCTTACCAAAATTCCTGCATTGTGATGGAATAGAAGATTGTGGAGATGGAAGCGATGAAACCAATTGTGACGTAATTAACGTAATTATTTTTTTGTGCTTTTGATTAGTTTAACTCGTTATTGTATTTTTATCTCACTCGTGACCAGTGTTCCCTCTAAGGTGTGCGCGTGTGCGCGCGCACACAGCTTTCAGAGGCTGCGCACACGCATAGATTTACTGCGCACAGACGTATTTCGATGTAATGTAACAATGTTCTTTTGTTCTTTTTTCACCCTTTATTTGAATTCAAATAAAACCATCTGTTACAATCAATTTCATTTATTATTTTCCATGTATGTTCATTGTTATCTACTGATAACATATAGCCTTCACTAAAGCATTTACAATCTATAGAAAAACTTATTGAATAACCAAAATTTTCTTAATAAGCCCACTTATTACCCGGTTAGAACGCCAAAATTTCTTCAATGGTTTTTGCACAAATACTAGTCATTTCCAAAAAAGTGCGCACACACCAAAATTTCTGCGCACACATACTACAAAAATTAGAGGGAACATTGCTCGTGACAGTATTGACCAAAACCTGTTTACAAACTGAAGAACGTGTAAATATTTAAAGTTTCATGGTCACACTATTTATAATCTCACAAAAAATTCAGCTCAATCCCGTCAAATACCTATAATTTAGACAAGCAAAATCAACGTCTAATAACGTTTTAAATATAGTTTAACCTTATCACGCAAACAAGAAACAAACAGTTTAAGTTGATACAGGTGAATATGTCTTTTCCTAAGGCACCTTGCGAGTTGGAGAATTTCGATTGTGGTGATGGAATGTGCATACCGGCTAATTTTGTATGTGACGATGAAGCTGATTGCGTAGATGGTGAAGACGAAGTAAACTGCACTGCGAAAGAAGTAAGTTGACCTTGCATCTAAGCATACAACGGTTTCAAGCAAACTCCATGATAGAAGTCATTGTATTAATTTCACAGCACATGGTTGACAAGAATGCCGATCGCATGTTGCTGTTTGCTAAGTTGAAAGTACACTTGCGTTTCGAGGTTCAAGGTTTTTCAAGGCACTTGCGAATCAAGGTTTATTTATATTCCCGTTTATTTTTTATTCTATGATACGGGTTTCTGTAATAACCAAACTTTAACTTGGAAAATCAGCGCAATGTGAGTGCTAAACTCGATGATTTAGAGTTGATAGAGTGGATGTTGAAAATATTTCCAAGCGTTCCGCTTCCCGCTTGTGTTTTTGTGTTACAAATATCCCGATCTGTGAGATTTTCATTCAATTTCGTAATATTGAGTAGGCCTACATTCCTTTTGTAGTAATAGATTCCTAAACGGGAGATGTAATGCAAAGCCGTTCTAACTAATTACTGTTTCAGCCATGCACAGAATCAGAATTCCGTTGTGGAAATGGGGATTGCATTAACAGACTATTTGTTTGTGACCATTATGGTGATTGTAATGACGGATCAGATGAATTTAATTGCACGGTTAGTGTTCAAAAAACATTTATATTCAGCAGTTTATCCCGTCTAAATCTTTACATCATCTAATCCGTTTTTATTATTTCTTCTATTACTTAATTCCTTTTGTAGCCTATTCTGCTCCTCTATTCTACCCCTGCTATAACCCAACAAATCTCAAGTCATCAGAAATCTTTTCTTTTTGATAAATAACTCATGGTTACCTATTATGCCTAAGAGGGAAGGAAACAATTGATATACTTCATCTTAATTCAGAAATGCAAATCAGGTGAATTCGAATGTTGGGGCGACGGTTCTTGTATTCCTGAGAAGTCAAAATGTAATTACAACAGAGATTGCGATGATGGTTCGGATGAAATTTCCTGTCCTGAGGTCGATAATTCCAGTGTAAGTTTTATTAGATCCATTAGTTGAATTTTATCAGAATTTAAAATATAACTTTGTAAAAATAACGCGCCAAAAGTGTATGTACATGTCTTTTTTTCGCCAACAAAATAGATTAAAGCAACATATTTTTCCCAACATATAATAAATAATTAAGCTGATTTGATACTCTGCAGAATCTAAATGTACCATTTCACGTGCTTTTCTGCAGTGTGACGAATTTCTATGCAACACTAACGAATGCATCCCTTATGAACAAGCATGCGATGGCATACAGCAATGTTCAGATGGAACGGATGAAAAAGATTGCAAAGTTTGTTGTACAAACATGATATTTGTATAGTTTGTTAAATTGAAACCTCTTGTATGAAGCTCTGTTGAGTACGACGTCTAATATCGTTTTCCTTTATATCCGATACAACTGTCCTTAGCTATACCACTGCATAAAAAATATGATGCAAATTATCAGAGTTAAGTTGTGGTTATTTGGACATGGACATCGTTTTGTAAAATCGTTGTCGTAGGACTTTTTGTTGAAAAAATGGCTATTACTCGAAAATGATCAATTTCTAATTTTCAATACTTAAGAACTGAGGAAGATCGAATTGGGCTTGCAGGGACCGTACTGTTACGGAAACTCTTTGAATACGGTATAACAGTCTTAAGTTCCGAGATATTTATCAACAGTACAAAACCAAGTCACAGTCCTCTCCCTAGTTTTTTTTCTTCAAGCGGCAATTCGCCGGCTTATATATTCGACAGCACAGATGGGCCGCCAAAAGTGTCACATCATTACCACTCATTTTGTTGTCGCCCCATCTGTTTAGTCGGTCGAATCAAGGTTGACACTACAAGCTCCGCTGTCGCGGTATTCGCACGATTAAGTGAAGTTATATATATTGAACGACAATAGAGGGTGGACCACAGATACCAGCAGGCTATCACCCTTTTTTAAATTAACCGTGACCACTATTTCACCCAATGATTTCTTGGTCTATTCGCGATAGTTCTGCGATTTCATCCAAGTATCTCATCCAAGGAGAGCATTGCTCTCCTGTCAATTTAGCCGAAGCAGCCTAAACCTTCAATCAACTAGGCCTGATTACATGTCCATCAAAACCAGTCCAGAGAACCGGTTCGATTCGGAAATGTCAAAGTAGTCTCGGAGACCACTAAGCGCCCTCGATTACATGTCTAAACTAACGAGATCAGAGAACAGTTTTAGAGCTGCCGGACTAAAGAAAATGAGTCGAGATTTGCAAACACTGCATATATTTTTTTTTCAATACAAATGTTAATTAAAGTATCAAAACTATATGCACGTTCTTGATTGAAGTTCTGTGAAGTTATTTGCAGAATATGATGAGGTGTTGCTTTCCCGTTGAAATTTGCTCATAATCTAAGAACAAAACGTCAAATTAATTAGGCATAAAAGGTAGACGAGTTGGATTATTTTGGCCGTCCGTTCAGCGTTCAACGGCACCTTATGTCACACGATCCATTAACAAAAAATTACGGTAGGCCTACAGTTACCAGTAATCTACTGAGAACCCAATTTAAACATTTATAGTTTATCAATCGAACATAATCATCATATGTAAATAGAAGCACTTTCATTATTTAATATCGCCCTACTACTGCGACGTTACCGACACTGAAGCATTGAATTTGTACCGGTATGTACAGTTAGGTTACCGGTGCCTGCTAGGATGAGGTATGGCTGTATGGTGAAATTCCTCAATGCAAACTGAAGTTTATCAACATAGGTCGTATTGCGCTCAGTTCCTACCAATGATCTTTAGACATTAAAATTTTATTTTCTATTTCAAAACAACAACCCAGCATGCCGCACCGGGATTCCACCAGTACAGGTACCGGTATTTCACATTTGGATTCAACAGCGACCTAATAGATGCGGAAGATGTTTAAATTAAACTTGCACTATCTGGTTAAATTTTTATTTGTTGTAAAAAGCAACTCACTTACCAGAGATGAAAAGGAAAACAACTTTCATACCCCTTCGATCAACGTACGTAACTGCGATAGGCTCGAGTAGCAGGATGAGGCAACTGAGCAAGACCAGTGCAGCTCACTTCCAAACCTCCTCGATAGGTGGTCTGATGTTGTTGACCGATAGCACGGATTTGAATCGCAGACGAATCACTGAAGCGTGAAATAGTTCCCATATGTGGTCTGCTGGACCGGTCCCAGTGGCCATGTAATCAGGCCTCTCCTGCTGTGTCGACCATCATGAAAAGCCGTTTAGGTAAAATCAAATAATCGAGTTTTTCGTCGTGTTGTTTGCGTCAGTGGAATAAGAAACAACGGATCAGTAAAATGCATTCAAAATAACTATATAAAAACTATGCTTTTCTTTCAGTACGCAGGAGGATGTCCACCAAATCACTTTGAGTGCAACAATACACAATGCAGACCGGACAAATGGAAATGCGACGGAATTGATGATTGTGGGGATAAATCGGACGAAATTGATTGCCCATACATATAAACAATGATGATCAATCCCCGAATATCGTTGTTGATGCTAAAAAAGCTATATTCATGTAGATTTTCATACGACATTTTCATTGTATGTATATACTTATAACCCCATAATTGGTATTTAGTTGAACTACCTTGTTTCCCTGAAAATAAGACATAGCCTGAACTTCAAAAATGATTTTATTATAATCTCTCCTCCTAATATGAGACCTAGCCAAGAGGGCAAGTTTTTATTTTCGACCTAGTCGATAACAAGAACTCGTTTTCTACTTGTTTTGATTGATTAATAATCTATGTTTAGCAGTTATTTTAAATAAAAGCGCATTATTTATAGGAAAATGGATATCGGTTTTGTATAATTGAAAATCTCGTAATTCTCTACTTTGTAATTTCGATTTTGATAAATGAAAGTAAACGACATCAAAATGGATGCGGTACGTTTAAAAACTTCATTATAATGATGACATATTTTCAATCATTCATTGGCAGAAACGTGATAAACAGATGGTGTTGTTTTTATGGTGAGTTCCATAGCTTAAAGAACGGCCTTGAAAATATACAAATATAAAAACTGGGAAATCCGACAGAATGAATTCAGTTTTATTTCAAATAACAGTGTTGAATTTGATATTTCCGAGTTCATGAGCAGACGAATTGATAATATAAAAGGTATATAGGAAACAATATGACAATACTTCAACAAAATAATAAGTTGACGAAATAGGCTGAAGAAATAGAAAAACTGTAAAAGCCGACAGACTGAATTTAGTTTTGTTTCAAACAGTGTTAAAAGTGACATTTCCGAGTTCATAGGCAGACGAATTAATACAAAAGGTATATATATAGACAACAACATGACAATACTTTAACAAAAAGTGTTGATGAATGCACAGCATACAAGAAAGTCAATGGATCGGACGTTTTGACTATAATCATAATAATAATTACGATTTTGGGTATCTTACGAATGAGAGTATTTAAAAAAGAGAAATCACTTTAAAATTATTGCTGGTCAAAATTAATGCCACCTATTTTTACTGCACGATCCCATTCTACTGAAACGCTAAATATTTATTAGGTATCAATTGGAATATTGTTAGAAATTAAACACAAGAGAATCAAACACATAACATAGTATTACTTTCTTCATTCACAAGCGTTAATAACTTAAGACAATATCATTACAGCACAAATGTTAAAGCTATATTAAACAAGAATCATGATTCGCTGTTGGTGTTTTCATCTAATTCGTCATTCTTCGATAGTTGTTTAAGATCGTTAGATTCTGTGCTTCGGCATTTTATCCAACAATGTTGCAGTTTCGAGCAAACATTTTCGAACCAGTGGGGCTGAAAACGGTTTGGGTTTCGTTGGCTGAAATGATATCCATACACAAAGTAGATGACCAGACCTAATAAGAACAAATTTTTTTTGTTAACAAAAATGTTAATTTGCTTGTGATACCAATGAATAGCATTCCATTCAAACATTTATAAATAAAGATTTAGATTTTAGATTATGACAGAAATTCACGTACATGTAGGATCATTTGACGGATAGGCTGATTGGCATTGCGTGATTAACAAACATTAAAAAAAATGACTTCGGCCCAACATGCTAAACTTTTGTTTTTGCCAAGTCGACTTCACCGAATCGAAGTATCAAACCGGGTCGATTGATCTGCCCTTTTGTTCTTTAGGTCGAGTCAGTGTTGCGTACCATCTGGTTAAAATTCAAGGGGGCGGGGCCTTGTGATTCAGATCACTAAACTCCATGCAAATTATTGATGAAATGGTGTCGACAGTGGCAATTAAAGCAAAAGAAAATTATAAATAACTCACCAACCGACACCCATATAATAAGTCGAATCCAAGTCAAATACTGAAGTTTAATCATGAAGAATAAATTTGTACAAATACAGAGATACGGAAGAAATGGAACTAGTGGCACCTGCGTAAATGTAAAATACAGAATGTCCATATTTGCAATATTCATTAGAATATATGTGTGTAAACATGAAAAAATGATAAAGGGCAATTCAGTTCTGGTGATATGCAAGTCACATGTGAACTATGTCACAACGACCTTTTGCTGTTTTCGCGATGTGAGTACAAACATTAATATATTATTTACTATATTATTAAATTTATTATGTTGAGGGGAAAATTTGAAAAGGAACAATATGAAGAAGGAACTTACTCGAAAATTCTTTTCCTGTGATGCGTCGTCTTCGTGTTGTTGATGAGCAGCGATTAATAGAAGAGAAGCAATAGTTATCAACGTGAAGATGACAAAAAGCAAAACCACCCACCACGAGCCGATGATAAATTTTTCCCAAGTATACGACAACAAGAGCATCCCCGATAAACTAGAACAAACAGACACTAATAGCGCAAATACCACCACTTTTCCAGGCTTATATCGTCCAAAATGTAGGTCTAAGAAAGTTCCACAAAATTTGGATTTTAACATCCCGGCTTTATTTTTTCCGCTAGGCTGGGTGTTCTCGGAACTGGTTGTTGAATTGTTATCGGATTTGCTTCTCGCTGGTAATTCTTGTTTTGTAGAGTCGTCTCCATTGTGAATTGTTTTTTGATAAACCAATCTAGAAGTTTCACTTTGCTTTGGTTTTGTTGCTGGTTGTGCACCGGATGAATCCAGTCCTGTTTAAAAATGTTGATAATTACTAAAACGAGAATATCGGTCGGAGACCAAAGACTTATCGATCGAAACTGCGGTTTCGATTCATGACTCTATAGTGACACTGCGTGTCCCATCACTAATTAATTAATAACTCTCTAATTATACGACCTAATTCATCCAAAATAGGCATAGGCTTATGGTCCGAGATATGATGAATGCACATGCAAAATTTGGAGCAGATTCAACCTCGCCTTCGTGAGATATCGCGTTCATCTAACAGACAAACAAACAGACAAACAGACAGACAGACAGACAGACAGACAGACAGACAGACAGACAGACAGACAGACAAATACTATTAACATACTTACCGATCTTAAGATCGATAAGTGATAACTAAATTACATTATAGCAATATGATGAATCGCTGATGAAGTTCTCGGTCTGATCTGGATGAGTTTTTGAAGGCTAAGTAGTACAGACTTATAATAAAATAAGTAAAGTGCATTTGTCAGAAAAATACCTTACCATTGTTTTTAGAGTCATTATGTGAAACTGCTGAAACGTTATTTTCCTCTTTGATCGAAGGTTTTTCCGACTCGCTTGGTGCTGTTATGGATTGGATTTTGCCTAATAGGAAAGAAGACGTTGCTTTATAATACTGCTTTATTTACTCAAACCTACTGTGACCTCGACCATACGATTAAATGGCACTCCAGAAGTATGTGCACCAAGATGGCGCACAGCCTGATGACCCTAACCTGGTACACATACTATTTTCAGCTTGTGCGCATTCTTGATGAACATCTTTGGGGGCACCGTTCAAGTAACTGGTCAATGCGTAATTACAAGCTTCAAGCCACCAAGCTTACTCACCTTGTTCGGTATCAGTGGAGGGGCTATCGTCTAAAGTAGTATATCCTTCACTCATTTGTCCATGAGAAGAATATCGAAGTATGATGACACATGCAGCAACAAACGAATATGCAGTCAAGGTACCGATTGACATAAACTGAACGAGAGTTTCCAGGTCAAATAACAACGCCATAAGCCCACTTAACGCACCAGAAAACATCACGGAATACACGGGAACCTAAGTGTTAATAGTTTTAATTAATATAGTAAATTAATTTATATTGCTCTGTCATTGTGATGGTATAGTAGTAACCATATTCAAAATAGTTTGCTTTTAAGTCACTGAGCAATATATTTACCAGGAATCAGAATCTAAAAGCCTTCAAGTCTTATGGTTCTCCTTTATAAGCCACTTTTAAGATACAAACAGGATTATTTATGTAGAGTAGTGCCCATCATTTCAGAGTATACCAGTATACCACAATGTGGTGAGTTTACACTTTTGCTGTTAATATACCTGATTCCTCTCATGAATAGATGATAATAGTGGACACAGCAATCCATCTTTCGAAATAGCGTAAAGAATTCTTGGTAATACAAATAATCCTGAAAAATTTGTTAAAGAGCGTTCGTTATATTCACTTGTATGTAATTATATATCTTTAGTTTGACACTTTTCTTAGGTTAGATCAGGTATTTAATTATAATTCACTGAAAAGTATTATTGGTGAGGCGAAGAGACAGCCAGTCAAGCTGTTTTTTTTTCTGACGAAATTGCAGGCAAAATACCAACCATAATACAATCTAGTCTAGTCAGCAATACCTGAAAACATTGCTGTTGTCATTGTGCACAACGCTCCAATAGTGACGATAATTTGAGCCCACTTCCATCCTTCGTGTCTTCCGTATGCATCTGGAAACGCTGATTTTGGTACAATTTCATCCCTGTATAACATATGATATGTAGTTGTCCTTGTTGTGGTAACTACGGTAGCATTCTAATTTTGGGGCATTGAATAAATAATTTTTGGCTAGGTTTGATTCAGTGTCAAAATAATGGGCCTGATGTCAGCTCTAATATTCAAAGAAATACGCTACATGCTTATATGGGTAGTTTGGTCCCACTGAGAGTTGAGGTCGAGTTCAGTTCGACAGTAAAATCCCCTTTTGCATTGATTTGGAAATCTTTCTCCATTAGGAATCTTTCATCGTGTTTAAGTTGACGTAATGACAGCAATTGTCAAATCCCATGGAATTATCTATGACAAAAAATCCTCTCAAAATTTTTAACACGATGTAATTGCCAAAATTTACTTTTTGCAGATTTTGATATTTTACGATGTGATAAGTGGTATTGATTTTTTATGTAATCTTAAATCCCGGATGGCCACTGATTTTCCAGTATTCTTTGATTATGCATCTTGCACCTTAATCGATGAAGCACTATAATAACGAAACCCGACCTCCAATATGGATTTTGAGTAAAAAAATAAAATTTAGCATAAAAATGAGATCAAAGGGGAAAGATAGCCTATTCATATATAGGGTCAAGTAAAACATATTCGCTAGCGTCATGATCGAAACTCGTCTTGCAGTAATGATCATCATCACCCCATATTTGCTAGGCATAGGAACTTAATTTCCACGCTTTTTATTGAATTAAAATCCTCATCGTTTCACTTACCATGGAACCATTAACGTTAACATTGACGAAATCCCAAAATAGGCGATCGTTACTATGATTAGACTGACGCCGAGAGCGATCGGAATATCACGTCGAGGATTTCTCGCTTCTTCGCAAGATGACGCAACAACGTCAAATCTGTGAGAACGTAAAATTAGTATGCTAAGTCGAGTTATATTACTCTGCTTGTATGGTCTGATAATTTTCAATCCACGGCCGGCGATGTTTGATAAATAAAATAGGATTGAATCACCTGGCGAAAAATCAATATCTAGTTCCATTATCGGACTCTGATGTCAATAAAACAGCGGCTATGAGATAATATGTCTACTGTAATATTAATATCATCATGCCATGACAAAGACACGTACTCTTCTTTCTAGAAATTTTTAGCTTAAAACGAGATTATAAGTCAGGAAGACTCGTTTTAAACATAACTACGGCAATGTCACCTTTTCATCGATTCTAACCCATTGTCCAAAGATGCTCTAATTCTCATTCATACATTATTTTAATACAAAGATTTTGATTGGCTTACTGTCTAACTAATAGGTAAAATTCATAGCAGGAATATGAACGCATACTTTCAAAAAAATAGAAACGTTAGTGTCTTTCATCTTTTCAAAAATGAGGATTGTTTACTATAAAAACAAAATCACCGACACCGTAAACTGACCGATAAACCTACCCCGCATAAGCATAAAAACATCTTGAAGCTCCAGCTACAATTCCAGCAAATCCAAACGGTGCAAAACCACCGTTTACAGAGGTCCAGTTATGAATGTCTGCAAGGAAGAAGCCTAGAATGTTTAAGAAAAAGTATAATATGTTTATTCACGACGGTATTATCAGAATGGCATCAAAAAGCCAGTGATGATCTGCATATCAAGTTATTGGTGAAGGTAAATTTTTACAGGCAATCTGATTCTACAATTCAGTAGTCATTGGATCTGTGCAAAACATTTCGTTGCAGTTCCAACTGTTAATGTTAAAACTGCGGTATTATATATGTGCAAGTTGTGCATATCATTGTGAATTATAGATATGATAGTTCGATTACTCAACTACTAAATTGTTGCTTCGTTTGAAAAACTGGCTGTTGAAATCAAAAATTAATTTTTATAGTCTACACTGATTGTTAACCATGCATGCACTGGGCGTAGGATTCGCTATGACGGACACCCTTTGATTTTTGGTTTCCCAATTAGCCCATCTACACGGTCAGCTAAAAAGCGTAGAAGAAATATTCATTGCGCACTATCGATCGTGAAGTGTTAAATCATTTAAATGCAGAAAGGGGGCATTCCTTTGACTGCAACTGCAGATAACAAATATTCGCCAATTTGTCAAAAATTAAAATCCGGATGAATATTCTAATTGGAATTGATTTGCATTTAATTTTCACCCTAATTCAATTTTATTCGATCAAACAACGTCTGGTTTTGATTCCTAGAATTCATTTCCCAAAACCGCATAGATGCGGCCACAATGCTCCTTTGTGACTTCACACCAAAATTGTCATCCGTAACCTCATACTTACAATAAAATTTCACGGCATCTACGACGGCAGTATTCGACAGTATTTGTACAGACTTAATCTATAGTTCAACACTGAATTTTTTATTATGTGTTTGTGTCTCAGACAACGAACTCGAATTTTCATTTTATTCGGTTGTCCTGGTTATAAAAGTTCAGAATTGGGATTTGATAACCTGACCAGTGAACTCACTCACTCACATGCTTGATACAAAATTTTCAAGATCAGTCACACGAAACGTAGCAGATAACGAAGTCATTCATTTCTATTGGAATGGCTGTGACACTAAGTCTACTATAACAACGCATTCAAATTCACATTCAAATTCTATATCATAGACTTCAAAGTGAAGCGATTTCGGAAGCTTTGAAGGGATGCGGCACAGACAAAATTTATTTTCAATGTATTGTTTGATATTTATAATTAGTATGTTTACATTTCGATAAAACGTAGTTTAGTAAAATATTGCCGGTGATCGCTGTGATTTGAATATACGACATCATAGATTACCATACTTAATCACATGGCGTGTGTATGACAAATTGGGTATGGATAACGGACCTCAGCATTGCCATACTTCCAATGGTCTTCTATGCAGAATCTCGTTTGGAAAGCTGGTAATTACACAACTCTCACAAGTATCGACAGTAAAGGACGGTAATTACTAATTATAATAGGGAATTTTGTTTTTGAAGCATAGTTATTGACAGAATGTACAGAGCATTCAAGACACCTGTTTAAAGAATGGCAAATAGAGAGTGACCCAGTCAATATTTCACCATGGTTTTGTTTGCTTCAAAATGACTCGATGACTGAAAATCGAAATGAAAGCCATGCCTTGGCTTCTACTGTATTTACATTTTACCGTAAATAAAGAAAACCAGCGTCGAGAAATCAATATCGTGAGATGTGCGAAATTTCCAAAAACATGTTATTGACATTTCCATTGGATAATTGAATCCAAACTCAAGATTGATCGAGTATGATACAAATTACAGTTTATGAATAAAATGATAGCTTGCCTGTTATTATAATAAATCCCACGACTGCTACATTGATCAATGCGAACGCGATGTTAAATTTGTTCGATGAATTGACTCCACATGCCACCAACACACATAACAAGACAATTATTCCCAATGCCAGAAAATCTGGATACGAAGCCAGAATGACGCCATCACCCATCGTAACATGATGTTGAAAATATGTCTAAAATAAATAAAAATTTGACAAAATAGATTTTCTCTTCGACTTGTGACAATGTCCTACTTGAGTAATTTTTCATTAAATCTCAATTTTTTCCAGGTTTGTCATAAACACGTTTTCTATGGCATTGGAAACCAATCTTTTTACATCCTTACCAATTCCGCTTCCTTGGCCTAAATTTATCTCTGATGGATTTCGAGTCAATATAAGTCATATTAACCTTTTTGTTACTCTCTCTATAACTGACATTATTGTACAAAATATTCAGTCGAAACAAGTTTGTTTCAATTCAAGATTGCATTACTCTTTTTCATTTCAGATTTTCATTTGCGTGAAACTGCCTGATATCTCCATCATCGTACACTACACTAAACTATACACAAATCAAAACACCAATATTATCAGAAAAATTAATTTTTTTGATGTCGACTTCGATGGGTAATTAGATCTTTGAATTGGATCTTTGCTAGTAAATTCTGCACGTTTTCGATACTTAATGCAATTGAATTTATCCACTTTGTTTACGAATTTCAAAATTTTGTAGATTGAACAGTTGTAGATAGCGCAAACATAAAAAAGGATGTCAACAGAAACATTAAATGTTGGTGGGCCGAATCATCAAGTATCATTGAGATACGCTTTTGAGTTAAGATTTCGATTTCAGGGCGCAATCCTATATAAATTGTGTTTCAAGTGTCCAATAAATAGAGAGCGTAAACTAGTTTTGAAAAACATCGAATTCTTTACGCTTCAGCAGGATGGGCTGACCCTTCATTTCATATCCACATCATCATGATTATTGGGCGAACGTATTGTTTACCACTTTGCGCTGCAATAAACTTAACTAATGTTTTGTACATATACAAGTAACGATATTTGTTAAATTCGGGATGCTAATATATATATTTTAAGTAGTGCTATAGAAGCATTAAATGATTGCCCAAATCGATTACCTTCATAGGATAACCCATCACAGAATCAAGATATCCGCTCCAAGCTTTGGCAACAGATGCCGAGCCGACTCCATGTTCGAGTATCATATTCCAGCCCATCAGAAAACCCCACAGTTCCCCCATCGTGACATACGTAAATATATATGAAGATCCTAAAAAAAACAAAAAGCGAAGGATTTTGATATATGCCATATTTCGCATAGGTTTATACCTCAGAGAGAAAAGAAATGGATTAATTCAATTTCACAGCTTGTTTCTTTGACAAACAGATGTCAAAACGTTTTACTGACCAGGTTAATATAGAAAAAGGGAACAAATTTATATTAACTAGATTAACAGTAACAACAATGCCAAATATTTTGACTATTTCCTAGTTGTACATTCAGAAAGAAGGACACAAATATTGAAGATTACTTAATGTCAGTCATCTCAGTTTTAAATTGTTGTTCACCATTCGCAATTGATGTTTAATTGTCTACGTGTAGAAATACTTTGCAAAATAATATTAAGATGATGCACTCTTAAAAACCTGTGGTTGGTATTCTCGCTCCAAATTCAGCGTAACATAAAGCCGATAAAAATGCTGCAAATGCTGCCAGTAAATAACTTATAGGAACTGCTGGCCCACTTGTATTTTTTGCCACTGCTCCTGTCAGAACGTATATACCAGCACCCAACATTCCGCTGATCTAGAGTGAAAAAATCACTGTGAGTCTTCAAATAGAAAATCGTTAGTTAAAAAATAAAATATGATATATGTGAATTAAATAACAGGGAATTTGTACTGTAGAAAAAACGTTAGAATTGGCTTTAATCGGTGTTTTCAAAAAGTATTGAACCAGACCAGACAGATCACCGACCGACGTCAGGGAACAATCGTCAGTTTACGGCTTCCTTTTTGCAATTTTAAAAAATTCTAAATAACGGGACGAGCGCGATTTCCATCAACTATACAACAAACTAGCAAATATAATAGTAACACAGAGTAAAATTGATCTTACCATTCGTGGTTTAATGAATAATAAATGCTGGCATATTGCCCGAACAATACCTATGGTGCGGTTTAAGTGTAATAATAATTAAGCATAAGCCGCAAACACTCGTTTCCACCCTTTCATTATTTTCGCTATTTAGAAATTTCCAGAATATTTTGTCCAAACGCGGGCAAAGGATAAATAAAGTTTTAGATACACGTTACCACTCTTCCCACACTGTCTCAACTTAACAGTTTTGCGAAAGAACCGGAATATGTATTATTCATGTGAAAGGTACAATCGTTAAACTGTTTTATATATATATAAATATATATATATATATTCTTAGTTTATTTTTTGCATCGCCGACCAAACCTGGAAGAATGATAATCTGACAAACTATCTTACACACAAACGTACAAACAATAGAATTTTCGTTATGATAACATATGTTAATAATTTGACATTTTACTTTTAAAAATCGGAAATGGATATCAGCGTTACGTCAGTTATTCAATGAATGTATGTAAGTATTTTAGTACGGTTGACGCCTAACATTCTTACATGATGAAATCAAAATATCTGAAAGTCTGTGCCTTTTCTTACTTGTTACTGTTTTGATATGGGGCAATTGTTTTTAGCGTATTTAGGCTTGAATCCATTTACTTTATCTCTAAACAGCTCTCTGTTGGAGTATCGCTGGTTGCAGTCTCCAAATGTGTTTAGGTTTGGGACGATGGTGTTACGACGGTCGGTGTCAATTCTTAATAAATCCAACAAATTTCAAAAACTTGCTTTTAAAATATTGGGAGATCTTGTAAATCGATCAAGCATATGACATTTCAAATTTTACGTAATTTTCAACGTTTTTAGAAAGATGTGTAGCACGGCTGCTTTCTACGATTAAATATAGATAATAAAAAACTAACGCCAAGTAATGTTAAGTCCAATATTCCAAGACATCTTCTTAATTCAGTTGTCAGAAGATTTTCATCCAGAGATTTCCTTCGATTGATGTTTCGGCAAAATACTTTCAACCACATTGTAACTTGTGACGATTTCTACAAATATTACCTGTTGTAACTTTAAATGAAATTATAAAAACCCGTACTCAAACTAATAACACGACAGGTTCGAAGACCAACTGCCAAAGTTTGTTTTCTGCTGATAAATACTAGTCAATAAGAATAAAAGACCCCAGTACCAATAACATTATGCTTGAAAAAATATTTCTATCAGACCTTTCGTACATATGTATACTATTAAACTACTGGAAACGAGCGAAATCGCCACCAGTTTATAGTGGTGTATTTGAACATTCTTATTATAAAATCCATGCAATTAATATCACGCTCGCTACGCTGATTTCACACTTCACCTGTCCAATAAGAAGTAATGTAAGTTATTTACAGAAGAATAAAAAATATAATCTTATCTGATTGCCAGAGTAAAAAAACTTGTAGTCCGCTTTAGTGAACTAAATTATATATTTAGTGTAGATAAACAAAATATATCTATAATATAAAAACTAAAAATGCTTCAGATGCCGTTCAGACTACAGGTACCGAGAGTTCTTTCTATACTCCACTCAGGGCGGATTTTCAGCTGAAATCCGTTACATGATATCGATTGTATTCGATAATGACAGGCCAATTCGGTGTATCAAAGCGCGAGATACTACAATATGTGCATTACAATGAATAGGAAATTCTACACATCCATGCGGGTAGATGATTTGTTATATGTAGACGAAATTATGTCGCCTCTACACTGTATAAGCGCGTTATTTTCAACAAGTTTTTGTGAAAAATATGATTATAAAAATATTTGCGTATCATATATACTGAACGTTTAGTTGCAGGACGTAGACTAAATATTAGAATAATGTAGATTAGGAATGGTTTATAACACTGAGCGACCGTGAAACCGCACTAATTCTTAGAATCAATCTGATCTGACACTCATTTAAACTACCTTCACTTAAATAGCTTGGAGTAAAATTCTACAAATATAGGTCAGAATCCACACTACAGCAAACAAATAACCGGTTTGGATTTCTCAATGTGCGTTCCACTATACTGTCATGCGTAAGTATCAAGATCTTCGTATTCTACTCTTACTTCCAGGCTTGTGATTGCTGTCGAATAAACCTTTATCAACGGCTCATTTTTGGAAAAAACGATTTCACTTGGGAAGTACCGCAATTCGGCGAAATCGTTCAAGTCTGACGATTTTCAGAATCCACCGTGCGCTTTTATATAACCCAAACATTTAGTCTCGTTCGTTTCATTTGTTTTCTTAAAAGAATTTTTGCGTTCATTACCACAGTCACGGTTTCAAGTGCGTCACGAATTACGGGGTTAATAAAATACGCCGTTCGGGGTTGTGATAGTAGTCCGCACATAAAAATAACCTAGTACCATTTCCCATATTTCGTTCTAGGTATGCAAGTATACTATTTAAATATACGTCCCGGTCCCGCATATAAAAATATATTTTTATACTCTCAAACTGTCAAATTGTTGTTTCTACATTTCGTCAAATTTAGGAAACAAAATTCACCGAGCGCGTATCTGTTTTAAGATGAGTCAGTTGCTTGATAATAGGAATCAACAGCAGTTACTGTAAAATCTCTGAATCTCGTTTAGAGGTTTTATGACATCATGACAGAAAACCTATTTATTCTTAAAGATTTGTCAGTAACGGTAATTGACAACCTTATTCTTACGACATACCGCACGGTACACTAATTACTCTTGCCATGATCGATAGAATATTGTTTGGAAACCTTTATTGTATTTTAGCTCTTTGTTGCCAATAATTCGAAATTGTTGGGTTGGGTCTTTTTGTAACTCGAGTTATGAGCTCGAGGCTGCTTCATTCAGGGTTTCAGGTCCATATATTTGAGTATTGCTTTCTTGTAATACATTAGAATACCGAATTTTAACGCAATTAACAGCAAGTCGCGAAGGACCAGAACTGGTCATTATGAACCTGCACACCAATATTCAAAACGAGTCGAAAACAAAAATTGAAATGAAAAAAAAATATACATCTGAATTTAACTTGTTAATTTGTCTCTTTGGATTTCAAACAACAAGGGACAGCTTGGTCCGCAAGCCTGTATTTTTTTCGGCTTTAATTTTCCCACCCGGAGCTTTTTCGACGATATATTATACAAATACAGTACGATTCTATAAGGAAATTATCCGTTTTTTCGGCTATATCCCAGTCCGCCCGAAAAATACGTAAGCTAATAAAAGCCTGACGCATTACATATATGTCCGTCAGCTGATTTGACTTGTGTGCTTGAAATGGTGGCAGATTGTAGACGTACAGAAAAGATATATCGATTTGACAACGTTTACTCAACTATATATATATGTATATATATGTACTCAATAATAATATGAAATTCTCAAATTCATATCATATAATATTGATTTCACAAACATATATATTTCATACACCAAATGGTTATTCATGTTTAAATGAATAGATCTGAATTTGTGTGCTTTTAAAAAGGCGGAACGGGTAATAATATTATTTGTTTTGGTATGTTAATGCCGTGATAATAATCTCAGATTCGTTTCTTTTCAATTTCTTGATTCCAGAACTCATATGTGAATATGTTATGTTTTTATTAGTCGGGAAAGGTTGGCAAATTACAATAGAAGGAAAGACATCTGGGTTCTGGTACTCGACCAGAATATTCTTTTGTTATACTGCAGTCAGTTTATGTGAGATTAAATTGTGAGATATGGCCACGGCGATTAAATGAATAGGGCATTTTAACTTATTTGATGAACAACAAATTCGAAAAGTAAGTATAGTTACCAACATAAAAGTTTTATAGTAAATCTAATGAAATATGTGATATTTTCATAATATGTTCTTATATTTTTAGTATCGGATAAGGTGGGCTACGGTGGTACATGGGACACAGTGAAAAATCAGCTCTCACACTATATCCGGAATCAGTCATGCGTTTTGATGTTCGACTCCGCCTTTTGGCGAGTTACGACGTTCCCGCAAATGAACAGCGACTGTGCAAAGTGACACAAGATGTGAGATGAAGATATTTTTAGGGGGTTGAAACAAAAACTTCACCATCCCCATCTTTTTTCTACTTTAGCCTTTCTAACAGGACAAACCATGTCTGGCATTTTTAGCTCTAGTCCACTATGAAATATTCATAACGTTGGCGAGTGATGTGCCTCCTTAATCGTGATATGAAGCATTTTGAAAAAGTTTGATGCCTCTGCGAAACAATGGACCAGGGTTCTGCGGGACATTATCCACTGGGCACAATTTGACAGTGTTTGATCCATTGGGTGATTAGGTCATAGAGATGCATCATGTTATGTGTAATATTGGGATATCTTTTGGCCCATGGCCCAATATTGAATATACTCTCGATTCAAAAAAAATTTCAGAGTGTATTCGAAAAAGTAAATTATTTGCCTTTGGCCGGAATTAGACATTTTACTTGTTAGTATATAAATGTAGGTTTTGTTGTTTTATTGACACGGTGAACAGTTCAGTGATTAAAAAACATACACGTTTGTGTTTTGTTCTTTTTGAGCAGTACTCAAACAAAGAACTGTCACCGTCGAGAATGAAGGTTTCAGAACTCATTTTCAATTGGTTGAAATTAGGCATAATTCAAAGGTGAAACAATGAATTTACTTCAAATTCAATGATACGAATTTAAAATAGGTAATACCACAATGGCAGACGCTCTAGATATTGTTGTCGACAGAAGGCTAAAATATCTGTGAGTTCTAGGGCATTCGTTTTTCATTTCGAAGTTTTGTGTGGTGACGCCATAAGAATTAAAAATTGAGCACCGTGATCACATCTAGGGTAGCTGATGGTCAGACTATACCGATATATACTGTAAAAGAATTGTTACTTCTCCATTCAGGCTTCAGGTCCATATATTTGAGCATTGCTTTATTGTATTACATGAGAATACCGAATTTCATCGCAATTAACAGCAAGTTGCGAAGGACCAGAACTGGTCATTATGAGTTTGCTCACAAAGATTTAAAACGAGTCAAAAACAAAAATCGAAAGAAAAATAACTTGTTAACTTTTTGTGTTTCAAACAACAAGGGACAGCTTGGTCAGCAAGCCTGTATTCATTTGGAGTTTAATTTTCCCACCCGGAGCTTGCTGACATAATTTCTGCAGAAATATCTTCTCGAGTAGTATAAACGGTTGCATAAAACCATTTGAATCAAGTACTTGGCGCATGGCTAAAAGTATAGCCTACCCGTCTGGTAGTGGGCTTGTGTTTTACAATCAACTCAAATATTTTTAAATCACAGTACATCCCACTCTCTCTTCGTCGAAAGATTGTCAATATTCGAATTCACTATAGACTTTGCTCGCCTAATTTCGGCTTTTACTAGCTTCTCAATAATTACTGCCTAATCTGTTAGAAGAAATCAACTAATGCCATTGAATAGTCACATGGCAAGTCATATTTGGGTCACACCACAAGAGACGAAGTTAGTCGAAATCATCTGATTCTAGCCTCTCTTTCATCCGATGAAACATATATATATACCGGTATATAAATATATATCTGATATCACATCAATTTTCTCTCGCTTGAATCTCAACAAACCTCCAGCCAAATCATTTGCAGAGTCCGGTCCTTGTAACATATTATCGTTCAATGACATCCCATAAAAAGTTCTGACGCCATTGAAAACTACATCGTATTTTGATTTTTCGTACTGTGACGTCCCAATTACAAAGTTTTGTCAGCAATCATCAGTAATATCAGTAGGCCAACTCGGCATCAGATTCTGGTACACCCATTATTCGAGTAATGAGAGGCTGTCCCCAATTCAGTATCACTCACGTAGCCTACACTGGGAAATAGGCTACTAGATTTCAAATTGTCTCAAATCGCCTTTATTTAGGAATCATTTTCTTAAACCTCAGGTATTTCCACAATCAATGTTTATTATCCGACCAACAAAGTGGACAATTAGACGTAGTGATTGCCCTCTACTGGGTCTCGCCGGTGAACAAGCACGAAATACAGAAAGAAGTTGTCTCAAATCCGTTGCTGTCCGACCTAACAGCGACCATGAAAAGCAATATGTTTTAAAGCTTTATCAAAGAGACGAGTACTTTAGCTAACACCGGACGAATCCACAAAATACTAATGGCCTGTTATGTTTCCAAATACTGAAAATGAGATTTATTTTACTGGGAACAAGCAGCAACTGGTACTAATAAGTCGGATTGACCTTCGATACACAAACCGAAAAAGAATTTCCAATAAGTTTATACTGCATAAATGTAAGTATGGCCAACACATACACCAACTAAGATACCTACATTACCTAGGACGCTGTACACTTCCGTTCAAGTCCGTCAAATGCTGATAAATTTTGAAGATAAATGCGGATTTTTCGCTCCCTTATTTCAATTCCATAGCGAGACAGATGTTGAAAGATCTACTACAGCCTATCTTTATTTGAAATAATGATTTTATTGCTGCTGTTGTCTGACATGATCATAAAACGAAAATAATAATCAGGATAAAAACGAAAAACAAAAATTATGCGGAAGGTAAGCAGCAAATAAATACGACTATTCACACATTGAAGAAGCCGGACCTTGGATAGCACTCGGTGCAGGTAGCCAGGTAACAACTATTATGACACGCCAATGCCAATGTACTTCACAAGCAAACATTGTTAGCTCATATTTTGCAGGGCATATCACTCACCTACCAGTAGGTAATAATTTGAAAAATCTTAACTTCAGTTTATGCCTGATTTCAGCAGTAAGAATAGTTACATATCTTGCAATCTTCAGATATGACAGCAGACTTAAGTTTGGGGATGTACCAACATCAAGTGTTTGTTAACATCACGAACATAAAATGTTTTGCTTATCACATACAGATAAATTATAATTTCACAGATGATACCCAAAACATTTAGCCAAAATGTTGGACATAAACAATGTGTTTTGACATCATAGAAAGAAGCCAGTCACACATAACAATTCCTGTTTTAAAGAATGTTAATGTTACCAATAAAAAAACGGACACTCATTGCACATGACAAATTTACTACGATTCAAAATGGAATTAATCCCTATTATATTGCAAGTTATATTGAAGGCATCTCCCAGATAGACCTCAAAAACGAACTTGCGAACCAAGGCAGGGTAATCAGAGGTGCGGTCACAAGCGTATTCTTAATGCTTAGCATGATGTGCCACATCCACGAGCAATTTAAAAACCAATACCGAAAGTAAAGATTTGGGCCTTGGATGATACCTTGATTGAGAAGGTTTTTGGAGCATACCTATTGTTCTATATCTCACAATAGTGTACTCAAAGAACCATGTTAATTAAAATATTTAAAGTTGCAGAGATAAGTCTACAACAGCCTTGGTGAAACTATTTTTCAAGCAACAGTCAATCCTTGAATTTATGTTTTCATGAATCTTGCAGATGATGGAATGTTGCGAAAAATTTCAACTAGAATGAGATCGCAAAAAAAATCAAAATTAAGGTAATGTAAATTGTAACATGAAGATGGAAACATATTTCAAAAATATGTCAAAATTTTAGATTCTTAAATTTAATTTAACAATTGGAATTTTTGTAAAGAACATCACTATCTTCACCTTTGCGGTTTATATTATAATCCAGTACAGGCATGCACTGTAGAACACTAAGCATGTGCATCAATTATTGAAAAAAAAAAAACTATTTACGATTTATTGATTGCATTCCTGCCACCACGCAGCTCATAACTGATGAACAAACGAATTGACAAAAAAGAAAATATTTTTATCTTGAAGCTTTTAGTCTAGTGTCAGCTCCATCCAATGTAGATAAAATATTAGGAATTAAATAATACAAACATTAAATACAAAATATAGGTTAGATTAGATAATTGGTAACAGACTAGATAAATATTCTGTTAATCCAATAAATTCCTGAAGTTTTCGAAACACAAGAGCTTGTTTTTCATGTATCTTTATAAAAATTAGATGTTGTTGATGGCAAAAAGCTTCAGTGAGTCACAATTTTTTATAATAGGAGAAAAGTTTGACAAAAATTGTATCAGTCGAAACCAGAAAAAGCTTTTGGGCAAATTTCGAAACAATAGAGGGGTCCTTTAGCTCAAAGTTCAGAAATACCATGGGCTATGACAATAAATATACAAACACAAAAATGAAAAAAAAAAAATTGGAATTCCTAAAAATTATTGTCAGAATATATTATAGCAATAATATTTATTATCAATGTAACATGAAGTCGAAAATGGATAAAGTTGAAGACAATCGGTGTTGAATGACACAAATTTTGTCACTTGAAATTATATTTGCTCAATGGTATCGCATGAGGCATGATGTGCCTGCTTGCCACAATTCATATTATGGTAATTGAATATAATTAATACAACACAACACAATACTGGAAAAGTGGCGAAGGAAAAATCTTTTAAATTTTGCAATGTTGACTGGCATATACTTTTCAATCATTCCTCCACTTTCCCTCGTGTTTGGAGACATTTTCTTCACAGCATTGATCTCCATTTAATAACATCAATCATGCCCAAATCTGAAAAGTAGCGAATTCAGGGATGTTACAAGCTGGAAAAAAGACTACAGAGACGTGTGTTACTTCCTTCAAGTTTAGCCAAGGCCTGATATCTCCACTCTCCAGTAGATATCACCAGTGCGAAAGCCAAAAAATATGATTGAAACCAAATTTTGGTTTTACAAATGGCACTAAAATGCCTATAGCCAATTTAGATGATAGCAAAGAAATAAAATAATAAGCAAAAATTAACTGCAGATATGTAAAAATGTGAAAACCATACCATTTATATTACCACATAACAACATTTCCATCCAACAGAAACATAAATAGAATCTGACTAACCCATATGTTAATGCAATCTTATTCTCCCTATCATATTTCAAATGGGCAGTACACACAGAGAATCCGATGTCATAATGAGGCTTTTATGAAGGGTTTCATACAAACTTTCGAATAGCCAGCCACTAGGACGAAGGAAGCACGCAAAAACCAGATTTTTTCAGTCTTGACAAAGCCTACACCACAGGTGAAGTTTTGGGGCTGAGTTTAGAAACTCATTCTCAAGCAATGGTTCGAGATGGCTAAGTTTTGAGTTCTCTATTATCCATAAATGGCAAAAATGAAAAAAATATTAACTGGAAATATAAGCTTACCCGTAATGTTGTATCCCAACTGCCAGAACAAAATGCTGTTCCATCAGGTGACATTCTTAAAGTACTAACTCTATTTTCATGACCAAATAATGCCCCAATCTTTATTCCTTGAATTGTATCCCATGCATGAATCAAATAATCATTGTAAGCTCCATACAATACTCTTCCTGAAATTAAATAACGAAAATTAGTTGCCACAAAAGGCCAAACCATATATTTTTACTATTCCGAATACATTCTGATAAAACATTTTCAAATATGGAATATTGAATACATTCTGAATTGGGGGGAAGTTTGTGTGGAAAATTACCTACGATAAATCACTATATCTTTGTGATAATCATTTACAACAACATAAATATAAAGGCCATTGTTTTTTCTGTGTTGTTTGTTACCAGTTGAGATATCGAAGTTTGATCTGCTTGTCTGATGTCTCAAAATCCCTAATTTTTCAATAAAAATGTACTGAACTATTCCTAAATTCAAAAATTTATTTCATCGACTATAATGCATTTCGAATGTATCCGATTCTATTTGGATATCCCCAGTCAACAGTATTGAATTTACTTCACTAGCTCATGAAATTTTCAAAAAATGAATCTAATTGAAAAAAAAAGGAAACACATACCACTCAGAGAAAAGTCAACTGCATTTACTCCAAATAACACAGATTTCTTCTGGTAACAAGCGATCTCCTTGTCAGCACGAAGATCAAACAAACGTATCTATGAATAAATAAATGAAGTCGTTGTTATAGCTTTATAGCAACAATCAAAATATGTGAAAAATAATTTCATTTTCTCAAGAATCAAATAATAAAAACACAACACAGGTGCTGAAAAGATATTGATCAGATTCAGAACAGAACAATCAAATTTGAAGTGAATGTAGTAGTGCTTCCACTTCACTATGTCTCACTCAAATAACAATGTTGTGCCCTTGCCTGGAGAACCAAATAATTCAGTGTGAAAAAAATCTACAATGAAGATACATAGAAAGAATAAGTAATGCCAGTGCAAAAATGAAATGCAAATAATATAGTTCTTTCAAAGTATAATATAAGTTCTGTCTATGTATGGTTGGCTAGAGCTACCTGACATTAGTGAGAAAACTATATTATGAAGGAATAGAATTTAATTTAGTATGAAAAAGCACATTGCAGCAAAATTGCAAAGCAAAAATGAATGGAGTGATAAGTGAAGAGATATTTTTCACAAAAATTTATTTTTTTAACATTATAAAATATTGTACCTAACTCATATTATTGCAATATTAAATGGGTCAAATTTTATAACATAAGATTTGACATACATTAACGCCCATGCAAAAAAGAATGCAAACATATATTCCGTAAATTTTTCGAAGAAACAGAAGTACATACCTTTCAGATAATATGAAGAATTGAGATGAACAGACAAAACACCAAAACAAAATGAACAAATAACAAACAACATGAAAATCGACAGTGACCAGTTGGCATGCAAAAGCAAACATAGAGTGACAAGTGAAGTAAACACCTGTATGGAAAAGAAAATATGACAAAGAATGTTCAAACATGAACCTAATTTTGCTATATTCATAAATATAAAATCAAAGTAGTTTTAATAGCCAATAGTGTAAGGATTTGATCAAAACAAAATTTTAATTTGAATGTTATTCGAAACTATGTTCCAGATGATCAAACTATATTTCTTATAAATTCAAAATAATTAGTATTCTTGTAAAACTTTACAGAAAATATCGGCATATATTTTGATAGCAAAGTTGCCCAGTCGAATTATATAATATTTATACGTAACATAATATCAAACAACTTGGATATGTAGTCTAACGCTTTACAAGTTAGGCCCACACGCCCACTAATAAGTGTGAAAAATCTTTCAGCACTATTAGATATGACCACCTGTTTCGATCATTAATATTATTTAAATAGAATTCTGGTCATCAACGAAAATAACAGGCAATTTATGGAAGCTATTATTGTGTCTTTATGCAAAGTAGAATTTGAGGAAATAAAGCAGCAAAAAGCATGAGAGCTAGGTTACAACAGGTGTTAAATTCAGCCATTGATATTAAGCAGCCAATTTTTTTAAACATAAATTTTCTTTATGATTGGAATGTAGTGGTTAAAAATACTCATTGGTCTCGCATTCAAGAAATCGAATATTATTATAGAGTACAAAGGATGGAATAAAAGGAGTGCACATGCGACATATATAATGAATGATGGGTACTCCAGAAGTATGTGTACCAATATGAAGGTAACTAATTTGTTTGCCTATTTTACATCAAGTTGTGTGAAAGGAACACAGACTCGTAAAAGAACTAAAATAAGGAAAATCAGAATAAAATGGCCTAACCCTAACCAGGTACACATACTACGGGAATACCGAATGATGTTATGAATTGTGTTTTATGCAATGAGTTTTTATGATGACAGAACTGATAAAATCTCTTAAAAAAACGAACCACTTGACCCACCAACAAAAACCCTTCACTATGTGAGTATTTTAATATATAACGCTTTCTCCAAGTAGTATATAATATCTTATTCCTCTGCATCAAAAATTTTCAATCACCTTCAAAATTTTGTAATGCTTCTCACAAACATACAAACACATATAGGCCTATATTCGTGCATGATACCACACTAATGAAAATAAACTCATGCAAATGACACTTCCTCAAATAAAAACATACCGAAGCATCTTCCGATCCTGATGCAAAAGCTTCACCACTTGGAAACCATCTGAGAAAATCAAGAAATAATCACAGAATTATAAAATGAAGGATCTGAACACTGGTGGTATTATGTAGCAAAAATATAATTTACAAATTCTATCTTTATATTCTAAAATCTATCTAACACACATTTCAAAATGTTGGTACTCCCGAAGTATGTGAACCAAGATGGCAGACACCGGAACGTAGTAAGTGTACCAGGCTGGGGTTAGGCCATAATTTTATTCCAATTTTCTATATTTTAGTTTTATTACGAGTTCGGGGACTAGCCAAGAGACTCTCGTAGTATTTGTATCTGAAATTATGGCTCAACCCTAACCTGGTACAAATACTACGTTCCCAGTGTCCGTCATATAGGTTCACATACTTCGGGAGTACCCAAATTTTATTGTGACAAATAAGCAAATGAATTTGCATTTGTTTTCATTGCAAAGGACTAACTAAAGAGAAAAAAGTAACATACCTGACTGTATTGATATCAGATTCATGAGTGCTGAATCGTTGAACACATTGTGCTATTCTCATGTCCCATACACAAGCTGTATTGTCACATCCCTGCATTGAAATAAAACAGAATTAAATAAATTTCTTTTTTATAAGAAAATATTCTCAACAAAGGCGATACACACTCTCTCTGATATAAAGATCTCAGAAGTTCACTGAAGGGCACTCCAGAAGTATGTGCACCAAGATGGCTGACACCGGAACGTAGTATGTGTACCAGGTTAGGGTTATGCCATAATTTTAATCCAATTTTCCTTATTTCAGTTTCTATTATGAGTCCTGTAGTGTTTGTATCTGAAATTATGGCCTAACCCTAACCTGGTACACATACTATGTTCCTGGTCCGCCATCTTGGTTCACATACTACAGAGTACCCACTAAAGTGCCTTGGACTACTGATACTATAAAGCACATGTACAATCCAGATAACTACATTGTTTTTCAGTGATACATAAACATTTAAATTTCATCACAAAATTGTATCAGCATTTTCTATTGTAATGATTAATAGGTATTTCCCGAGATTGATAGAACAGTTTCCACTCAACATAGTACTTACCCCAGATATAAATAGATTTCCTGTTTCAAGAGGAGACAAAGCAGCATCCATGACATCACATTGATGTCCATGGAAACTCTGTAATAATTGACTACTTTCTACATCCCATAATGCACAAGTACTGTCTCCTGAAGCTGTTAAAATCTGTAAGTGTCAAAAAATCATTTTAAGATAAAAAATTTTGATCATCGACTGAGTATATCATCCATGATAAATCAGTATATCAGAACATTTACTATCAAGTAATTGAGTTGACTGTAATCGGTTGTAATATATTTTTATTTATTTCAAATAGGTTGATATAGATAGAATTTAGTGTTTAGTCTAGCGATGGATATCTGAAAATGTAATATACAGCAAAACTACGATAGGCACCATATTTTACTGTATATTTTTTTCACTTGCTGATGGCAATCCTAAGTGAAAAACCTTATTACAATATACACATTCTTGAGAAGATCTTTTTAACATATGATCATTTTACATTTTACTATATCTGAATTTGTTGCATGTCTAAGATTGTAATGCTTATTTATGTCGAAAATTTCAAATAATGAAGTTAATGTTATGAAATATATAAATACAGAGATACATCAACACCAATAAAAAATATTAGAAAATTTTTGTAAATGCATAAATACTTATAGAACGTTATCGATTTACTTGCTATCTTATGAAATCTCAAACTAACTAACTGACCCTTATAGTGGGCCACGAACGGCCTTCACTAGGTACCATTTGCGATAACTACATTAATATACAGTAGAATGACTGTAATTCTTTGACTGTAATGCATTATTTTTATGTTTTGGTTTGTCAACTTTATTAGTATTAAAGAGGCCCATAAAATAACCGATGGAAACTGATATTAAAAGAAAAGCAGGTATTTTTATTTAACAGCAGGGGACCACAATTGTTGAGCCTTTAGAGGGCGGCCATAGATCATGAAAGTTTGAGAACCACTGGCCTTCACCTCATCATTCTAATATTATATATCAAAAGTTGCATTCTTGGATAACTATCAAAAAATATAGAAAATAACCTGATGATCAGATTGTGTGAATGAGCATGATGAAATATAGCTTGTATGCATTGCCACCACTTTTCTTTGTTGTGATTGTGTGTTGGACCCTGCTTCTGGTGTACTGTTTGTTGAAGTTGGTTTGATTGCACCAGGATTGGTAGATGATGCAACTGAAGGATTACTTGCGGGTGATGAACCGATACGGAACACTGAGCATTTATTATCAAGACCACTAAAATACAATAAAGCAAAGTGTGAAAATATGGACACAAAAGTTCAATATTAACAGCAGTATCACCAGCTTAGGGAGACTCGCACAGAAATATGGCTTGGCACAGATTTTTCAAACTAAAAAAAGGGAACAGCCGTGACGTGACATAGGTCCGCAAATACAGGGCCGCGACCCAAATTTGTACTACAACTTTGTGAACCTCTGGCACCCCTGACATAGGAGGCCATGGTTGGCAGAATAAAAACAGTAATAAAATATAACAGTGAAAATTAGTGTGAAATATCAAATTTCATATGACAAAAAAATAGCCTGTTGGCAAATTTTTTGAGAACAAAAATTTGAAATCGATCAGTCTGTAAGAAAAGGGCCATAATAATCCATATGGCCACTTTTTCGCCAATAAACAAATACCAAGCAAATCAAATATATGTCTTCATGGGTATACTATAGTAATGACATTCAAGATATAAAGAGGTAAATATATATTAAAAGTTACTATCTGATATCAGCAAACCCAGCCTAGAGAATGATATGTATTATGTTTCCTTGTGAGAAAAAATTTAAAAGTAGTTAAAATCAAACCAGTAGTTTTTTGCTACTTCAGTGAACTCATCATGAGTAATTTTGAACTTTTTAATAATAATACATTATAGGTAGCACTGCCTGCAATATTAGCTGTTTCATTATTTTTTACAAAGTGAACAATATTTCTGTTACAAAAAGCCAAAGAAACCAGCAAAAAAAGTTCAGGGCTAAAGTCCAATAAGTAAATACATGGAACTACCCAGCAAAAATAAAGGATAGATAGGAAATAAAAACATCAAATGATTCCCTCTTAAAGACTTACCCGCATGCAATCAAGCGTCCGGATGGAGCATATGCACAAGAATTCACCCATGTTGTCGGCAAACTAATGGTATGTTCCTGTATAGACATAAGAATTAGCATTTTTTCAAACAGGGGTATAAATGACAACAAAACTCAATGGACAAAATAACAAGAATTTTATATAATAAACACTTACCTTTGTTGATGTAAAAGCATCCCACACTATCACTTTACCATCCTGAAAAATAAAGAAGAGTTCATAATCATATTACTGTTTATTAAACATAAAAATAATTGATGCAATTGAATGAAAACTAGCTTCTTAGCCAGTTTGTATTCATAATTTATCAACATACATAAAACAAGACACAATATAAGCTGAAGTAAAGCTTTTTAAGTTGTATATTCAATCTACTTGATCAAGTGCCTTGACAATAAAATAATTTACATGCATCCAGACCAAAAATCAATAAAGGATGACAACATTGAGCTTATTAGGATGAAACTACTTCATCCGGGAAAACCTTATAGACAGGGATGAATCTACCAGAATAAACCAGTATTATCAATTCAAATTTTATGAAAGCTGGGTTGAACTTGAGTCGATAATAGTGGACTATATGAACTAAATAGCTACACCAAACAAAAACATAATGTATATTCAATGTCAAAAGTTTATTACTCAAAAATTTAATAACAGGATACCTGTGAGGAACTGACAATTCTTCTTCTGTCTTGTGACCAATCTATATTAAGAACTTTACTTGTGTGACCTTTGAGTAACTTCCTAGTCCGAAGTTGCAATGTAGATACCTGCTTCACTTTATTTCCCATAGAAAACACTGAAAAATGAGATAGACGTCACATGATGCAATAAAATCTCGCACTGTATTGATCTTCAGGTAAAGAAAAGCATATGTAAAAATCAGGACCATGAATGGTGTCAGAATAAAATTAAAATAAAAGGCCTCATAAAACACATTGTGGGGATCACTGTCACATTTTAGAATACGCTATTTTTTCCAACCATACTTGAGTTGGTTGATTGGAAAAACAAAGTTAATTTAAATTTTCAAAAATACTCAACTTCAATTTAAAGTAATGACTTACTTTCAAATGCAATATCAAGATGTAAATTCAAAACAAAAAGTTTTCAATATGGTAGTTAAGAAAACCATGTTTTTTGTTTTGAATATCGAATAGAGTAAGATTATGAAAAACATGGTGCTGTTTATGGTGCAAAGGCGTTGAAAACAGGAAAAAAAAAAGTTTCATAACTTAATCCAGGTCTAGGAAGGATTTACATATTTATCCCGAGGGAGAGGAACACCGATAAGACAGCTTAACCATATGGCGAACCACAGCCTCTCGTCCAGTCCAGGTCGGGTATGGGATTAGTTAGCCAGTTATTTGTTTTCGGAAGCATGGACTTGACGATGGAGGAAGTCGTAACCACCCTACAGTACAGCACACTATCCAAATTCCAAGAATTTCCCTCCATTTGGCTCAATAAAACAAACACTCCATGTGTCTCACAAACGAGGGGCGTCTGGGACCACGTCAGATGCTTCATATCGTGTAATCAGAGATGCGGTGGCGAGCGTATTCCTAACACTTAGCACGATGCGCCACATCGCGGAGTAAATGGATAAATCACCAGATCTTATTATTGAATGTATAGGATAGGATTTACATATTTATCCCGGGGGAGAGGAAAGCTGATAAGACGGCTTATCCATATGGCGAACCACGGACTTTCGTCCGGTTACCATTCCGAGTCGGGTATGGGATTAGTTATATTGTTTTGTTTTCGGAAGCATGGACTTGGTGGTGGAGGAAGCCGTAACCGACCAGCGGTTACGTGAACCTCCCTCCCTGTCCAGCAATCCTCTCGCACATAATCATCCCTGCATGAGATTCAAACCTGCGAACCCACGCAGAGTAATTAGAGGTGCGGTGGCGAGCGTATTCCTAACGCTTAGCCCGTTGAGCCACACCGCCGCGCCTCAACGAATATTCTAGAGCAAGAGATTGACTTCAGCTGTTACACTTTCCAGCTATCGGTACAAATATTTTAGTTACAGTTTTAGGGACAATAATTCCTGAATTGGGTGTCATACTAACGGTTAGCATCGTCAAGCTTTCTTCTGTCTTCCTTGAGTTTTTGGCGAAGTTGTTGAGCTTCCTTTTTCAAGTTCTCGATCATTTCCTTCTTATTTTTATCCGACATTAAAATTCCAGCCATCCTAGGACTCGCCCATTTCCAAACCTCTGGCTGCTTTCCTGGAATATCAACAAAATTCACAGCAGAAGCAACTTTGGCTTCCCACCACACGAGGGCGCAAATTCGTTATTGATTTTTTTATACGGCTTTTAACCGTAAATAAATACTAATATGCTTTAACCTGATATCTTCGAATTCGTGTGATTTTCGCAGTGTACCAGTTAGAAACATTTATCATCTTTTTTTCTGAATGTAATTGTTTTTCAATATTACTGGAGGAACTGATTCAGTAGTTGTTTAAAAGTTTAAAAAAAGTGGAAGCGCCTGCACCGAGCTGGGGTGTTTCATTATTGATTCTTTTTTCGAACCGTATCATATATGGCCCAACTCAATACCTTCGAATTTGTGTGATTTTCTCAATGTATCAGTTAGGAACATTCATCATCTTTTCTTAGAATGTAATCACTCATCATTATTATCGGAGACCCGGATTAAGAAGTTGCTTACAAAAATGGAAACCGCTCAACCAAGCTGGTGTAATTCGTTATTGATTCTTTTTCGAACCTTATAATGGTTAGGTTAGGTTAGGTTAGGATTTACATATTTATCCCGGGGGAGAGGAAAGCCGATAAGACGGCTTATCCATATGGCGAACCACGGCCTCTTGTCCGGTTACCATTCCAAGTCGGGTATGGGATTAGTTTTACTGTATTGTTTGTTTTCGGAAGCATGGACTTGGTGGTGGAGGAAGCCGTAACCGACCAGCGGTTACGTGAACCACCCAACGACGGCGAGGAGTCCAGCAATCCTCTCGCACATAACCATTCCTGCATGGGATTCGAACCTGCGAACCCACGCAGAGTAATTAGAGGTGCGGTGGCGAGCGTATTCCTAACGCTTAGCCCGTTGAGCCACACCGCCGCGCCGTAATATATGGTTCTAACCTGATGCCTTCGAATTTGTGTGATTTTTGCAATGTATGAGTTAGGAACATCCTTTATAGCATATATAATTGGTAAATGAATGTGATGTCACCGTATATTGCTATTTCGTAGACCGTCTCAGAACTGCCAGTCGCCCGTTCACCCTTCAACTTCAATGCCCACGTTAATGAAGAAACTTTAGAAAACTCTGTTTAATTTTATTCTCAGATTTCCACAACACACAGAATACAAATCTTAAAACATTTATCCAGACTAGCTTAACATTGAAAGATATCGAGTCGTATTTATAAATTGATCATAAATCTAATTAAATACTGTGCACGTGAGCTCGTGATTCACGTTATAAACAGAAACTCCTATTATCTCAATATGGGTAATTATGAACATCGTACGGATGGGAACTTATATATAATTAGTGTTTAAATATCGTGTTAAAATAAATTTCAATTTGATAATGGCCGGACGAAACTTGTTATGTTCTTAAACGTGGTGGGATTTGATTCCCACTTTGTTTGAATTTCAAGAAAAATTAGCTTTGTTTTCATATTTTTAACATGAAATGGGGTACATTTGGGGGTTAATTGCTATACCATCATATTTTCCCTGAATGTAATTGCTCATCAATACCATTGGAGGAACTGAATCAGCCGTCGTCTACAAAAAGTGAAAGTAGCCTACCTGCACCAAGCAAGAGTGTTTCAACCTATGGACCTTTCCCCGACCTTTGACCCCCGAAAAGGAAAATTTTTCGGGGCTATTTTAAGAGTGCTTTTGCGAGTTGGCGCCTGTGAAATGAGGTATATGTTTCAAACTATCATTATGATTCATGGCATACAACAATCTGTTTTTTAAAAGTACCGTTAAAGAATTTTAGCCTAGGCTATCACAGCTATTTCTACACTAATTTTCATTACTGCAATTAAATTAAAACCACCAGGAAGACAGGGTGACCATTAAATTATTTGATTTACATTTAATTTTACAAAACACAACTGAAAACTAACGAATATAGTTCAAAAATGCGAAAACGAGATAATGTTTACGACCACGCTTAAAAATCTGTCTGAGTGAGAAAGTGTCTGAGCGGATGCGAAAAGGAGCATTGTTACATCACTTTTTGCAATTTGCTGATTGGCCAATGTCACGAAGTAAACAAGGAAGTCGATGCTCGGGGAAAGGTCCATTGTCTTGCTTGTTGGCTGGTTTTATTTATATAAAAGTATAAAAGCCATTTTCCGAATGTTATTTAAAATTAATCGGCACTATCGAAGAGAAGAACAAGAATTGGTATTGTAAAATAGAAAATACTGAAACATAACAAACAAATGGAGAATTCTTGTGATCGCTCGGCAATATTCACGAGCCTGGATAGTTTCTCAGTCGCTCGACTGCAAGATATATGAAGCGTAATTCAGACCTATGTAGGTCTTTTACTGAAACCGATTCCATTATTAAATGTCATTTATGTGACAAAACTTTCGTTGTTCGATGTGCAACTTCTAGCTTTAGATATCATAAAGAAAAACAGCATTGTAATTTTGTTTTTGATAAATGAAAATATAAGACATCCCCCGAAAATAAGCCCTAGTGTTATTTTTCGGAAGAAAATTGAAATATTACCCCGTCTTATTTTCGGGGGAACACGGTAGCTCTATCGGTTCCGTACGATGTGATACTAGTGTAAAAGCAGAGAGTGTATTCAACACGACCGGGAATATTATTGCAGTAACTCGAGAGTGTTCGTCACTACTTCCCGAAAACGTCGATACTCTAATATTAAGTCGACAGAATTCACATCTGTTGAATGACTTGAATATAGACGCTCTTACAATATACCATGAACAATATATTCTGACCGGGAACTGAATGTGGACGTATCGTTGTCCAATTCCATAATCAGCAATATTTGTCCTATAATTGTTTTTTACATTTTTGGTGTTTACCAATACAGGTAATAATATTCAACGTAATAGGAGATAAATTTGCGATGAACTATCCGTTTTTTGAAGAAATTATACAGTATCGGGATGATTGCTACCAGAGATGTCAGATGCTCATCATAAGTCGTAACCGTTAACTGTCTGACATCGGTTTACTGATTAACCCTGCCCATCCTACTAATTACACATCACATCGTTTGCCAAGGCAAAGGTCCCTGTCGGTAAAAATGGATGATTCAGGTATTTGAAAAATAAATTTTCTCTACATATTCATCTCACCAGGGACTGAATTATTGCATCATTATGGCGTAATTCAAATGGCTTAGTAAGGACTATATTATTTCATTATAATTGGTTTTCCGGGAGTTTCAATAGTCACTGAAACTAGAGTAGATGTTGCGTCTCCGAGTAGGTTGTTTGATGGAAAGTATGCCAAATGGATCTTTCAATGCTAATGGACAGGTACTTTACGCCTGTATTATGGACTCTTTTTACAGTCGGAGGTTTGGCGTAAAAATGGATTCCATCGGGGTGATTCAAGTCTGTGAAAAAGAATTTTTCTTTTCATCTCACCATGGACTGAATTATTGCATCATTTGTAGTTCTCATGGCTTAGTAAGAACTGGATTATTCCATTATAATTGGTTTTCCGAGAGTTTCAATAGTCACTTAAACTAGAGTAGAAGTTGCGTCTCCAGGCAGGTTGTTCGATGCTAATGGACAGATGGTTTTCCGAGAGTTTCAATAGTCACTTAAACTAGAGTAGAAGTTGCGTCTCCAAGCAGGTTGTTCGATGCTAATGGACAGATACTTTATGCCTGTATTGCGGGCTCTCTTTACAGTCGGAGGTTTGGCGTAAAATGCATATAATCCTTACATTTCCATGTACCCATGTTAACTACTGCTTGGTCTCTAAATTCACCTTTGCTGTGCGGATGGCAATACTCACAAGCCGAAGCCCGATTAAAAAGCAGAGTTTTCTCAATCGCATGCTATGTCAAAAAGAGAGATTGGCCATGTAGTACATACTTTTATGTCTTTTGTTAATAGGGGATAAGTGAGGAGCTCAATATCATATATCAGGGGTCCCACAGGTATATAGAGGTTGAAAAGCACTGGTTTAGATTGTTCTTTCTTCTCTGTAACACACCCTGACCAAGGCAAATCATTGAATTTTGTAATAACATCATAGATCTGTAACTATGTAGAATGGAGTTAGGTCAATTCATTACATTAAGACTGCACATCTTATAAAAAGTTTCTAGAAAACGGTCACAAAATGGATATCCAAGCAAAAAAAAAAATTTAAATTGTAGTAGAGAATTTGTGTCAACAAGTCTGGGGAAACGAATAACAAAGAAGAAACACAAAATAGAACAGTAAAAAAATTGCAAGAAAAATTTGCTAATTAGAAAAGTCTTCAATCAATTTTTCTCCTTTTTACTTCTCTTCCATCATCATTTTCATGGTCGATTTTGTCATATATGGAAGATACTTGAGGTAAATACTGAGAACTCGGTTCAGGAGGTGGATTTTTTAATAAATAATCACCTGGAAATTGATACAGAAAAGTGGTAAGTAAAAAGTTACTTAGCAGAGTCAAGAAGACTTGATATTTTCAGCGATTCGACATCACCAACTGGTAAAAAATAATATTAAAAAAGACAATAAAAAGAGCAGATATACTCCGAAAACTTACTGCTCTCGATTGTTAATTAAATTTTAAACTAGCTCTCGAATGATTCAACAAAGTTGACATTTTGACTATGGAAAATATTTTGTATGTTACAACTAGCTCAGAACTAGTCAGCTTCATTATTCTCTTTAAAATTATGCGCAGATTTTAATTCCTTATTACATTATCTTACCAATATATGAAGGATTACAAACATGAACTCCAGATTTTGCAACAAGTTCTTCTAAAATCCATGAGTCTAGTTGCTTTGCTTTTTCAGGATCAATAAAAGCATGGGTAATATTTCCAAGTTTTCCATGTAGTGGGAGCTGAGTTGCAATTACATCTGCAGAACCACATTTTAGAAGACGCTCAAAACCTTTCATTTGTCGATCACTGACGTGAAGTATTACCTAAACGAAAGAAAAATACTCCTGAAGTTACAAGAAGGTAGATTTTCGGTTAACACAAACCAATTTGATTGCCGAACAACAGATTTGCTTATCAAGACTCAGTAACTATCTCTATTTTGTGAAATTAACAGTAAGAAATTACCTTCCATCCACCAAATGATCCTTTCCAAATTCCTGTTTCTTTTTCATTATGACGAAGTTTTGTTCTCCATCTGTATGGTGATAATGATATTTGACTCTGTAGTACGTCAGGTTTGACCAAATACTCGTTTGTGCTTGGATTCAATGGGTTGCCATATTCGAATTTTTCTTCCTGTCAGAAATTAGAATTTTTAAAGCATTTCTCGACTGTTGACGCAGCATGTGCACTAATATTTAACCTGTGAACAACATCTTAAGGTTAATGACAAGATAATCCCAGTTTCAGTGTTTAGATATTTCTACTTCTAAAACCAGTTTTCAAAAAATCAATAAAACTTCATATTTAAAAAAAAACCTCACCAAGATAAAACGATTAGCCTCCTTGCAAGCATTCAGATACTGAGCATTTACAATACATTTTCCTGATGCAAGTGCAGAAAGGAATTTTTCGCTTCGTCCTGGTTTTGTTACAAGTAAATGAGTAGCAGTGGGATCGATAGAACCTCCATCTAAGAACTCTCCACCTGAAAGAATATCAAGAAATTAAATTTCAAACCAGCTGTCAAACCCTAGTTTGTTTAATGACAGCTTTATATCACAAATTCATTTCTGTTCTGAAAACGAGCATACAGTGTGACCCAAAAACAGAACCCAGGTCGTTTAGATTTAGAACACTTTCTAAAGCAGAGATAGCGAAACAAAGTTACCAACCAAATCACAAATAATGGCAAAACCCTACTGACATTTCGGTGATAAAAACTTATAATAAAAATCGGCTGCAATTCATATGCAGCTATCGGCAACATTACTGTTACAACATTCATGATATAACAATACAGTTGGTACAATACAATCATTTCCCAAAACTTGCCTGGGAACAAGGTTTTCTTTCAGAGGTGCCTGATTCAAAAGGTGTCACAGAATTAGATACTACTTTGCATTTTAATATTTCTCACATACAATGCCGTTTGGGAAACAAAATTTCATTGACTTCAACTGATGCCCACAAAAATCAGAAATAACAATGCATCAAAATGGTGGTATAACAAATGCGGTTTAAAGTCAATCGAAAAATATAAATCTCCCAGATTGAAATTCCCTTTCAAAGTTGAAAAGGATTGGCATAGTTTCATGAATGTTTTTCGGTATGCATGCAAATCCGTGCGGCCCTGGATCCTCGTGAAAGTTTGATAACCACTGACCTAATTCCTTAATAATTTCAATGTATTTTGTTTTTTCTTGCAGGCTGACAGAAGACATGTGAAATCTCATAACTAATCCATCTTTTATAGTTTGAGGAATATCTTGGTCTTCAGTTCCCTGAATCAAAATAAAAAATGCTCAACAACAACAAAATTAAATCCAGCACATGAATGTCTCTCAAACAACAACTCATCTCTTGCCAACGAGGCTTGAATGGTTGTTCATTGTGAGACGGTGATCTGCAGGTTCAAATCTTATTGGGATAATATTATTTAGGAAATTGTTGGACTCACTACACTATCACAGTTCGGTTTGTGTAACTGCCGATCAGTCAACTGGATGATTATCCTGGCATGGTTTGTAGGTTTGATTTCTTCTTATAGTATTCTTCACATAGTATAGCATAACCATAATCATTAGTCAGTGACAAACCCCTCTATTAAGCATGCCCAATGAATTTGCAATGACTCCTGTTTGTTGTTCACTATATGCCGTCTTAATGTCTTTGCTTCCCCAAATTGAAAAATCCCGCTCCTACTATATCGCAGGTTTATATTATGAGTTAATTTTAGTGCTTTAGTTACATAGAAATATGCACCTGATCCTCGAAAACAGTCTCCTCATCATCCTTTGTCGTTTCCAAATTGTTTATTGAAACATCAGCTGGTACCTGATTAACCAAAAAACATTCATAACATTATTACAAATTTAGATTTGCCTCCTAGTGCCTTGGAAATACTGTCATGAATTGACTAACATTGCCGCTGCATTACATTACAGTTCACAGCAAATCATTCAATTGTTACGCACTGCATACTGATTAGTACCTCACTAAAGCGAGGCAGTTGTAACATACGAGGTGGTACTGTTTAGGTTTTATTCCATTTATGGCACCGCTTGATTATTGTATGTTTCGCTGCTAACATTGTGATGCTATGGACTAGCGAGTGTGTGATGTTCAATGGTGGTATAGACGAAGGTATATGAAAGTTACATACAAATAGCTCGCTCGAAGACCTTGTTTGGTCAAACACAGTCTGGGTGACCACTACAACAATAAAAACAAACATACCCTACTTCCCAGCTAAAAAGTCAACCAGGCAAATAAGACAATGTCTATTTTTAGCACTAAAAAAAGAGGGTTTTTCCATGTAGGCCTCCAATTAAGACGTGGTAGGAAAATTGCTCCTCTGTTGATCAGTTAAACACTAATATGCGCTAAATATCAACACTATGCTATGGAAAATATTATAGCCAAATAGTCGATAATAACATGTGTAGTTTTATTTGATGGTTCTAATAATTTTATATGGTTAGATTTAGAACCAGATTATGTTTATTTGGTAGAATCATACTCACAGAATTACCTATTCTTAACAATAAAGCAGTAATTTTAAGTTAAAAAGCGGTAATCATTTTGAACAACCTATTAACCCGAAAGTTGAAATACCCTTTGAATACGGTGTGATTAGTATTAAACTGTACGTCCATGGATTTGTTAACAGCTGTGTTTTCCTGTCTGTGTCGTAAGGGTCATAAATCGCTTTATCTCGGTGGCCGTGTTTTCTCTTTGAAGTAACGATAATTGTGGACGAAAACGATAGTGCTTCATGACACCAGCCAGTTATGATTACAAGGGAGTTTTTAAAAAGAATGACAAATAACAGATGCCAGTACAAAGTCAATTGAATATCATGATTGGCAGACCTTTGGCGTCATCGAGTACATAATAAAATATATCAAACCAAATATAAGGTTAACACAAATCATGTTTGAGAAGACTCCTGCAAGAAAAGCTGACCACAGAAAAAGAAAAAAAGCATACCCACCGAATAAGACAGTCCCCCCCCCCCAAAATCAGGCCGAAAAATGGGTCTAAAAAAACGACTTATTAGCCAGGACATACAGTAAGTCTCGACAATAGGCGTATTAAGTCAACCATGTTTATATAAATATCAGAAAGGTTTAGCAACAGTCACCTTAAAATTAGAATCATCGGTAGTTGTGTTCCTTTCCTTCATTAATCTTTCCATTTCTTCTCTGCCCGTTGGATCATCCCAACTAACCTGAACATTAAAGATATTGGGACTCACTGGTTGGTGTGTCATGCTAAATGTTAGGGATGCACTTGCCATCTCAGATCTGATTACCCTGCATGGGTTAACATCCCATATGAAATAATTATGTACGAGAGTCTGAACGCAGGTTATAGAATGTTTTAAAATGTCGAGTTTCAACACAAGGTGTATGCTGGCAAATCGGTCACAATACTGAGACTATGTGTACTATGTGTTTGTTAAAAATGATTATGTAAATTATCATGAAAATGACAGTATTAGATATATTTTATCTAAAATAGTTTTTCCAAAATCACTTTTTAGTTACATAACAACAAGACTTGATAACAATGATATTGGTAATATTTTAAGATATTAGCTCAGAGTAAACATACTTGAACATCCTGAGATAATTCTGTTTTATCATGATCTAAACTTTTCATTGGTAGAGGAGTACCAGAGGTTGTCGTTGTGCGACGTTGAGCAGCTGCTATTGATGGAGATGGTGTATTCACCCTGCTACCTAATATTTATGAAAATAGGCGATCTGACTAGAATGATCGGTGGAATGAGTGTTGAGTGACAAATAGAAGGTTTCGCAAGAAACAAAGGTTTGACTACTACCATAAGAGTAGAGGCAGGCAAAATCAAACATTTTTATTCAATAAAATAATTCGAATATTTATAACAAGTATTGAATATTCGAATAGCGAATATCTTCAATTACTATACAACAAGAGGCACAGACCAGGACTCCAGATGTCCAACACTATGGAAAATATTATAAGGCCAAATAGTCGATAATAACACATATAGTTTTATTTGATCGTTGTTTGCTTATCGTGATCTTTTTGGCAACCGACATCCTAAGCTAGTGTTTCTGTTTTTTGGCAGAACTGTATATGTACATCGGCAAAAGACTATGATGGAAGGAGTCAGTTCAGAAATCCACGTTAATTTTTTATCTGATTAGTATCTTTTGTGTCGGCTTTAATCGTTTTTATCATGGTTGGCAAAATGACCATCCCAATTTGGGGCCTACTGACTCTGGGATTTATGAATTGTGATAATTGACTTTCTTATGCTTTTACTTTTCAATTGTGTAAAACTTCAGCAAAGTTGAAAAAGTGATTAAATAAATCAACTGTAAAATTGATATATCCATTTTAAAATGATTGTAAATTGTCATAGAATACCTTATCCTCAATTTTGATGTTTCCAAATTTAATTGTTAAAATTCGAGCGCTGTCGTCAGGCTTTATATTTAGAAAATCAACTATCATGAGTGTGGAAAGCTGTGCAAAGAATTCTAACCGGATTCGAGCATTTGATTTAGCGATGCATAAGTATTGTGTCCGAGCGAAATTGAGCAATGCCATATTGTGGCATCAGAAATTCAAATACTAAAATTTCATTCAAATATTTTAATATTCCAATACCTACTCGTTATTTGAATATTTTGCACAGCGCTTCATATGAGTTGGCTTTGCACTGCTTTACTATCACAAGACCGAGTCGATAAGAAGGCTTAAACATATGGTGAACCATCGCCTCTCGCACAGGTTTGGATCAAAATAGTTAACTAGTGGATTGTGCCAGAATGACTTTAATGTTGGAGGAAATAAGACGGTTGAGTGAGCCACCCATCATTGATGTACAAATTTTGTGAAACATCATGCCATTGTAGGCTCGGCTAAGAATAGCCCTTTTCCAGATGATTCAATAGAAATACAGTACTTGGACGTAACATACATGTGTGTGACATCACAATGAACAGTGATAACACGACCTAAATACATGCAAAACATGGAAGGAACACCACATTCTAGCTAAACATTTGAAAATATACAGAGACACGCTTTGAAAACATAATGTTGCAAGTGTGCGAGAATGAGGTTTTACTGCGCAAATGGTCTGGTGGTACCTTAGGAGAAACCTTTCTTGTTGCCTAGTGTTTAACTTCAATCAAAAATTTTGGAGCTTCCAGATTCTACTAATTGGTCGAAATCTATTAGTTGATAAATATATTCAGAACACTAATAAACTTACAGCTCAGCCTATGCATGTGTTTCTCATTCTTAAGATTAGTTGCTGACATAATGTGCTCAAGTTTCTTTCGTAAATTTTCTCGAGCTTCTTGTGAATCTTCTATTTCTGGTTCTCCTTTTATTTTAGACTTTAAGGAAAAGAAAAGAGACATTTAAATAAACTAAGTTAATTTAACGCTATTACAGTAATAATTTTTGGTAGTAAATTTATATTTAGTTTAAATTTTTGCCTATTTTGGTTGAACAAAGTTAAAGAATCATGATGCATGAATTCACGTAATAATAAATAAATAAAAAAAACACTGTTTCATCGGTGAAATAAATAGCACATTATATGCAGCAATATCACGGTTTACATTATAATTCATTTTGTTAAAAAGTATGAAGGAAAATTAAGAGCAAACTGTCTAACACAGGAAGATATCATTCAACAAAATGCTAAAAGACTCTAAAAGACCTGAACTGCTTGTTGAACACTTGATGAATCCGCAACAATAAGTTGTAAGATATATGCAAAACAACTAATGTTCGTGACACCCAGGTTGTCAACGGTATTGGCTATGTCCAGGCTGTCATCAGTTATCACTAAATCAATTTGGGGGCGGTTTGAATATTTTCACCATGAATCATGATAAAATGGACATCAAATCGTGTTATGAAAATCCTTTAGATTTTCACGATTGGTTATGTTTTTCCGCCCACCTCTAGCGTTGATCAATTTGTCTTCAATCAATTAGTTTGGTATACTGAAAAAAACAGATCTCAATCTTTCTTATATTATAACTTTCTCCGTCTCAGTAGCTGATTTAGTGGAGACAATTTTAAACCAAATTAAACAGGTAAAACATTCTGTACGCCCACAAAGGCCAGAATCTCCCTTGAAATGTATAGTTGCTTGTTTAGCCTTGTCAAGAGCGAGTTGTGATGTATGTCATAGAGGTATCTGCACTGGGTCATACTTGTGTTATTCTCATTTACTCTCGTGCATTAACACTCACTGTTTTCGTTGAAGTTGTATCTTCTTCACTTTCTGTTGAATTGGATGAATTTCCTGACTTACCAGATGATGACGATTTGTTATCATTGGATGACGTTGAATTTCGAAGGGTCCGACGTCTCGTCTTGGGAGGACTGGTCGATACCATCTAGCAATAAATACATACTAATACAAATTATTGAGTGAATTTGTTGTCATTCATAGTGAGACATACAAAATGAGTTAAATGAATTAGAAATAATCCTATTCAATATCATAAATTTCTTGATTTTGTTAACAATTTTCAATACTATAATTGAAAAAAACATCACTTAAAGAATTTCACAGTCAAACGAATATAGGCAAATTTAATTTCCGATAACCTATGAAAAAAGGCCAACAACTGAAATAAAACGAATTAAAGGCCAACAACTGAAATAAAACGAATGAATGCGTTCAAAAAATTGAACGAAGACCAAATTAATACAGTCATTGCAAATGGTACCCCGTGGCCTCCATAGGTGCTTCAATGCGACCGAAGACTCAAACGTGCCTAACAAGTAACCAATGTTTAATTGGATCCAGTGGCGCAGCCAGGGGGGGGGTTTCGGGGTCGAAACCCCCCCCTTTTGAATTTTTTGAAAACAGTAAAAGTCGCCGATAACGCGTGCAATTGCTTTCTGCTAAAATCGCCGTATGTTTTCATCGAGGCGGCGTGTTATTTAGGCCGTAAACGCCTTCTCGTTGGTATTTATTCTCTCTAAATCACAAATTTGTGCCAGGGGAACAATTATAATTATTTTATTTTTGTACTCGCACGGAATTGTGAAAACTGAAAAAGCGTGCAATTGCCTTCTGCTAAAATCGCCGATTGTTTTCATCAGTGTGCTATTTAGGCCGTAAACGCCTTTACGTCGGTATTTATTCTCTCTAAATCACAAATTTGTGCCACGATAAACATGATGATTATTTTATTTTTGTACTTTGCAAGGAATTGTGAATTCGGTGAGAGTTATAATACGTTCATCGGCGGCGAGGTTCTAAAGACAAATGAAGGAGTAAACCCGCGATCTAAATTTGACTGAAAATCGACAATATAAAATACAGAAAACAAAACCGTAAACAATAGGCTATAAGATTTGTCGAGTCCCGCGACAGTCTAAAAAGGCTTTTCTAGTCTAAAAACGCTTTTGAAAATCACAAAATTTCGTGTGCCCACGGCACACATTATGTTTCCTCGCTGTTTAGGAACATATTGCCATTAAAATCGAAACACGGTTATTTGTGGGTGGGATCCATTACTTTAAAATTGTCATCGAAAATTTTAGTGTTATCATTAAACAAGGTTGAAAACGCGATTTTCCCCCTGTTAGTGATGATATATAAGATAATTAATCTGAAGTATATCCATCAATTTTTATTCTACTGAAATAAATTTTACTCCATGAGAATTTACAGCAGATTTACGGATTTTTCAAAAGCTTTTATCTTTAAAAATAATCGGAGTGGCAGCATTGCGATTGAACGGAGTCAATGTTACAAGCACATCTCAAATTTGGCGAATTTGCAAAATAGAAAAAAAAGGATCAAAACAATATATAATAGGGCAGTTTACCACACAATTTTATGAGGAATTCCGTGATGTTTTAGAGCGGCTCTTGTTTTGTCGGCGCAACCGCAGGTTAAATTGAAGACAATTAAATTAATAAAGCAGGACATTTTAAATATGCCCTTATCGGTCATGGATTGGTTACCTTGCGCAAGAGAAAAATCGTTTTTCGTTAGAAAAGTCGGCTCTTTTAACAAGTGACGTAATCGCGGCGACTGTTCGGCGTGGATTTCGAGGCGGTGAATTTGTATTTTTGATTTACTGGTATACTTTATATCTATTTTCATTGTATGAAGTAAAATTGTACTAAACGTGATTTTATATCAGATATCGAGATTTTACTAACGGCGATAACGAGGTCACAAGATTGCAAAAATACGTATCAAAATTAAATATATCAGGCAGCTTATCTCATTGTTTTATGTCCATGGCAGTAATGTTTTTATTTTGACGTAGAAATTCGAGACCGCGAGTTGCGTTGGGACAATAAAAGTAATATATACGTAAGGATATTTTAGAATCTTGTAGTTGTCATGGATTGAATATTTTACGCGACAGAAGCTGAAAAGGCGGCTCTATTAACGAGCGCGTGATCGCGGTGACTGCTACAGACGGCATTAGTAATTTCCGATTTTGAAACCCCCCCTTTTAAAAATCCTGGCTGCGCGCCTGATTGGATCTATACACCAAAATGAACTGAAAATAATTCAGTAATATTTGATTGTATTGATATTAATATTGATTCATTCATACTTGAATAGATTTATTAGGATCATAGACATGAGGAAATAAACTTTCATCAATTCTTGAACTGGTTTGTATACAAGCGTTAATCCAATATGGTGATACAATAAACTTCCCATCCCGTCTTGCAGCACAAAATTCCTTGTTCTTGTCATTTAATTTTCCCTGAAATAAGATCAGAAACAAAAATTATGACTTCGTGGGTTCAAACCTCGTGGACATACATGCGAGAGAGAATTGCTGGACTTCTCACCATCAAATGGTGGTTCAAGTAAACAGCTAATGGTTAACTGCTCCCATGCCAAAATTGGACGAGCAAAGAGATGAGACGCCATGGTCCACCATATGATTAAGTCATATATTTGATTAATTTCACCTCGGACCTCGGTGCATATCAAAAACTAGTAAAACTAAATCTAATGCAGTGGTTCCCAACCTTTTTTCAGACGCCTCAAGGATATGCTCGAATACTAAGTGGCACGTAGTACTTTCATGGTCACAAAATTAAATGACTAATATAAAACAACCGCTTTTACATACCGTAACATCTATTTCCCCAGAAATTACTTTAAAGTGAGAAAACTGCGCGAGTTTGCCATCAGCATGTTTCTGAAATCGTGGCGTGGCTTTATTTTAGCAAAATAAACGCTTTCAAGTTTTTACGCTGTGATACTTCCCACGTATATAATTACTATTGAATCAACATTCCAATACCAAATATAAAATAAACAATAAAGTTTACTATAAAGTAAAATTGGAAGCTTTTTGTTGAAAGAACAAGCGACCAAAGGAAAAATTCATAGCTATATGTTGGGAAACTCTGATCTAATGGATGCTTTCTAAATATACTTCACCTGGAATAAGAAATGAGTGCATGCATTGTCATACGTCCAACGAAATTCTCCACCATGATTAGAAATAAGTTTTCCCAAATCAGAGAACTGGTTGTGTAGTTTCTTTGCGAGAGAAATAACAAGATTTGAAAAAATATTCGAGCTGGAGGGATCAGTTGTTTCACTATTTGTTGTTGTGTCGCAATCTAAAACAGAAGGAATAGTATCTGATCATTATGGAATATTGTGAAAAATTTTACAAAAACTATCCCATTCTCCGCCATAGGTTTTTGTCATTTTTTCATTAGGTTACTGCTCGTCGACATTTAGTTTTCAGAATAACTTCATCTTTGCAAAATTCCGTGTAACCTAGCTCATTGGTTCTCAAATTTTTATGAGACATGCCCTCATTCTTAAGACGCTCAACACTTCTGGCCCCCTTCTCTTCAGTAGCAATAAAATAAACTACCTAGTTTAACGACCTACCATGTTTAACGATAAAAGCCCAACAAATAAAAGTGAAAGAATAAAAGCTTCGTCATCAAGGAATAGAACAAATTTACTTTACATTAATATACCGGTACTTTTAAAATTAATATACCCAGCTATATTGAAATGTGTTGAATATCTGATGACCTGACTGTACAATGACATTGTTTGTTCTATTCTGAAAGCAGAACACTCTAGTTCAAAACAGGGGGTTACACCCTCGTGACTTCGCTGATGGCTACACCCCTGATGTGGAGTGTAGCCTCCAGTTATTGGGAGTAATTGACATAAAATAACAGTTGTTATAAATGATGAAAAATATGAAATCAAACCTTTAGCTTCTTGCATTTCTTCTTTAACTTGTGTCTGTTCTGTTAATTTTTTTTCAAGATTCATAATCAATTCATCAGGAATGTTTTTTACACCCTCGTCTAAACATCTACTCAAAAAAACACTCATCGGCTGAAAAGGATAAAAAGCATGAGATTAAGTGAAAAAGATGAGATTATATGATATACTGGTTTTTAGTCTGAGAAAAGTTAGGGCCTAATAATGTTCCAAATTCGGACCTAAAATCTATCCAATTTATTCCAACCATGGTGATGTGGCGGGCATGGAAATTCAACCAGCGAATTTCACCTGTGATGTTATCTGGTCAAATTTCACGCTTTATATGTGAGATATAACAAGTCTAAAAGACAAGTGTCTCCTTGGGACAATAGTTAAGATTGCACTCTAACTAAACACAGCAGCTCTGAACATATTCGTTGCTACAGTGTTTCGGGAGACTTGAATCATTGACTCAACTCAAATTGGACTCAGGTCACCATTTTACGAATAAGCAAAATGACTAGAGTCAACTAAATAAGAGTTTGACTCGGACTCGTCATTAACTAACTGCCAGTGAGATAACTCAGTGACCGGACTTCGGAGTCGACACTCAGCTTACCTATGACCAGGCTTGACTCATGACTCAGAGACCTCTACCTAACACTGATACTTGTACTGAGCCTTGTTCAGAGTGAACGTAAAAAATACGTTATAAATATAAGATTACAAAATAATTTACAGTTTCTGGATTTTCTTTCATTTCCTCCCGTATCTTCTTTTGCTTTTCAACTGGAGTTTTCAACAATTCAAAAACTTCCGTGAGATCGAAAGAAACATTGACAGGAGGTCCCCCTTTCGTCATGAATTTACTTGGTGTCTCCAAATTAAGTCTTTTGTACTGAAATATATATGATTATGTTCCTAGATTTACTGAAAGTCAAAAGTAATTAGGGATATGCATATCCATGTATAATAGAATATCTCAGAAAATATCTTCAGACCTTTTTACGCCTTAACTTTAATTTTGAATATTAGAAAAACCTGGATATATTTTGCATCAAAATCATAAGACAGTGTTTCCAATTGCAGAAGAATTCCATCCAGGGAGAATTTAATTGTTTTAAGAAACAAGAAATTTCACTATGTATTTGCATGCAGTATTACTAATATTCTTTACTGACTTTGTATTATTGTAATAACTGTACAAAATCTGTGGTATGGGCCACACGTATCACTAACTAATAGTAAGGGCCCGACCGATATATCGGCCATGTTTTTCACAAATTTCGGCATCGGCTAATTTTACCGATATATATCGGCCAATCATGTGACTGCCAAAGTGCACATACATAAACGTATATTATATTATTATATATTATATGAGCCAATGCAGAAAAACTCTGCTCAACTACATCTGAGACTGTTGAACTGGAGCTATTGAGATTCATATGCTTCCTGCCTTACAATATGTGTTCTTTCTTGCCACGCACACAATTGCACGAGTTCAACATTTCATTTCTTTTGCAACAAAAACACAATATTCTCAGAGTGTTGCTTGTTGTAGGTGAGGGAACATTGGATATCAATATCGGCCTAGTTTTAGAAAACTAACGATATCGGTTCAAAAAGGCAGTATCGGCCGGGCCCTACTAATAATACATTAGCCTTGAACAACAAATGGAAACGGTTTTATGCACAGGAAGAGGGGAATCAAAAGTTTCAAAATATGCAAATAAAGAATGAGTCAAAAAAGGTTGGGAACCCCAGGCATAATGAAAGATTATGGTATATGATAATTGATAATCCCAGCCAGCATTTGTGTAGCGAAATGAAATTCTTAGATTTCCAAACTAGGAAAATTTAATACAACAGAAAATGTACGTACTATTACTGAATAGTATGTCAAAAGTCAAATTCAAAATGTAATAGCCTCATGATCTGAAATATAAAATACACTCACCCTCACTCTTAATGGTGTTTCCTTATTCTTAATGGCTTCTTCCCTGGCTTTCTTCTCAGCATCTGCTTTTGCTTCGAGTCTCTTTCTGATCTTATCCACAACACTAGGTGGGCGTGGCATGGGAGGAAACTCTGTGTTCCATCCCACGTAACTGTGAGACTTGATCTTGGAAACTGAGAAAAAATATTTAAGAGTGTAAATATTCTTCATTCAAAAATGAATAAAACCGCTAAGAATCCTTCTTCAGTTTGTGTGTTTCCGTTGGCGCAATGGTTTAGCGCTTGACTTAACTGTGTTGGCATGATAGGTTACATGTCTCTGATTCAATTCTCATGCCTACCACCTCAACCAAGGTGTAATAAATTGCAAATTGTACCGAAAAGTTTCCGGTGCTTCCAAATGAGGTAGCTTGTTTCTTATCAGTGGCTATTTGTTCTTGTTCTAGCAAAAGCCAAGAACAAGCATTGTATAAAAAAATGCAAAAAAAGTCTCATGGGAGAATAGCACTTTTGAGCTTAATAGTATGATGGGCTTCATGCAATCTTTGTTGTCAGTTATGACTTTCTATGATCATTTTGATACAACATTTTCACATGCCTTTCTCTACACACATGTATATGATATTGATATTCAGTAATTTATCCGGGCATTTGTATATTATCTTCTGTATTCTTATATATATTATCTTCTTATATTGTCATTGACCACATAGATTTGCTAAGTCGTGACATGCTTTAATCATTTAACATCGCCATACCAGCAGTATAATTTACACTAGTTGAGCATGTCTCCTAAATGAAATACAACTCAAACAGTACTACACAGTAAAACGCCAAATTAACAACTGCCCTGCACACTGGCGAGCCCCTTGCATCACACATAACAACTTCCACGAGTTACTTACCAGTATGCAGCGCAAACCAAGTATATGCAACTATAACACAACAGTGCAAGACATTACATTTACCTTTACTCAAAACCTCACTTCTTGATACAGCTTCCCTGGCAGTTGTTGATGATGATTGAGGTACTGATGTTATATTCTCTGTTTGCTTTCCTCTTCTTGGTTTGTCGACTGAAAATTCATCTTCAATCATCCTTTTACCTTTTTTAGCTGATTCATAAACCCATCTATGAGAAATAATATTTTGAATTTTAATATAATGTAAACCAGGGATTCTTGAAGTGGGCAATATGCTGCATCAGTCAAAAAGTCAGAATTATCACCGAAACTTGTTTTGCATATGGATTGTACACGACCAAAATGTCTCTAAAGATTAAGAAAACTCATCGAAGATCACCAAAATCATCCACCTCACTAGAAAACCACCATGTACTTATACGAAGCCTTGTAGATAGAGAAAATACTTGGAACAGTCCATACAAAAAACTACATTTCTACAAGACTTACTCTTCAGTGACAGTCACAATCCCCCAGCTTTTGCATCCATCATATTTATCCCCTCCTGGTTCATTTATTATAAGATGAGTAGTTTGTTTCAAATCTTTTGTATCTCTTCTTGCAACAACTTCTTGAACTAAACCACCTGTAAGAAAGGAATTGGTGACTGATGAAAAAAAAATTGGAAAATAGTCCAAATATGGAAATATGGAAAACATAATATCAAAACGATCCCTAAGTACACTTAGTGTCCAATAATTGAATGATAAATCATCAAAGGGTTTTTCCATTCTATTTCAAAATTAAAGTTCTCAATAGATGCTATACTGAAGAAAAATTGTCTTACCTAGGTCTTCAATGAGCCTTGAAAGATACACTCGTTCCGAGTCTCGATATTTACTCAAACATGCAACACACTCTTGAAGAGGATATGAATCAGGAGGCACTGAAAACGGAATACACATTGGGTGTTCATCGGTTTCTATAAGTCTTCCTTCTTCTATTGAGAATTTCTGGAAGAAAATAGACTCAAATTAATGAATTGTGAAATTATTAATAGATTTCAAAAAATTTTAAAATTCATAAACTTGCCAGATGAGAAAGATGAATTACAAAGATTACCTATGTTATGCAAATCAAATAATGCCTCCACGATAGGATAGAATTTCCCTATTCAATTCTGAATATAATCAGTTATTTGTTTCAGATGCAAAGACTCCATGGCGAAGTAAACCGTAGTAGACCAGCGGTTAGGTGAACTATGACAACGAAGAGTTCAGCCATCCTCTCACCGGCGGAGAGAAATCAGAAGAGCGAGAGCGAAAGAGAAATGTATTTTTAACGCTTAGCACTATCCATTTATATCAGACTAGATGTTGTTAAATTTCTGACAGATACTTACAATCCAGAAATTGGTAACAACATCCTGAACAGTTCTATCAACAGGCCAACCTGTTAAAGGTACAACTGCATAATCTGCTATATGTTTGCTATTGACTGGCAGCACAGATCCTGCGTATGACTGAAAATACAAAATTGTATTCATCAAATAGAAACCTAGTCTAACAAAAAAATTAATTTTTGTGAGCCTGCAACTAATATTTGTAGCTATATTACTGAAAGAGGAGTTGCAATAGAACATGTTGGCCAATGGCTACATGGGAATACTCATGATTCCGTTGACGCTGGACCTGACAAACTTGTAGTCTAGTCAACACTGTTACAGAAAATGACTCATGCCAAGGAATGTTTCACAAAAGTTCTCAGAGGCAAACATTTGGTATTGAAATCATTGAAAATTGCAATCATCAAGCAAAGGTCACAAATCAAGTAGATAAAACTTTGATGAAATGCAAGAGTATCTATAAAATATCTAAGTGGTGCGACGAAATCTATACATACACACAATAATCCTAATAAAATTTAAAACAACAATAAAGCATCAAAACATTTAAACAACAAAAACAAAATGACATTATAGATCGTACTTCATTCCACAAAAGTCATCAATCTTTTATATTACCTCAATATCTGCTGTTAATTCCTCTAATTCTTCAGCAGAAAATCCAAATATGAAAAAAACTTTCCCAGCGAAAATGTTTGTGATACTTGTCTCAGACTGCATTGTAGTAGATTCCATTTCTGTAGAAAAAAAGAAAAACTTGCTCTGTACAGTTTATATACCAAGAAAACAAATCTATCATCTAAATTGACTTAAAATATTTGGCATAAATACATAAACGAGAATATCGGTCAGAGACCGAAGACTTATCAATCGAAAGTTAGGGGATCCCCCAAAACAGCGCTCTTACTCCATAGTGACACCTTGTGTCCAATCACTAATTAATTAATAACTCGCTAATTATACGACATAATTCATCCAAAATCAATAGGCTTCTGGTACGACATATGATGAATGCACATGCAAAATCTGGAGCAGATTCAATCTCGCTTTCGTGAGATATCGCGTGCACCTAACAGACGAACAAACAGACAGACAAATACCTATCAACATACTTACCGATTAAAATCGATAAGTAACTAGTGATAGCATTGATAAGTCTTATGCGTGGAGAATTGCTGTCATATGTGGGATGGTCTTCCTGAACAGTACCAAACCTCACAGACCTGCTATGATTGGCTTGGTAACCTGGTAACTCTTTCCCATAGATGAAATGTTGCTTTGCTTTGATTATTACTCAGATATATCTAAACTTCAGTGGTCGTTTGAAATGACCAGGCTAAACTTGCTTTAGAAAATTGTATAAAAACGGTTTCAAAAATTGTATGATACCTGTAGTTTCATTATCTTGAGGTCGAGTTTCATCGATATCCATGTTAGTTTCATCTCCATATTCCGTTCTTAATTTTCTCCGTAGGAATGAACTACCTTCATGCATTGTATCCTGATAACAATAAAAATATATTTGTAAAAAATTTGGTCTCTGAGCAGGAAGCATAAATTTAGATACATGGGGAGACCTGTAATACAAATAATTTAAGATTGATTAACAGAAGAGCTTAGCTGTAAAGTAAAAGATTTGTTAAAAATACTAAAACCTCATTACATAACACCAGTAGAAAGTACCGTAATTATTACTAAATTCTTACCAAATTATTACTAAATGGCGTGTACCAATACGGAGGTAACTAATTTTGTTCGCCTATTTTACATCAAGTTGTGTAAGGGACTGAAACCTGGGCAGGGGTATATTCACTTGGCTAACACAGACAGTCCACGAACTTTTAGTAGAACTAAAATAAAGAAAACCGGTATGAAATTATGGCCTAACCCAAACCTGGTACACATACTACAGGAGTACCTACTAAATTGTTACGCCTAAAAATTATTGAGGACTGGGGAAAAAATTTATCACATACGCGGTAAATTTTTCTAAACAAAACATAATCGAACAAAAACAATAAGGGCTTTACCCCAAAAGTGAAAAACTTGAAAAAGAAGTTTTGAGAAAATTAAGCAAATGTATAGTTTTGATTTTTGAACTCCTGTGACTCTTCCTTGAAATGCTTTGGCTAAGACTGAATACCAGCTTGAAGATCTGAAGAATATTTCTTTGTAATATTTTAAAAAAAATTACCAAAATCATAACTTTAGCTTTTTTTTTGTCTTGAAATCCTCGATTTGTAAGAAATATAATTATTTGCGTAATACATATTACTAAAATAGCCACAACATTTTAATTTGGCGTTTAAAAAGGCAGCTTTAAAAAAATTACCGCAACTTCTGGGGTTTGCCTACGTTGCATATCATCATCATCATTGTGTCCAACATCATCGAGTTGTGGATTAATCATATATTGAGACAACATTTCATTATCGTCCACTTCATCATTATGATGTAAGAAACCCAACATTGATCCATCCAGATTTTTATTACCAGTCGCAGCAGATGATCGACTGATAGGATTTCTTTTTACAGTAGATCTGTAATATGTTGTAGTATAATACAAAGACAAAATTATGGAATTGGATAACAGACAATAAAATTAATAAAGCACAAAGGATCGCATATGCTGAATTTTCGTTCAAATGTATGGTATTTGGAGTTCGGAGCTTGAGATAAAGTAAAAGTTTTTCTCAGTTTTCACTCTATAAGCAGACTATAACACTTTCACTAAACTTTTGTATCTATCCTAGACACCAATAAATAACACACTGAATCCTAAGTATACTTCAATAAGTTAGTTAGTAAAACTTTTTTGTGAAAGCCATACCATAAAAAACGGGTATTCAAATTTAAGAACGAAAAAAGCCACCCACTTATTATCATGTACTGTTGTTGCACTAGCTTCCGTTGTTGTATCCATTTTAGTTTCATCATTTTCCATATCATGATGATCAGCAGGTATTGGAATGATTGATGATTCCCAGTGGTTTTTCTCTAGAACAAGTTCTCCTTTCTTCAATGATTCCAACACCCAAGATTGGTTTACAACACGAAGATCTGGATTCTGTAAAGTTAAAAACAACTCAATGAATTGAATATAATTATATTATGGCACCACATGCTACCCATCAATAAGACATGCAATATTTTGAGATGATTCACTGTTTTTGATAACTATGTTTCATAACGTTTTTCACATGGTTATTAGAGTAAAATTTTTCATATTCATTATACCAGAAAGAGGCAAGTCAATAAGGTGTCAATATGGTGGGCCACAGCCTTACCTGCCCTCATTGAGAATTTAAAAACCTGCACAAGGCTTGTGTTGAAAGCTATACTTATAACTATAAGTTATGGGCGACTTATGTATGATGACCAATTTTTCATCAAATTAAACAAAATAATCAAATTTCACTACTAAATTACTGCAATCTAATTGGATTATTAATTATCTAATTGGAATTGTGATTAATTGAAATCAACTTTCTGTAATACCATACTATTATACAGCTGTTATTGCTTAAATTATTTATTATGCCTTGTATTCAAACATTTTGTACCTGTGCACAAGCTGTCACAATATCGCTTTTCAAGCTTTGAGAAACTTTTGATAAATTTCCTACAATTACACATGATACACTGGATGTCAACTGGTTATATCTGCAAAAACGAAAAAGATCATCAATCTAGAATGATGAAGCCAAATGAGGCTCATTATAATTCGTAACTCAGTTTTGTAATTTCTTTTGCTCTGTCTTGTAAAAACCACATATGCGATAAACTGATAAACAAAAATTGTGGTAATGTATGTTTCACATTTCCAATAAATGAGGTCTCTAAGTCCGGTTACCCGTATATATTAAAACAGCTAACAACGTTCCTCATGTTAGTCATACCAAATCAACTGATTCTTACTTGATTGCACTTGCTAAACTTAACAATTTTCCCATTTTTTCTTCTTCATCTGGATGAAAGCCAACTAAGTATACATGAATTCCATCTAATATTTCACTATAATCTTTATTCATTGGAAAAGACATCAGCAAATTTCTCGTTGGATTTGAAATTCTCGATGAGGGTAGTTGACCAACTGGAGGCAGCATAGATTGACTATTAAAAAAATTAACTATGAGCAATAATTCAACAATTAATTGCAAAAAGGCAATCCAAATTATTATTCCTTCAATCATCAATTTAACAGCCACTAATTACAAAGATGGATTCTTTAATACTGAACTTGAATATGGAAATATCTTTGAACTCCATTTAAGTTAATAGTATATATTTCATTTAAAAGATTCCAAATAGCAATAAAAATCATACAGGACAACTATTCAAAAATAGGCAAAATTTAAAATAAATGCTGAATAGTTTGAGCCAAAATCGAAAGAATTGATAAGTTTTGAGCTCTACCCCATAATAATCAATCGAAAGCAATTTAAACATTGTTAATTATAACAAAAACAACACTGTTAACTCACTTGACTGGAAGTCCTATAGTTGACATTCTTGAAGTATCATTCATTGTTGACGCCACTGTTTCATTTATCATTGATGGATCTATGCAACTTACATCAGCTATGAAATATTATACAAATTGAATCAACTTTTTGTATACAGTCAGGGTTTAGGATAACTAAAATTTTCTTTGTACATGTAATAAAACTGACAGCATTGGTACAATGGTTCATCGATTTCCTAGTAAAATAGGAAATAGGTCACATTTGGTATTTTATGCTGCCTATACCTGGGAGAAATTTCACATACATGAAACAGCATCACAATTCTAGAGATTCAACATGATCAATTCAGAAAATCCAAATTGAGAATCAGAAGCAGACAGAACCTTTGATGGGAAAAAATGTTAAACCAATATGAGAAATTTATACCAGGTATGTTTCTTATGAAATTATTGAAAAATGGTCTCATAAATGTTCTTTATTTCTGTACTAATAAATTGTCCCACATTTGCATAATTTTTTTTTTTTCATTTTCAATCGGTTTCTGTTCTCTGATCACATTCATTTGCATGGTCTCAAATTTGCCGCCAAATCAAGGAAAAATTTGTCTATATAGGCTATTAATTTATAGGATATAGGTAACAATATTATTAAATCACCCATTGATTCAATTCTTGAACTCTTGGCATGACTTTCTGGAGTCGACTGATTTACAGATTTTTTGAAACCTATAACAAAAATTTTAAAATAAAATTGAACAACTGAACTTTTCTTTACAACTACTGAATATTTTTTTATACAATGATTTTATATGCCTCTGGCTTCAAACAAGGCTCCACATAAACAGCCACTGATATGTAGGAAGCTACTTAATATGGAAAGATCAAAATCTTTCAGTTCGGCATTGCTTATCCAGTTTATACACCACAGGTGAGGTAGTGGATGTAGGATTTGAACCTGTGATTTCCACCTGTTCATAAGTATTAACGCTTAATAACCCACCAGGCCATTGCCCCCAGCATGCTTGTATAAATTTGTGATCAAAAATTTTTTTTTTTTTTTTAAATAGAAAATCCAATGCCAATAAATGACAAACACTGGTATAATTTTTTATGTAAAGCTATTGAAACTTACCATCTAGTTTAACAGGATATTTAGTATTATCTTGGCATGATCCTTTCTCTACACTATCATATATCCAATTGATATTGACTACTTTGACACCAAATCCACTTGCCATGGCATACTTTTGACCTAATAATTAGATAATAAAACAGAGGTGGTAAATGGTTAATGAATATAATCAGGTTAATTTTTATTTCAAGTTATATTCCGTATTTGTAACAGAAGAAAGACGAACACTTTTTCTCATAATTTGCAATCACGAATCAGAATAAAAAAAAGCGCTTTGTGAAAGAAGATAATAATCAAGTCTAAACTGCAAATAGTACCGGTATATACAGCCTTTTTAATCCCAAGACTGATCTAGAATAAAAAAACAGCATCATTCTTTGAACATTTGTGCTTGTTGATATAGAGAATTCGTAATCAATAAAGAATAAATGTATTATACATTCAGGTGAATATATTATTCCAATTTTCCGAACTAAGATAATTTCCAATTTTCCAAACTAAAATAGGTAATTAAAGTATATATTCTGTGATGAAAAAATGCATTGTCCTGGGTTATACTCAACAAATCACACCGAAATAAAGTGCACATATGATTTTGTATATAAATGAAGAATAATTCAACCTTCTGGCTTATTGACAATAAGATGAGTTGTATAGTTCAACTTCATTGCTCCACTATAATCTCCACCAAACTTTGTGACTAATTTTTGAACTCTGGTTTTCTCAGTTGTTCCAAAACCTGTCATACAAACTTTACATCCAAGAAATATCGGGCACAAAAATTCTTCCCATTTGCCATCTTTAGCACAAATATACCTAAAACAAAAAATATTTATTAAGCTTAAATAAAAATGATTAAATCAGATGAAACTGGACAAATCCAAATATTACAATATTAGAATCTCATATCAAGTCAAAAATAATACTTCAAAAACTCAAATACTGGCATTCCAATGTAGTGATAAAAGTCAAAGCTTGGTTGAAGTTAAAATCTTGGGTTCAAGTTCTGTGCGCACCACCTTACCCAAGGTGTCAATTGAGCTGACAATGATGAGGAATCAGAAATATTCTGGTTCCGACAAACTATAGAACCTCCTTACATAGCTTGGGTGATCGTTCAGAGCCTAGTTCAGAGTAAAAAGGTGAATAAACACATTGTGTGAGAAGGATGTTACTCTTTATTCCAAGTTTTATCATGTACATTGGACGTATTCATGGACCTATTTTGTAAATAAATACTATAAAAAAAGTGTTCATCTCAAATGTTGATTCTTGGATAAGAACTTATAAATATATACAGTGTTTCCCCGAAACTAAGACAGGGTCTTATTTCAATTTTTTTTTGAAAATAACACTAGGGCTTATTTTGGAAGGATGTTTTTTATTTTCATTTATCAAAAACAAAATTATAAAGTAGAGAATTACAAGATTTTCAAATATACAAAATATGATAAGACTAGGTCAAAAAATTTCGCGCTATCCACTAAGTCCTTTTTAAAAAGGGAGAGATTATCTTAAAATATTTTCTAAAATCCAGGTTAGGTCTTATTTTCAGGCGAGGTCTAATTTTCGGGGAGACACAGTATCATTCATTTCATATAAATTATACAGACATCCCAGGTGTATATTTGTTATCACTGATCCAATTCTGTCATACCTAGACATTCCATGCTTCCATAAATGATATATCCATTCCTTTGTCATAATTTTAATATTTATTGAAGCTGCAGTAAAATATTTGACAGAACCGACTTCACCAACAACAAGATGAGTGACATCACAATGCAATGGTCGTGACACTTTTCCACCCATAAGTTCAACTAGATGCACAAGTTCTATCTACACAAAAGCATTATAAAGGCAATCACTTTTTATGTAAGGAATGTACTGGTGATATTAGTGATAAATACTGAAACTTGATTTGATTTATATCAGAAAATTCAAATAAAAGTGGTAATAATAAATTAAAATCAAAGTGGATCACTAACAAAATACCAAAAAATGTAAATAAAGCAGAGGAAAAGCTCCACAAATAATGACCTATTATGCTTATAGCAGATTCTCTTTGCATACTGACTTCTGTAATTTATAGCAATATGATTAGTATATAAATAACTAAGAAGATTCCTTTGAAGGCATAATGATTAAATATTACAATGAATTATCACTAATAAAATCGATGGTAAAAAATCTGTCATTATAGCATTATGTATACAATTTTTTTTTTCTCAAATGTAAATTTAAAAACAACCCCTTTCCCCAGTAAATTGGTCCGAATATAGATGTTTATATTTAAAAGGTAACGACAGTATCTTCACTACAAATAATAATACACATACTCTTTCTTCATTTTGAATATTTGAGAAACAAATTGTTGTATTAAGCAATGTGAGAGTATAAAGAGGATATTTCAAATCATCTTGAAGTCTGATTCCATGTTTTAGAACAGTCAATGCACATTGTGGACCAAGTACAGGATAGTTAAGATTCACAAGATGGTCAATAACATCTCCAACTTCAGGACCTGGAAAATATTCAGTTAGTTAAAGGATTCTTTTCTTCTTGAGAGAGAGAAGAAAGATAATAATTATGGCTTGATCATATAATGAACCAAAGTCACTGTGCCCTCAATAAGTCTGTTCAATTTAAGGAGCAAATTTATTATTTGTTTATCAATTACTGAAATAAATGAACTACATAAGACTGTTATATAACATAAGTCAGTAGATCACAGTTTCCCGATTTTTAAGATTGGCCAACATTTGATTCAATGAAATAAAAACTCTATTTGTTTCTAAAACGAGGATGTCTTGCACAACGGCAAATGCGTTTTTGCTAAAATCTTCCGATCGAATGCTCTGTTAAAATTTTTTTCTGAGGATGGTGCTGTTTCTAGACTGCGCTTCCTATTAGAATATTGCACAGTACCGGTGTGTCGATATGTTGCGATATGGAGACTTAAACCGTCTCGTAAAGGTCGGGTTTGCCTTCACTGTTATAATTGTTGTCTTTTAATCGGATTTTCTGGAATCAGTAAACTGTGACATACTGTTCTTTACATGTATCTAGGAATCATAAGTATAAGTTAATTTTGACTCCATAATCAGCATAATAAACAAAACAATTGATGAAAACAAACAAATAAAAACTGATTACAGAATCAGCAGAGCAACTAAATCTTACTGCCTCAAATTTTGAAAATTCCAAATTTAAATGAGAAGGTAGAACACGTAAAACGAAATCACATTAAAAAATCTGGAAATAACATAGTCTAATATTTTTCCAAACAGTCACAGGTAAAACAAAAAATATTCTTCTATTTTAAAATACAGACACAGGCTTAGACCTACCTTCAATTGGATCAGCAACATACACAATTTCTTCCTTGCTGTCCTTAGAATCTTCCAAGTTATTCACTTCTTCTACAGTCACCCATGTACACTTAAGTTTATTCTCAGAAGCAAGCTGTGAAAATTCATATTTATTGAGCTGCTCTCGCATTCAATTGAGAATTATAATTTATATTTCTTTATTTTTCAGAAAAAACCCTATTCCTGCAATACGTCAGCATTATCCAGACTACTGAACTATAAACATATTTAGGCCGTGTTTCTGTGTTTTCGGGTTTCCTATCCCCGGGATAAATACCGTTATGTGAATAATATCCTGTCCAAAATGCAAAAATGCGGTACCGATATTGACTTACTTTGTGAGCTGCTTCAACATTCTCTCTCCCTTCTTCAGTGAATGCAAGAAATCGGACTTCATTCCGAGAAGACATGAATACGGCATTAAAAGAACTAGCCTAGTTGTGCTAAACTGCTCAGAAATTTCGCGCCGGGAACCAAACATCCCCTTTCTGCTCAATGGCGTCCCTGGTGACAGTATTTAACCGGATATTAAAAAAGAATTAAAGACCTTTTCCTGACCTTTGACATCAGAAAAATTCTTCCTATACTTAACCATTGCAAAATTTGCGGGGCTCATTTTAGGAGTAGTTCCGCGAGTTGGCCCCTGTAAATGGGGTATTTGTTTAAAACCATTATTATATACAATGAACGTACAATAAACAGTTTTTTAAAAGTACCAGTAAGAAATTTTAGACTAGTCTATCACAGCTATTTCTACACCAATTCTTCATTACTGCGAATAAATTAAAACTTTTAAAAATACATAGTGATCGTTGGATTATCCGATTTACATTTAAATTTCCAAAACACAATTGAAAACTAACGAATATAGTTCGAAAACGCGAAAACGAGGTGATGTTCACAACCACGTCTGAAAATATGTCTGAGTGAGAAAAGTGTCTGGGCGGATGTAAAAAGAGGGCATTGTTACGTTACTTGTTGCATCTTGCTGATTGGCCAATGTCACGAAGTAAACAAGAAAGTCGATGCTCGGGGAAAGGTCCATGATTATACAAAAAACGACTAATCAAATATTATTGTTATTGTTTAAAAAATACTCTCAAAGATATAGCCTATGTGATCATAGAAACAAACCAAAAATGTATTACCAAATTACTCTTTCACCAACTACGGTAGAAATCACATGCCCCCGCTAAAAAGGCTATGTACACCAAAGCCTATATATACAATATGTCTCCGCTAAAATAGCTATGTACACCCTAAATGGCTATGTTTCCTGTGTTTATACTAAAATGGCTATATCCTTACTAAATTCACGATTTCGCTATGTTCCTTCCAAAATGGCTATATCCCTACCAAAGTAGCGATTTCCGCTATGTCCTCGCTAAAATGGCTATGTCCGCCAAATCCTTATTAATATGGCTATGTCCTTACTAAAATGATCCCGCTATGATTCTAGTGAAATGGACTGAAATGAGTATGTCCCTACAAAAATGCCGATGCCCACTATGTCCCAACTAAAGTGGCAATGGCCCTACTTAAATGGCTATATCCATTTCAAAAAAGCTATGTCACTTCCAAAATGGCCATGTCTCTGTGAAAATGGCTATGTTCGTACTGAAATTGCTATGTCCTCACAAAGAAGGTATGTCCATTCTAAAATGGTTATGTCTCTACCAAAATGGCGATGCTTGCTATGTCTGTTATGTTACTACAAAATTGGCTACGTCAACTACTAATTTGTTAGGTATCTATTACAATTTTCAAAGCGACTTTGTGTAAAGGAGAAAGTTGGCTGAAATAACTGTTAAGTTTTGCACTTGATGCAATTAAAATAAGCTTACAGTTTTTTTCAATAACAAGAACTATGGATTGAAAAACTGTAATATGATTTCCAACGAATTGTGACTCATTCCAGACACATTTCCTTCTTGAGCACATTTCCTTTCTGCATACTGGACAAGTGGTCATTTTTCCAATAGCACAACTTGATCTCTATTTTGGGTTTGATGTTGGTTCATGGATTCAATATTGAATTTTGGGTGATCGTCAGGTCTGGTGTATACACACAGGCCTCGTTCAGTTTTAGTTTTATTTTATCATTTTTTTTTATGGAATCATTATTGAAAATCGACAGATCCTCTGTTGCATACTCCCAGGCGTCGTTCATTTTTAGTAATCACTGCGTGATTTCCATGTGAACCCGTGGTTGTTAATATTGTTCTGTCTTAGATCATCTAGTTTGAATCTCGGACATTTATAATGTTGATATACGACGGCTCTTCTCACATGTTTTTTCTCGAAGTGTCTTTTGCAATGCGCATAGCCAACACATACAGTTTTGCATAACAAGCAGTAAAGATGAATTGTTTCAACACTACAATCAGTTTCGTTGCAGGTTCGGAATCGAATAATATAAAGCCAAATAATGTAAGTCATCCACGCTTACAGTTTGAGTCAGCCAGACCTTGGTCAGACCGTAAATATATACCACTACCAGTGGCGGCGCGTGGTCATTTTGACAACCGGGGCAAGCTACTGCGGGACCAAGTCACCCCCATCTACGGGGACAGGATGAGCGCTGTAAGTTCTCCCATCATTTTATGAGTATAAAAACCATTCCATCGGTAACAACCAATCGGCAAAAGCGACAATTTTTAACGATAAGAAAGTGTCTTCAAAACCGGTCCAAATCAAGGGATCAATAAATATAGACATAGTTTATTTTGAAACCTCTTTCAAACGGAAAGGCAATATTTACCCAGATAAATACAATGACATATTAACAGAAACTTCGGGAAAGCAGACAAAACCTAAAATAAGGTTTAAAACGTTACTATGAAGAAAGGAAAGGTAATGCAAAGATAAGAACATGCGTCGCTCAGTCATAGATATATATGCTGCTAGACTTCTACTGCTTGAACATATATGCAACACGCCGCGGTTTCTTGGAAGTAAAATGCTCAATAACGCGCTGATTAAAGTCATGCATCCCAGAAATAACGTCTCTGTGAATGGATAAAACAGCCAAGGAATTTAATCGATCTTGCTTCATTGTGTTTCTGAGATACGTTTTAATACGCTTCAGCGTGCTGAATGTTCGCTCTGCGTCGGCGGAAGAAATAGGCGTCGTCAAAATGATGTCCAGAAATTTTGCAGACGCCGCAAAGGTAGTTACTAGAGTGTTATCTATGAGGAACCCATAGAGCGCGCAAGTTGATGTGATGTTCAAAAAAGTTTGATTGGTGTATATACATCGCAATTCATTTTCCAATTTACCCACGTTTATCATGGGGTAAAATTTGGAGACAGTAGCCAACAAATGGATGGGAAATTGACGTGCAAATTTTGAAAAATTTTTGGGGTTCATCAAAGAGAACGCGGCAAGGTGTTCAGTGCGCAGACGATCGCCTATTTGATTCACCAGAATGTCACAGCATTCCTTTGCAGGCACAATCAAACGCTGCGTTGTTTGCCCGCGGCGTAAAGAAGCACTCCATGTGTCGTCGTATTTTATTGTTTCTCGGATACGAGATACAGCATCGCAGAAGTCTGAAATACACGACTGCACAGACGCTCCATCCATTAGCCTTGGCTGCAATGCGCCGTATAATACATCCACGTGATAGAATATTGTGAAGAAAAAAGCGAGAAAAAATGAAAACTCACCATCTTCTAGCAGACGCTTTAGACCTGCCGCCTCCCTCACAGAGCGTTCGTCCCAAACCGGAGAGCTCTGAATGCCATTGAAACACTCAATGAGCTCAGACCTAATTTCGGACACGCCCTGCACTACGCGTGATTGGAAGTTCCAACGTGTTGGTGCACAAGCTGGGAGACGGCGGCTACATATCTGGCGAAGGAAGTCAGAGCGCTTCGGCGAAACGGAAAAAAATGAAGAAAACCCCGAAACATTTGCAAAAAATATACGGACGAGAGGGGTATCAAGACACATATTTTTAATAACGAGGTTAAATTGGTGTGCATAACAATGTAAAAATGCGCATGAGGAAAATCTTCTTTTATATAAACTTGAACACCATGTTTCGACCCATTCATGACTGCCGCGCCGTCATAAGTTTGAGCTATCAATTTTGACTTCGCGTTGTAAGGCTGTAACACTTCTTTCAGTACAGCCGATATCCCCCAAGCCGTGCGATCAACGATTGGTACAAAGCTGTGAAATCTCTCGGTAGGTTTACCATCTTTCACAAACCGAAAAATCACAGCCAGTTGGGAAACGCACGTGATGTCAGTTGTCTCGTCAGACTGAATCGAAAGGAACTGGCAATTCTCAATTTCCAGAGCCAAATGTTGTAAATAAATTTTATACATTGAGTCGAGCAAATCATTTTGGATATCCTTAGATGTCCCTTTCGAAACAGTTGCAGCATCAAGATGATCTCTCATTATAGGCTTACCATACGTCCCGGTTTAGCCGGGACAGTCCCGGTTTTGACAAGCTGTCCCGGCGTCCCGGCCGGTTGAATCAAATGTCCCGGTTTGTCAGCACGGCTTTCATGGGTAAAAAAATTTTGTTCATTATTATCACAATTTTCTTTTTAACGGTGACAGCCCATTTACCACTGTTTTGCGACACACTTTGCTAGTTCGGAGAGAGAAATCGCTCTATTGTTATGTCACAATTGGAATATGTTTTAATGCGTTTTCTGGCGTTAACTGCAATATCGTTAGGTTGTCGAAATGCCAAAAAGGAAGTACAAGTTTTCTGACGAGTTGAAGAAATATTTTCCTTTTTTGAAGCAAACTGAAGGAGGAAAGGTACACTGTACGCATTGCAGATCTGTTTTTCTATTAGTCATGGCGGTCGTTCAGATGTCAACGATCATATCCAAAGCAGGAAGCACAAAACATTTAGGAATCGACTCGACTGACCAATTTTGCGATAACAAATTCGGGTGATTCTGTGTCGTTGGCAGCCGACATTTGCCTATCACACTGCTATTCATGACCAAAGTTTTGACTGCACCTCTAAATTAATTTCAAATTTTTTTGAGGCTTAATTTGCATTAACTTGTAAATATACACAGTTAGAATTTCTGATGTCCGCTGTCTGATGAGCGCATTCGCTGATTTTGCACGTTCAGCCAGAAATAAATGAGAGTCGGTGCATTGCTCCGCTGTTCTCCTCTGAATTTAATGATGATTTACTTCAAACTCGAATGGCAACAAAACGCAGAAAAGTTGATGCTAAGTGCAAAGGGTTCAATGGCGCTGAAAATATTCAAATGAAATTTTTTGAGATGCAATGAGGAAATAAATCTATATTCTATTCGAGATATGTATCACTGCTTGATTTTTAATATAAAAAATATCATCCGTTCAGTTTCAACTTTCTAAAAATATGTGCCAATGACTCGCCAATATGTGCCAATGACCGCCAATGACTCGCAACCCTTAATTTTGGCCCGCGGGCGACAAAAGATTACCGACCCCTGCCGTAGATGTTGCAAATATTCTGTCAGAGGTGAAG